ATGTGGTATCTGTTTTCATACTCTTGCCTTTCCATCATGAATGCTTAGTTATGAACAGAGATTACTTTGTAGAGCTCATAGGCAGTACAGAGAGGTGAGTTTTGTCTCCAAGGGCCTTGTATCTTGGTGTAGGTTTCAAATAGTGCTGTGTATAGTGTACATTTTGTTTTGCACAGTTTGTTGCCTTGAATGGGTTTTTACCAAGCCTTTTTTCTTTTGTGTATTTACAGTCAGGAGCACAAGGTTCTCCTTCGAATACCATGTAATTCACTTTACAACACTAAATCTGGGCTTTGAACTTCCAGTGCATCGGATGGATGCATGGTTGGGAGTTAGAGGGTGTTCTAGCCATCCTTAGTTTGGTAGAGCAGCTCCTTCTGCTTGTTTCTAAGCGTACAGTCAACGGGTGCCATTTGTGGTATTTAACATGTTAGGATGATGATTGTTCCAAATGCTGGGTTGTTTTATTTCTAGATGTAATTAGTTCACTTTATGTAATATTATTCCTTCTTTCAAACTGACTTTAAAAACAAAGTTTTATCATTTTCATTGTATTTCTATTTATTACAGAGTGTTTTAGCTTTGATATCCTTTGTATTTTCACTCATTTGTTACATGAGCTTTATCAATAACATCTGTATAAATGGTTTTTAAAAATTAACTATGTATGTGCCCATGCCGAAGTCGAGCAATAAAATCAATGCTGTTTGCACTGTCACAGCATCAACATTTTTAAAGAATACTGAGTTTGTAATTGTTTTGAAAACATTTATGATTGGTTTTATGGAGGGTGACATGAGTCACAAAATGAAAAGTTCAGGAACACATGCCATCCTTAGTTGATGCCTCTGTAATGTTGCAGAGCTCAGGCCTCCTGTCTCCAGGTAGAGCATGGAAGGTGCCCGTTTTCTCTGGCGTGGTGACTGCCTAGTTGGCAGCAGCTGTTGGGGGCTATGCATATGTGGATTTCTGAGGGTGGTCAGGGGTTAGTGGGGAAGAATGTCTTGGTCCTGTCACCATTCTGCAACCATCTTTGTTATAATACCATCTCTGTTCTGGAGGGCGGGCTCTGGATAGGGGCTCATATTTACCAGCCCTACCTTGGTATATTGTGCAGTAAAATTCTCAAAATTTTTCTAGAAGCCGTGGATTTTAAGATTTATAGTTCACTAAAGTCCAGCTAACTCCATGGATGGAAAAGGAATGAATATGGTTTATGTAAATCTCTACACTGTATAGGATACGACAGAAGGAACCACCTGGGAAATGTGTAAGTAATAGCAATGTATTAAAAGTTCAAAAGGTGAGCATGCTGCTCTTTTATATTCTCTTGAAATTTTTCTGTTTTTTGTTTTACTTTGTCCTTCAGTGCTGTGTTTACTAGTTTTATTTAAAATTTGTAAAGTTTTAGGCCGGGCGCGGTGGCTCACACCTGTAATCCCAGCACTTTGGGAGGCCAAGGCGGGTGGATCACGAGGTCAAGAGATCAAGACCATCCTGGTCAACATGGTGAAACCCTGTCTCTACTAAAAATACAAAAATTAGCTGGGCATGGTGGTGCATGCCTGTAATCCCAGCTACTCAGGAGGCTGAGGCAGGAGAATTGCCTGAACCCAGGAGGCGGAGGTTGCGGTGAGCCGAGATGGCGCCATTGCACTCCAGCCTGGGTAACAAGAGCGAAACTCCATCTCAAAAAGAAAAAAAATTTGCAAAGTTTTAGTACATTAAAGATTTTTGGCCAGGCGCGGTGGCTCCTGCCTGTAATCCCAGCACTCTGGGAGGCTGAGGTGGGCAGATTAAAAGGTCAGGAGTTCAAGACCAGCCTGGCCAACATGGTAAAACCCTGCCTCTACTAAAAATACAAAAATTAGCCAGGCGTGGTGGCGTGCGCCAGTAATCCCAGCTACTTGGGAGGCTGAGGCAGGAGAATCACTTGAACCCGGGAGGTGGAGGTTGAAGTGAGCTGAGGTCACACCACTGCACTCTAGCCTGGGCAAAAAAAAAAAAAAAAGATTTTTAGGCCTGTTGCGGCTTGCACCTGTAATCCTAGCACTTTGGGAAGCAGGTGAATCTCTGGAGCCTAGCTTGAGACCACCCTGGGTGGTTTAGCCTAGCTAAACCCCATCTCTATAAACAATACAGAAACCAGCTAGACTTAGTGGCATGTGCCTCATGGTCCCCGCTATTGGAGGTGGGGCTGACATGGGGGGATCGTTTGAGCCCTGGAGGCCTAGGCTGCAGTGAGCCATGATTGTGCTACTGTACTCCAATCTGGGCAACAGACTGAGATCCTGTCTCAAAAACAATTTTTAATTTTTCTAGTATTACAATAGTCTACAAATAATCTAAAAGTCTGACTAATGATCGGAAGTTTAACCTGAAAAGTGTCCCGCCATTGTAATGAAGGTTAACCATGTTACCCACTATACTGATTTGTATTTTATCCCATGTATTTACAATATATGTAAATACAATAGGATATATACAACAGAACAAGATCCTAGTAATAGCACAGAGGAGGTACTTAGGAAAAGTGTAACATAGTGTAACATAGCTGTGTTAACACTTGTAGCAAACTAGACAGACCAGATTTTTTTTTTTTTTTTGAGATGGAGTCTCACTCTGTCGCCAGACTGGAGTGCAGTGGCACCATCTCAGCTCACTGTAACCTCCCGACTCCCTGGTTAAAGTGATTCTCCTGCCTCAGCCTCCCAAGCAGCTGGGACTACAAGCATACGCCACCACACTCAGCTAATTTTTGTATTTTTTGTAGAGCTGCGGTTTCACCATGTTGGCCACAATGGTCTCAATCTCCTGACCTTGTGATCTGCCTGCCTTGGCCTCCTAAAGTGCTGGGATTACAGGCGTGAGCCACCGCACCAGCCATAGACCTGATTTTAGTTAAATTTTATTTAAAAGGTGTCTGCCCTAAATGTGATTTGTCCTCTGTTCATTCAACAGATATTTACTGTGCTCCTATTACATGCCAGGCTCTGTACTAGCTGCTAGCCATATAGCTTTCCATGGTGGTTAGGAAATGAACTTCCAAAGTAATCCTTCTAGCCTGTGTCTCACTGTAGAGGCCAAGTTCAAACTTAAGTATTTAAAACTCAGTTTCTGTACAGCAAAGCAGTCAGTCATGATGGGAGCACATGAGTAAATAACCCACCTCAGCAAGGCACTGAATCCAAGCCTTGGGTGTTTTTTTGTTTTTTAAGAGGCAAGGTCTCACAGTGTTGCCCAGGCTGGAGTATAATAGCTATTTCACAGGCACAGTCATGGTGCACTGTAGCCTCAAACTCCTGGGCTCATGTTGTTCCTCCTATGTCAGCCTCCCAAGTAGCTGGGACTACTACAGGTGGGTACCACCATGCCATGGTGCAGTCCATGGGATGGGCAAGGGAACCTAAGATGTTTCTCCTAATTTTCATAATGCTCTGTTTTTTTTAGACAGTCTCGTTCCACCACCCAGACTAGAGTGCAGTGGCACCATCACAGCTCACTGCAACCTCCACCTCCCAGGTTCAAGCAATTCTCGTGCCTCAGTCTCCCAAGTAGTTGGGATTACAGGGTGTGCACCACCATGCCCAGCTAATTTTTGTATTTTTAGTTGAGATGGGGTTTCACTTTGTTGGCCAGGCTGGTCTCAAAACTCCTAACCTCACATGATCCACCCACCTTGGCCTTCTCTTCATTAATTTTAAATACAGTTTGGTGTCCCAATTCATGATAGATGAGGATTTAGTTCTAATACCAAGCACCTCATTCTGTAACACCCCCCTACAATTATGCGCTTTCCAAACGCATAATTGTGATGAACCTTTCCTGGACTGCTCCAGGCCAACTGGCTTGATACACACAATCCACAGCACTTGAACTGCACCGTCCTCTACTTGCTAACCTAGTCTGGTGAAGTGGTCTTTATTTGCTTTTCATATTTCAAAAATATGTTGTTTGTCTCCTATTTTCTGACCTTTGCTGAGCAGTCCTATTCCTTCCCTGGCCAATTCTCTCATAAATCCTTTTTTTGATTATTCCTAGTTTGTAGCTGAGTAAAGAGTACCAGTTCCCCCCAATCACCAGAACTAGCAACTTCAGTCTTCCTAAAATATTTTACGTTAAAAAAAAAAAAAAAACATTGTTAGGCTTGTTCTAACAAATCTAGTGGTACTACATAATCTAACACTCTGGTCACACCTCGCATGCCTGGGTGCTATGCTTTTGCATCTTTATGTTGCCTCAGCTGGGCGCCACCACAGCCAGCTAATTTTTGCATTTTTAGTAGAGATGGGTTTTCACCGTGTTGGCCAAGCTGGTCTCAAACTCCTGACCTCAAATGATCTGCCCACCTTGGCTCACAAAGTGCTGGGATTACAGGCGTGAGCCACCACATGCAACCGCATCTGGCTGCCATATTGCATATTCTCATATTCTAGCCATGTTATGAAAAGCCTACGCAGGATGCGGTGGCTCACACCTGTAATCCCAGCACTTTGGGAGGCCGAGGCAGGCAGATCACCTGAGGTCAGGAGTTCGAAACCAGCCTGGCCAACATGGTGAAACCCTGTCTCTACTAAAAATTTGAAATTAGCTGAGCATGGTGGTGTGTGCCTGTAATGTCAGCTACTCAGGAGGCTGAGGCAGGAGAATCGCTTGAACCTGAGAGGCAGAGGCTGCAGTGAGGCAAGATCATGCCACTGTACTCCAGCCTGGGCGACACAGTGAGACTCTGTCTCAAAAAAAAGCCTACACATATACAGTACTGTCAGCGTTCTCCAAGGCCCACCTCTGATAACCACCCACCTTTCTTTTCTAATTAATGATTCAAATATATATTTTTTGTCCTCAAGTGCTAATTCTAAATTCTTTTTGTCGACTTAAAGCAACAGGCTTCAGGAGTTGGCTGCTCAAACAAGGCTTGTTAATTCCTTTAGCACAAATACAACTAATAAAGATTACCCCCTTTCAGATGTTAGGTCATAAATTCAAAAGCAATAAGGTTTTAGAAAATAATTTTTATTTAAAAAATCGTAAGTACTGGAATGAAAATATAAAGCATTTGAAAATGGTTTTTTTCTGGCTTAGACAGTTTACTGGGTTAATTCTAGCTCTGTCCTGGGAAAGGGCTCTGAAACCCTCACCTATGAGCATGTCTTACGTCATAGTGAGGGACTTTTACTGTACTGAAAGGAAGCCAGCTGAAGCCGAGATCTGAAGCGCTCAGCTTCCAGTTCCCGGAAGAAAACATCATCATCATTCTGTGTTATCATGTCCTGCAGTTGCTGAATTTCCTTCTCCATCTTAGATCTCAGCTCCCTCTTCACCTTATGTAAAGTCTGAAAAGAGAATGCATGTCATCCTGCTATTCACAGCACTTATCCAGGCCCTAATCTACTGTTGTTCCCTCTCGATCTTCCAGCTAATCAAACTCCTCCAAAAATTTTAACAATCTAGCTAGCAGCAGTTCCCACAGAGACCTAACTAAAGTTAAAATCATAGGATAAAAATGTCTTGGGTCGTAGATGGATTTCTTTATTGTCTTCTCTCCATTCCCTTTAAAGGCATAATACATTTGTTTTCTACTTCCTAAAAATGCAAATAAATTGTCATGTGTCACTTGATGCAGATACATTCCAAGAAATGCATCAAGTGACTTCGTTACTGTGCAAAATGTCAGTGTGTTTACACAAACCTAGGTGGTGGTACAGTCACTGCACACCTGGGCTGCATGGTGTAGCCTACTGCTCCCCACCAATGTCTGAGGTCCCTTGTTGACAGAAACAGTTGCCATGCAGCACCTGACTTGACTTCTATCTTAATTATTACCTGCGCCTGAGATTTCTCTCTGGCTTTAAGTTCTTGATGTTCCTGTGATATGGCTTCTGCCAGCAATGAAAACTGTTGATAAGAAAAAAAAACAGATCTTATATTTAATGTTTGTAGTCCAAAGGTAACATTTCTTAATGTTCATAGGCTTAAAATAGTTTTAATGGAAATAGGGCAATATACTGTTCTGTGGTCAAGAATTATTTGATCTTAAATTTCAGTCTTTAAAATGGGGTCCAGCCAGGCATAAGTGGCTCACGCCTGTAATCCTAGCACTTTTGGAGGCCAAGGCAGGCGGATCACAAGGTCAGGATCCGCCAAGATACTACTCAGGAGGCTGGGGCAGGAGAATCGCTTGAATCCAGGAGGCAGAGCTGAGATTGCACCACTGCGCTCCAGCCTGGTAACTTACAGAATAAGACTCCATCTCAAAAAAAAAAAAAAGACTGCCACCAAAATGGCTAAATAGGAACAGCTCTGGTCCACAGTTCCCAGTGAGAGCAAGCCAGAAGGTGAGTGATCTCCACATTTCCAACTGAGGTAACCAGGTTCATCTCATTGGGACTGGTTAGACAGTGGGTGCAGAACGAGGAGGACAAGCTAAAGCAGGGTGGGGCATCACCTCACCTGGGAAGCACAAGGGGCCGGACAACTTAATTCTCCTAGCTAAGGGAAGCCATTAGGGATTTTTCTGGACACTCTGGCTCAGATACTGTGCTTTCCCATGGTCTTCACAACCCACAGAACAAGAGATTCCCTCCGGTGCCTACAACACCAGCACCCCGGGTTTCCAGCACAAAACTGGGCAGCTGTTTCAGCTGCAGCATTTTTTTTGTTGTTATTCTCATACCCCAATGGCACCTGAATGCCAGCAAGACAGAACAGTTCATTTCTCTGTAAAAAAGGGGGCTGAAACCAGGGAGCCAAGTGATCTTGCTTGGCGGGTCCCACCCCCACAAAGACCAGCAAGCTAAGATCCACTGGCCTGAAATTCTTGCAGCCAGCATAGCAGTTGGAGCTCAACCTGGGACATATGAGCTCCATGGGGGGAGGGGCATCCACCATTGCTGAGGCTTGGGTAGGCAGTTTTAACCTTGCCTGTGTAAACAAAGTCCCAGGAAAGTTTACACACCAGTTGGGTGGAGCCCATGGCAGTTTCAGCAAGGCCTCTGCAGGCAGATGGTAACTAGACTCCCTTCTTGGGACTTAAACATCCTTGCCTGGCAGCTCTGAAGGGAGCAACAGATCTCCCAGCACAGCACTTCAGCTGTGGGACAGACTGCCTCCTCCAGTGACTCCCTGACCTCCATTTATCCTGATTGGGAGTTACTCATACAGGAGAGCTCTGGCTGACATCTCGCAGGTACGCAGTTACCAGAGGAAGGAACAGGCAGCAATCTCTGCTGTTCTGTAGCCCCCACAGGTGATTCCCAGGCAAGCAGGGTCTGGAGTGGAACTCCAGCAGACGTGCAGCAGAGGGGCCTGTGTGTTAATTCTCCTTCTAACAGAAAGAAATAGCTTCGACATCAACAGAAAGGACATCCACTCAGAGACCCCATCCAAAAGTCACAAACTTCAAAGACCAAAGGTAGATAAATCCACAGAGATGTGAAGAAATCAGTGCAAAAATGCTGAAATCACCAAAAGCCAGAACACCTCTTCTCCAAGGGATCACAACTCCTCACCAGCAAGGGAACAAAAACTGGATGGAGAATGAGTTTGACGAACTGACAGAAGCAGGCTTCTGAAAGTGGGTAATAACAAACTTCTCTGAGCTTAAAGGAGCATGTTCTAACCCAATATAAGGAAACTAAGAACCTTGAAAAAAGGTTAGATGAAATGCTAACTAGAATAACCAGCATAGAGAACATAAACAACATACACAAGTATCAATAGCCAAATTGATCAAGCAAAAGAAAGGATATCGAAGACTGAAGATGAACTCAATGAAATAAAGCAAGAAGGCAAGATTAGAGAAAAAGTGAAAAGAAATGAACAAAGCCTCCAAGAAATATGGGATTATGTGAAAAGACCAAATCTACATTTGATGAGGGTACCTGAATGTGATGGAGAGAATGAATCCAAGCTGGAAAACACTCTTCAGGATGTTATCCAGGAGAACTTCCCCAACCTGGCAAGGCAGGCAGGCCAACATGCTAATTCAGGAAATACAGAGGCCACCACAAAGATACTCATAGAGAAGAGCAACCCCAAGGCACATAATCATCAGATTCACCAGGGTTGAAATGAAGGAAAAAATGCTAAGGGCAGCCAAAGAGAAAGGTCAGGTCACCCACAAAGGGAAGCCCATCAGGCTCACAGCAGATCTCTTGGCAGAAAGCCCACAAGAGTGGGGGCAATATTGAACATCCATAAAGAAAATAATTTTCAACACAGAATTTCATATTCAGCCAAACTGAGCTTCCTATGTGAAGGACAAATAAAATCCTTTACGGACAAGCAACTGCTGAGAGAGTTCGTCACCACCAGGCCTGCCTTGTAGAGCTCCTGAAGGAAGCACTAAACATGGAAAGGAACAGCCAGTACCAGCCACTGCAAAAACTCTAAAGACCATTGACACTATGAAGAAACTGCATCAACTAATGGGCAAAACAACCAGCTAGCATCAAAATGGTAGGATCAAAATCACACACAACAATATTAACCTTAAATGTAAATGGGCTAAATGCCCCAATCAAAAGACTGGCAAACCGGATAGAGTGAAGACCCATCTCACGTGCAAAGACACATATAGGCTCAAAATATAGGGATGGAGGAAGATTTACCAAGCAAATGGAGAGCAAAAAAAAGCAGGGGTTGCAATCCTAGTCTCTGATAAAACTAACTTTGAACCAACAAAGATCAAGACACAAAGAGGGGCATTACATAATGGTAAAGAGATCAATACAACAAGAAGAGCTAACTATCTTAAGTATGTATGTACCCAATACAGGAACACCCAGATACATATGGCAAGTTCTTTTTTTTTTTTTTTTTTTTTGAGACGGAGTTTCGCTGTTTTTACCCAGACTGGAGTGCAATGGCATGATCTCGGCTCACTGCAACCTACGCCTTCTGGGTTCAAGCAATTCTCTTGCCTCAGCTTCCCGAGTAGCTGGGACTACAGGCATGCACCACCATGCCCAGCTAATTTTTGTATTTTTAGTAGAGACGGGGTTTCACCTTGTTGACCAGGATGGTCTCGATCTCTTGACCTTGTGATCCACCCGCCTCAGCCTCCCAAAGTGCTGGGATTATAGGCGTCAGCCACTGCGCCCAGCCATACGGCAAGTTCTTAATGTAATCTACCAAGGGATTTAGACTACCATACAGTAACAGTGGGAAACTTTAACACCCCACTGTCAATATTAGATCAACGAGACAGAATTAACAAGGATATCCAGGACTTGAACTCAGATCTAGACCAAGCAGACCTAAAGACATCTACAGAACTCTCCACCCCAAATCCACAGACTGTATATTCTTCTCAGCATCACATAGCACTTACTCTAAAATTGACCACATAATTGGAAGTAAGACACTCCTTAGCAAATGCAAAAGAATGGAAATCGTAACAGTCTCTCAGACCGCAGTGCAATCAAATTAGAATTCAGGATTAAGAAACTCACTCAAACCGCACAACTCCATGGAAACTGAACAACCTGCTCCTGAATGACTACTGGATAAATAATGAAGACATATATAAAGATGTTCTTGAAACCAATGAAAACGAAGACACAACGTACCAGAATCTCTGGGGGACACATTTAAAGCAGTGTCTAGAGGGAAATTTATAGCACTAAATGCCCACAAGAAAAGCAAGGAAAGATCTAAAATCAACACCCTAATGTCACAGTTAAAAGAACTAGAAGAGCAAGATCAAACAAATTCAAAAGCTAGCAGAAGACAAGAAATAACTAAGATCAGAGCAGAACTGAAGGAGATAGAGACACAAAAAAAGCTTAAATCAGTAAATCCAGGAGTTGGTTTTTTGAAAAGACCAACACAATAGACCACTAGCCAGACTAATAAAAAACAAAGAAGTATTGAATAGATGCAATAAAAAATGATACAGGGGATATCACCACCAATCCCACAGAAATACTACTATCAGAGATTACTACAAGCAACTCTATGCAAATAAACCAGTAAATCTAGAAGAAATGGATACATTCCTGGACATTTACACCCTCCCAAGACAAAACCAGGAAGAAGTTGAATCCCTGAACAGACCAATAACAAGATCTGAAATTGAGGCAGCAGCCTACCAACCAAAAGTCCGGGACCAGATGGGTTCACAGCTGAATTCTACCAGAGGTACAAAGAAGAGCTGGTACCATTTCTTCTGAAACTATTCCAAACAATCCAAAAAGAGGGAATCCTCCCTAACTCATTTTATGAGACTAACATCATCCTGATACCAAAACCTGGTAGAGACACAATTAAAAAAGAAATTTCAGGCCAATATCCATGATGAATACTGATGCAAAAATCCTCAATAAAATACTGGCTAACTGAATCCAACAGCATGTCAAAAAGCTTATCCATCTGATCAAGTCAGCTTTATCCATGGGATGCAATGCTGATTGAACATATGCAAATCTAGAAACATAATCCAACACATAAACAGATCCAAAGACAAAACCCACATGATTATCTCAACAGATGCAGAGAAGGCCTTTGACAAAATTCAACAGCCCTTTATGCTAAAAACTCTCAATAAACTAGGTATCAATGGAACATATCTCAAAATAGTAAGAGCTATTTATGACGAACTCACAGCTGGTATCATACTGAATGGGGAAAAACTGGAAGCATTCCCTTTGAAAACTGGCACAAGACAAGGATGCCCTCTCTCACCACTCATATTCAATATAGTATTGGAAGTTCTGGCCAAGGCAATCAGGCAAGAAAAGAAATAAAGGTATTCAATTAGGCAAAGAGGAAGTCAAATTGTCTCTATTTGCAGACAACATGACTGTATAATTAGAAGACCCCATCATCTCAGCCCAAAATCTCCTTAAGCTGATAAGCAACTTCAGCAAAGTCTCAGAATACAAAATCAATGTGCAAAAATCACAAGCATTCCTATACACCTGTAACAGACAAGCAGCCAAATCATGAGACCTCTTCAAGGAGAACTACAAACCCACTGCTCAAGGAAATAAGAGAGGACACAAACAGATGGAAACACATTCCATGCCCATGGTTAGGAAGAATCAGTATCGTGAAAACGGCCATAATGACCAAAGTAATTTACAGATTCAGTGCTCTCCCCATCAAGCTACCATTGACTTTCAAAGAATTGGAAAAAACCACCTTAAACTTCACATGGAAGCAAAAAAGAGCCCGTATAGCCAAAACAATCCTAACGAAAAAAAAAAAGCTAGAGGCATCATGCTTTCTGACTTCAAACTATACTACAAGGCTACAGTAATCAAAACAGCATGGTAGCATGGTACTGGTACCAAAACAAGAGATATACACCGATGGAACAGAACAGAGGCCTCAGAAATAACCCCACCCATCTACAACCATCTGATCTTTAACAAACCTGACAAAAACAAGCAATGGGGAAAGGATTCCCTATTTAATAAATGGTGTTGGGAAAACTGGCTAGCAATATACAGAAAGCAGAAACTAAATCTCTTTCTTATACCTGATAGAAAAATTAACTCCAGACGGATTAAAGATTTAAACATAGGACCTAACACCACAAAAACCCTAGAAGAAAACATAGGCAATACCATTCAGGACAGAGGTACAGGCAAGGTTTTCATGACTAAACACCAAAAGCAATGGCAACAAAAGCCAAAATAGACAAATAAGATCTAATTGAACTTAAGAGCTTCTGCACAGCAAAATATCATTAGAATGAACTGGCAACCAACAGAATGGCAAAAGTTTTGCAATCTACCCATCTGACAAAGGGCTAATATCCAGAATCTACAAAGAGCTTAAACAAATTTATAAGAAAAAAACAAACATTCTGGGAACAGTGGTTCATGCCTATAATCCCAGCACTTTGGGAGGCAGGCGGATCACCTGAGGTCAAGTGTTCAAGACCAGCCTGGCTCTAGCATGGTGAAACCCTGTCTCTACTAAAAATATAAACAAAAATAAAAAGACAACCCCATCAAAAAGTGGGTGAAGGATATGAATAGACACTTTTCAAAAGAAGACATTTATGCAGCCCACAAACATGAAGAAAAGCTCACCACCACCACTAGTCATTAGAGAAATGCAAATCAAAAGCATATTGAGAGTTATGAGTTAGAACTGCAATCATTAAAACATCAGGAGGCAACAGATACTGGAGAGAATGTGGACAAATAGGAACCTTTTTACACTGTTGGTGGGAGTGTAAATCAGTTCAACCACTGTAGAAGACAGTGTGGCGATTCCTCAAGGATCTAGAACTAGAAATACCATTTGACCCAGCAATCCCATTACTGGGTATATACCCAAAGAATTATATATCATTCTATTATAAAGACACAATGCACATGTATGTTTACTGCAGCACTGTTTACAACAGCAAAGACTTGGAACCAATCCAAATGCCCATCAGTGATAGACTGAATAAAGAAAGTGTGGCATATATATACCATGGAATACTATGTAGCCATAAAAAAGGATGCATTCATGTCCTTTGCAGGAACATGGATGAAGCCGGAAACTATCATTCTTAGCAAACTGACGAAAGAACAGAAAACCATACACCACATGTTCTCACTTAAAGTAGGTGTTGAACAATGAGAACACATGGACACTGGGAGGGGAATATCACACACCAGGGCCTGTTGGGGGTGGGGGGAGTTTAGAGGAGGAATAGTGGGGTGGGGGGGGAATTATAGAATTAGGAGAAATACCTAATGTAGATGATGGTGGGATAGATGCTGCAAACCACCATGGCACATGTATAGCTATGTAGCAAACCTGCACATTCTGCACATGTACCCCAGAACTTCAAAAAAAAAAAAAAGAAAGAAAATGGGGTCCTCAAATCTGTAGAGTGCAAACTTTTGTTAACAAATAAAGCTTTACTGTCAACAGACTAAGCAAGTTTTGCCACAAGTACAAGTGATCAGGACTAAGCACAATAGCATAAGTGACAGGAGCCCACCTGGTCTTTATAGTAGTTCTCCATGGAGTCCAGTTCATCCTGGTGGTGTCTCCTTTGTTCATCTCGCTTTTCTTTGGCATAGTTTCTTAGGTCTCGTAATCTTTGCTTCTGAATGTTTAAACCCTCTTCAAACAGTTTCTTAAATATCTGTCAGTTATTTAATCATAAAAACAAAGTCATGCTGAGCTCTCACTGAGGAACATAATCATTTTGCCTAACTAGCAATATATACTGATTATATTTCACAAAGTTTTTTTTTTTTTTTTTTTTTTTTTTTTGGGACGGAGTTTCGCTCGTTACCCAGGATGGAGTGCAATGGCGCCATCTCGGCTCACCGCAACCTCTGCCTCCTGGGTTCAAGCAATTCTCCTGCCTCAGCCTCCTGAGTAGCTGGGATTACAGGCACATGCCACCACGCCCAGCTAATTTTTTTGTATTTTTAATAGAGACCGGGTTTCACCATGTTGACCAGGATGGTCTCGATCTCTTGACCTCATGATCCACCCGCCTCGGCCTCCCAAAGTGCTGGGATTACAGGCTTGAGCCACTGCGCTCGGCCAATATTTTTTTAAATATTAGTTTTATTCAGATATTATTAATGTATCATAAAATTTACCTCCTTTTGTTGAGACAGGGTATTAGTGCTCTGTCACCCAGGCTGGGGTATAGGGGTGCAGTCACAGCTCACTGCAGCCTTGACCTTCAGGCTCAAACATTTCTCCCTGCCGGCTCCCTGAGTAGCTGGGACTACAGGCATATACCACCATGCCTGGCTAAATTTTTAATTTTTTTGTAGAGATGAGGTTTCACTATATTGCCTGGGACCCAGGCTGGTCCCAGGCAATCCTTATACCTCAGCCTCCCAAAGTGCTGAGATTACAGGCGTGAGCCACTGTGCCCAGCCTCACCCTTTTAAAATAAATCATTCCGTATATTTTATTATAGTCAATTGTGCAAACATCACCACTAACTACAGAACATTTTTACCACCCCCCAAAAAACCCTGTACCGAAGCAGTCACTCCCTGTCCCAGTCTGTAGCCTCCGACAGGCACTAGTCTGTCTACTTTCTGTCTCCATGGATTTCCATATTCTCGACACTTCCTATAAATGCAATCATGTAATTTGTGGTCTTTCATACTTGGTTTCTTTGATATACTCCAACTATTTTCAAGATTTATCTATACTGCAGTCTGTATGAATACTTCATTTTTTTTTATTGCAAAGTAACATCGTACTGTAGGAATGAATACACATTGTGGATACTTTGGGTTGTTTCCCCTTTGCCTTGCCAACTTGTCCTTATTTTAGCCATCCTAGTGAGTGTGAGAGGTATCTCTCACTGTGGTTCTGCTTTGTATCTCCCTAATGACTAAGGTGTTCATTATCTTTTCATGTTTCAGATTCTTTACAGCCTTCATAGAAGCATTCTCAAGCAGCCATGTACATTCAGAGTACTGTACACAAGGAAAGAACATCAGATCAGAAACCTGTCTACACATGTACATAACTGAAGAGGGGGGAGTGATCATCTGGTAGGCCACTGGAAAACACACTGTTCAAAGGGCTTGGATATGCCCACTTGTCCTCCTTTCATCAGTGTGACTTCTAGATAGAAAAACTGGTTCTAATGGCAATGCATTCATGAGTTATATTACCTTAGACAAGTACTTACCCTTTCCTCAAAGCCTTAGAAGTATCTTCCTCTAGAAATATTTCCAAGTATTATTACTAAAATATTTTATAGATAAAAGTTACTGCTAGCTTGGAATCACAAAGGGTTAATCATTTCAGCCTGATTAAGAGGACACAGAAATACCCTGTGGAAACCCCTGATAACACAGCTGTTTGACACTATTCCTGATTTCAAGTGGAATCTGAAGTCATGTTATTATACCTCAAATTCCTCTCTCTTACAATACGTTCCCAAACCTCTAAAGCAGTTTTACTGGAGAAGTACCTGTGATGTGTAGGAGGCAGGGAGGAAGTAAGACTTCACATTAAGATGAGGGACACAAAGAATGAGAACACACTGGAATGCACAATGGAATAAGGAAAGGAAGCATGGCCAAGCTGAACTCAGGGCCAGCACTGTAGGATTTCGACAGAGATTCTGGATTCAAATTTGGACAAGAGTCACAAACCAAGAAGGTGGTCCTGAAAGGTTACAAATTCACCTTCTTAACAGGGCTGGACAAAAAAAGCCAGACTTACCATTTCTTCCCGGGTCCTCATCCTCATCATTTTTGCGTGCAACTGAACTCTATAATCATCGTAATATTTTCGAGCACGAACAATTGCCTGTCGATTTTCTTTTATCTTTGATTGGGTCAACCTCTGTCTCTGAATGCAGTCCTTGAAGTCTTGCTAAGAAAGGGAGAGGGGATGGATGAGAGGGGTAAGGACAAGGGGAATGCAGACTCCAACATTCTCAACTGCCCCACTCCCCACCACGATGTCTTCAGGCTTACATAAGCCAGGTGTGTGGGGCAGCTTCCTCACCTCAATCTGAAGAGCAGCTCCAAAAAGCCCCGCCATAGCAGAGGGTGGCAGTGATCCTTGGCACCCCTCTGGAACTGAGAGCTCATCTCCCCATGCCACCACAAGACTGCTAACAAAGCTGACCCAGGTGCCGGCTCACAAGGAGTAGGAAAATGGCACACCCAGACTTTCAAGCACAGCTTGAGTTGTCAGGAGTATTTAATTAGGCAAAAACTAAGGAAATTAGACAATATCTGACAAAGAAGTGAAGATGAAATTAGGTCATATACATAACGTCTCTTTGGTAGGTTTTTCAGATATTTGTGTTTTTTTCCCCACATAGTAAAACACCACATGCAGTTCCTGAGACATGTGTCCAGAACTGTTTAGTACTACAGTTCTTATGACTTATCTCTACTTCACACTCAGGCAAAGGTTTTAAAATCTCTTCCTTTGGCAGACTATTTCTGACCTTTGTCCTCTCCCTTCATAATTCTCTAAGTACAATTCATGGTCAAAATTACAATGGAGGCTGATAAGTCCTGCAGCTCGCTACTTAGGACCTGAGAAGGATGGGAGAGGGCAAACAGCACCAAGTTCAGCCAACTGGGACCTAGAGGAGGGGTCCATGGGGTTCCACAGAAATGGATTAAAATCTCAGCTGTGTCCCTTGCTTATCAGTGAGACCCAGAGCAAGTTACTTAATACCTCAAAGCTTCAGGGTTTTCATTTCATAGAAAACATCTCTAATGCATTACAATAAAGACTAACTGAAACTGCATACAAAGTACCTAGCTCTTCCCCCCGCCTTACTTTGGATCTGTGTGTTGTTGAGACAGGGACTCACTCTGGGACCCAGGCTGGAATGCAGTAACAAGATCACAACTCACTGCAGCCCTCCTAGGCTCAAGTGATCCTCCCTCCTCAGCCTCCCAAGTAGCTGGGACCACAGGCAAACTCCACCATGCCAGGCTCATTTTTTCCATGCCCATATATATGTTTTTAAGACAGTGTTCCACTATGTTGGTGAGTCTGGTCTCTAACTGCTGGTCTCAAGTGATCCTCTCACCAAAGCTTCCCAAAGTGCTGGGATTACAGGCATGGACTATCAATTTTGGTTAAAGACCTAGGCAGAATTCCACATGCAGGCGTTAGAGGTTAAGAGGCTATGAGACTGTTGCCCAGCTGGCACAAATAAAGGCAATGAACATAACAATAAAATCATAATACCCAACATACCAGTCTCTTGTTGTGTTCATATTCTCTCTTGACAAGGGTAGTAAGGAGGTCATGCCTTCTTAGGGCTTCTTCTATCTTTAAGGGGGACATAAAGGCAAGTAGCTTAATAATGCTGGTCACTCAATTCTCAAGGATAAGCTCTTCTCTTTTCTGACTTCAATTCCTATGCTTAAGGATGACAGTAACTTACTTCATCTTGGAGTTTCTTCTTTGATCGATTTTCTCTACATGCCTCTTTTTTAAGCTGTTCAACTTGTGCAATTTGCTGTTTCCACATTTTGCTTAGTGTTGGGCCAGAAATAGAGAGAAATGGAAACTGCTCCAGCATAAGGGGCAGGAGACTGTGTTCACTTACTTTCACTGCAAGGTAAAAGAAGATGCTCTTAATCTGAGCCTTGCAAACAAGAACTGTCATCCAACATCCCTGGTAGATCAAAGCTTATGTAAGTGATATGGTTTTGATCCTGAAAAGAACAATTCTAAATGTACTTATTATAACAATTTGCATTATTTCTCTGATTAGAGTAAGCCAACTACTGGTAAGGATAAAAATAAGCTCAATACTTCTGACTAATGCCATGCTGGTCCTGGGAAGTCCATCCTAATTGCTCAGCTGCTTCAGTGCATGTGGGTAGCTTCCTTACATATGGTAACACAGAAGACTCCTCAACATTCCTGGTAGGCAAGTGCTTAGAAGAAAAAGTCTCTGGTCTTTTTTATCCTGTAAAGAAGTTGCAGGATATAGCAGGGAGGAGGCCAGCAGTATTTGGGGTGTAACTGGAAGCCTGACATTTCTCATGACTTTGTTTCCTTATAAGAAGACTTTATATATGACCATGTGCATGGTCAATATACAGGAGGTGGCTGGGCAGGGTGGCTCACACCTGTAATCCCAGCACTTTGGGAGGCTGGGGCAGGTGGATCACGTGAGGTCAGGAGTTCAAGACCAGCCTGGCCAACATGGTAAAACCCCATCTCTACTAAAAATACAAAAATTAGGCAGGTGGGGTGGCAGGCGCCTGTAATGCTAGCAACTTTAGGAAGGCTGAAGCAGAATTGCTACAACTCAGGAGGCAGAGGCTACAGTAAGCCGAGATTGTGCCATTGCACTCCAGCCTGAGCAACAAGAGTCAAACTCCGTCTTCAAACCAAAAAATATATATATACAGGCCATCAAATTGCCTTCGAGCATCCCCTTCATTCTACCAACTTTCCAGAAACAAACAAAAAGGGAGCCAGAGTGAGTAACAGGAATGAGGCTAAAGTTGGAGCAGCAGTTGGCAGTCCTGGCATTCCTTGGGTGCCAATTTATAGGCCTCCCTAAGATACTTCCTTATTAAAGAGTTTTAGCTCTCTATAGAAAACCAGCCACATGGCAGTGATTAAAAAACCTTCTTCAGCTAACTGATGGATGTTAGCTTTCAGTGCTGTGTCCTCGGAAGGTTGCACACGCTTTCAAAGGCTGTCAGTTTTCCATAAAATACAACTCTGTGGTTCTTACTTGGAACTGCTTTATTTGGCTTTGGGAGGCCACCTCTTGGACTTTGAGCTGTGGTTTTTCTAGAGTAAATCTTCCAGGGCTGACTACATTCTGGAGTTCCTTTATGAACAGATTCTTCTGTATATATTTTTTCCTTAGAAGCGGATATAAAACAATAAAAAAAGGTCTAATAGTTCTTTCATACATTTATCTTAAATATTACAAATTGACAAAAACAGCTAACTATTCCCCAGTCAAACCAACTTACTTAAAATTAGTAAAATCTGGTTAATATTCAACTACTCTAGGTTAAAGGCATCTTTTGGCCTCTGGCATCCCTTGGAATTTGAAAAAGCACTGCATCTTTATCCAGTTTCAGTTACCATAGTCCCACACCCTAAATACAACCACTATTAATGTAAAAAAAAAAAAAAAACTATTAATGTCTCGATGTACTTCTCTTTCCACGTAGATTAAGAAAATTCTCAAGCAACTAACTGTAGTTTGTTTAGTCGTAACCATACTGTACTTTTTACCCTGTTTTGTTCATGAATATTTTAGCATAAGCATTTTCCCCATGATTTCACTTAACTTCTGTAACCATTTATTTGAAAGTCAATGACAACTTCAAGCCCCTGGTGAACTGCTAAGTCAAAGAAACCCTTAAAAACTGATGGAAGTTTTAAGTAGGGGGAAAACACTAGTTTTCTTTGGTACCATGCCTTGCCATATTTTAGCAACCTGAATGCCTTATTAATAAGCCAAAATCCTGTATCATGACATGAAATCCTGTCTTTTTCTAAAGAGCGAATGATTAAGGCCCTGTTGGCCCCTTCTTCTTTTAAGAAGATCATCTTTGTACTTCCCACTCATCTGATAAAATGGCATTTATTACAGTGGAAACTTTTACCCACTGTTTCCTCCTCCTTCTCATGTATCCCTAGAGGTCCAATATTCTCTTGAACTTTATGTCTTCTTAGTTCCCTTTCAAATGCTTCAGTAAATGCCTAGAGGGAAAAAGGTCATATTACAGTTATTAAAAAGATATATAAATGAAGGAAAAAATTCACCTACAATACCTGCCACCCCTACAATATCAAGCTCATTAACTTATTTTTATTTATGTATTTATTTTTTGAATCAGAGTCTCACTTTGTCGCCAGGCTGGAGTGCAGTGGTGCAATCTTGGTTTATTGCAACCACTGCCTCCCAGGTTCAAGAGATTCTCCTGCCTCGGCCTCCTGAGTAGCTGAGATTACAGGCATGTGCCATCATGCTCAACTAATGTTTGTATTTTTAGCAGAGACAGGGTTTCACCATATTGGCTAGGATTGTCTCAATCTCTTGACCTCGTGATCCGCCTGCCTCGCCTTCCCAAAGTGCTGGGATTACAGGTGTGAGCCACCAAGCCCAGCCTAAGCTCATTCACTTACAAAAAAATTCCTAGCCAGGCGCAGTGGCTCACACCTATAATCCCAGCACCTTGGGAGGCCGAGGCGGGTGGATCACGAGGTCAAGAAATTGAGACCATCCTGGTCAACAAGGTGAAACCCTGTCTCTACTAAAAATACAAAAATTAGCTGGGCATGGTGGTGCGCACCTGTAGTCCCAGCTACTCAGGATGCTGAGGCAGGAGAATTGCTTGAACCCAGAAGGCGGAGGTTGCGGTGAGCCGAGATCATGCCATTGCACCCCAGTCTGGGTAACAAGAGTGAAACTCCGTCTCAGAAAAAAAAAAAATTCCTTTCAGACTCTGTATCACAAATCTATGTTTTTTCTTCTTCTTTTTTAGACAGAGTCTCAATCTGTTGCCCAGGCTGGAAGCAGTGGAACAATCTTGGCTCACTGCAACCTCTGCTTCCTAAGTTCAGGCGATTCTTCTGCACCAGACTACTGTAGCTGGGACTACAGGTGTGCACTGCCATGCCCACCTAATTTTAGTATTTTTAATAGAGACGAGGTTTTACCATATTGGCCAGGCTGGTCTTGAACTCCTGACCTCAGGTGATCCACCTGTCTCAGCCTCCCAAAGTGCTGGGACACTGCACCCGGCCCACAAATCTATATTAACATATGTAATTGTGACATAAAATAAAATTTTACATCATGCATTTTTTTTTGTTCTCAAATTTTTGCAATTATGTTAATACTCTCCTGAGTGGAAGTTACAAAAATACCACATTATAAAACCTACTACAGCAAACAACTTAAGTGTTCTAAATCCATACTACATTTCAAAATCTACATTCCACAGTGGAAAGTCACCATGGGTAATCATATCAGTCTCCTTGTTGAATCCCAACCTCCTCCACTCATTCCTGTCTTGGGTACTTGATATCATCTTCTTTGTACTCAAGTGGCCTGTCACGTTTAATCCACCTCAAATTCCCTTCATATCTGAAGCTCACTCTGAAAATAACAACCCCACACTGATCTCCTCTTTCTTAATCCACTGGAACCCCAAGCTATGTCCAGCCAGGTTCTTTTTTTTTTTTTTAAGAATTTCGTGAATATAATTTTATGCTAATGCAGACATAAGCTATGTCTCATAGCTCTCTATCACCCACTCTGCTCATAAATATTTAATCATTTTAAGCCTTAACAGCATGTTCACGGTAGCATCTGTCTGAAGGGAAATGGTATCGCCCGCTGCTCAATGGTAGTCAAGAGATGAAGTACCTGTGCTCGTAACTGGCGGATATCTGTTTCTCTTGGCTTGCGCTGCCTTTTTCTCTCCATGTGGAACTGTTTCTGTTTGTTAACGGGAGATGGAGAGAGTGAATGGGATCTGTATGGTGGCTTTCTACGCACGGAAAGTCCTGCAACAGAGAAAAAAACATATAACATTAGTTCCCGATAGCCAGAATGTTATGCTGTAAACCAAAGTTGGTTTTTACTAAATCCAAAGAGACTGATGAGTGAAGGTGCTAAAGGGACTCTCTGCTGTAACTAACTTGTATTTGTATGGTAACACCAAGTAAATAATCAAATGCATACAAATATATACTGTCTCAAATACTTAGGTTCTACATTTCACTTTGGATATTCAACACATGGAATGCCTCCTGTGCAGAAAAGACTATGGAGAGTGCTCTTGGTGATAGGGCTGGTGATGGGAAGAGAGAAAAGGCAAATTATCTGAGCCATGCATCTGCCATCCTTTTACCTATAATGGATCCTGAGAAGGTGGGATATAAGCATACATATCTATTATACATGCTTATAAGCAAAGTTAATGTGTTAAGCATTGTCTAAGCAGTCCCAATTCTTCCCTACTTAGCAATCTAATTGCACACTACCAAAGAGATCTAACAAACCATTTCTTTCTACAAACCTTTTGATCCCATTGTCTATAGGTGTGTCTGGGCATCTGCTAGTTGTGAAGAGGGTGAATCCGGTGGGAAAAGCACTTCAAGATAGCCTTAAGACTGAAGAAGTTAGTTTGGTACCTTTATAAATAATTTTTCCCTGAGCTTTTTTTATTTTTTCACATGCTTTCAATTCAAATCATTCACATTTTAAATTCTAAGAAGTATTTTAAAAAACTGACTTGCATAATCTATTTTACGTGACAGCTGCTCATGATGTATTCTTCTCTAAAAACCTACCTGAAATAACAATTTATAATCTGTTTTCACAATAGGGTACCATGTATATGTACATAATAAGGGAAAAGAAGAAGGTTCCTGAGTGAGGCTGCCTAGAAATTAGCTGAGTCATTTTAAAGGGAAGAGAGATGAAACAATCAAGAGAAGGAAAGAGCATTCTTAAAGGAGTAAAAAACAACTGAAAAAGATAAGGAAGTATTGGGTCAGAAAAAAACTATTTCTGAAGAAACAATGGATGACCAAAGTAGATAAAACTAAATGTAAGGCTGGGCGTGGTGGCTCGCAGCTGTAACCCCAACATTTTGGGAGGCCCAGGCAGGTGGATCATGAGGTCAGGAGATCAAGACCATCCCGGCCAACCCCATTTCATTTTAGTAGAGTGAAACCCCATCTCTACTAAAAATACAAAAAAAATAGCCGGATATGGCAGCACGCACCTGTAGTCCCAGCTATTGGGAAGGCTGAGGCAGGGGAAATTGTTTACATCTGAGAGGCAGAAGCTATAGTGAGCCAAGATTGCTCCACTGCACTCCAGCTTGGTGACAGAGGGGGATGCTATCTCAGGAAAAAAGAAAAGAAAAAAAAAAAAAAAACAACTAAATGTAAAATATGAAGGATTTTTGTTGGTGGAAGACAGGATAATTGGATTTGAACAATGGCATATCAAACAGTAGGAAGTATTTGCAAAGAGGTGGCAAACCAGAAACTGCTGATAGGAGTATAAACCAGTATAATCACTTTGGTGGACAAGTTGGCAACTGTGAGGAAATGTAGGCCTGATGATCCAGCAATCCTACTAGATGGAGATCCCACAGAAACTCTTGCACATATTCTAGGCTGCTCATTGCAGAATTTTTACAGTAAAAAAATGGGAAACAATCAACATGTCCAGGAATAGGGGAAATGGATAGTGCTATATACAGACTCACACAAAACTGCTATACCGTAAGGACTCAGTTACACTGCAGTTACAATGAATGAACTGGATCTATAATTACAACATAAAATAGATTTCTAAGATAATGTCAGAAAAAAACACAAGTTGCAGAACAATATGTAAATTTTTAAACAACATAAAACAACAGTATGTTTAGACAAATAATGTATGGGCTGTTAAAGTATAAAAATAAGAAGAAGAAAAGATGCCAACTTTACGACAGTGGTGGTGCTGAGGGTGGGGAGAAAGATGTGTGGGGAGAGCAGAGGGGATTTCTACTGTTTTATTTCCTAAACACAAAGAGGCAAAAGCAAATACAACTGTTAACATCTGCTACTTCTAGGTGGGGAAGATCCAGGGGTTTTATATCATTTTTGATCCTTTTATATATTTCTCAGCTATTTAAAATTAGAATGTAAGTTAATAAAGACAGATGGAACTGCCTAAGCAGTTCACATGGATATCCCCCTTTTCAGCCTCTCTGGGGAAGTACCTGGCCTTGACTTCTTTGGCCCATACTCCATGATGCCATCACTGTGCTGAGACAGTGTCTCCTCAGTTCCATCCTCTACTTCTTCACTTCCAGTATCTTCTTTATGGTCAGTCTTTTCTTTAATCCGATCACCCAGGGCACTTTTTAACATCTATTGAGAAAATTCTTTTCAACACCTTTCACTAATTTCGGCAGAAGGTAAATTTGTAGGAGTAGGCAGACCTTTAAAAAGCTTCCTTTGACAGTCACTGACAACAAGTTTTCAGATGCTTAGGCATGTTTAGTTTTATTATTTACTTTTGAGACAGGGTCTCGCTATGTCACCCAGTTTGGAGTGCAGGGGTGCTAGCTGAGCTCACTGCAACTGCCACCTCCTGGATTCAAGTGATCCTCCCATCTCAGCCACATCAGTAGCTGGGATTATAGGCATATGCCACCAGGCTCAGCTAATTTTTGCATTTTTTGTAGAGATGGGGTTTCACCATGTTGCCCAGGCTAGTCTCAAACTTCGGCGCTCAAGCGATCCGCCTGTCTCAGCCTCTCAAAGTGCTGGAATAAGGGTGAGCCACCGTGCCTGGCATATATGTTTAGTTTTAAAAAGGTGTCTATCAGTGCTATGCATTAAGTTTCAATAAACTTTACAGTAAGTCACACAGGGATTTAAAACATTCATTCAATGATACCTTAAAACTGTAATACTGTATTTTGACAGAATCTGTGATACATTCAATTTTATACCCAGATCTTTTTTTTTTTTTTTGATGGAGTTTTGCTCTTGTTGCCCTGGCTAGAGTGTAATGGCGTGATCTCGGCTCACTGCAACCTCCACATCCCAGGTTCAAGTGATTCTCCTGCCTCAGCCTCCCAAGTAGCTGGGATTACAGGCATGCAACACCACACCCAGCTAATTTTTGTATTTTCAGTAGAGACAGGGTTTCTCCATGTTGGTCAGGCTGGTCTTGAACTCCCAACCTCAGGTGATCCACCAACATTGGTCTCCCAAAGTGCCAGGATTACAGGTGTGAGCCACTGCGCCTGGCCCAGATCTGTCTTTAGTGACAAAGGGAAACTATCTAGGTGTATCTAAAGAAAAATGGCTTTATGTTCAATGATTTAGTTGTCATCAGAATTCAATAAAATTTGGATAAATCTGTTCCAAATTTAGTTACATCATGAAAGGCTGAGATATCACTGTTCCTGTTCTACCTGCTTGACTTATGGAACATTTTCACAGGAACTATTAAGACACAACTAATTTTCTAATACCTCACTTTCAATTGAGAGATTACTTAAATTCCAACTTAACCCTCGGGAATCTCAATACAGATGAAAAAACAAGACTTGCCCAATCTAATTCAGAGAGCCGCTGAGAGAGTTTCTCCGATACAGCATGTAATTCTTGCTCCGTTAATCTCTTTCTTGGCCTCTGGGGGAAAGGTGAATTGAAGGATGAGGCTGTAGCTCTATTTCCATTTCTGTAATAAAAGTGACCATGTGACAGTTAAATAGCTAGCTGTATATTACTTAGTTTAAAATAACTGTAATAGATGCTTTAACAAATACTTCATATTTGTCTTCACAGCTAAATTTGGAGATTATGCCCCTTCATTTTCAAATTCCCTTGCAAGCAGACTGTAAACACCGAAGTCTGCAGTAATGTTACCTTTTTCCTTTGGGAGCCTTCCTTGTCCTAGGCCCCGGGACCTGAGCTGGATCTGCTTCCTGCTTGCTATCGTTAGGCAACTTGGAAGTTAAGAAAACTCTATCATCTAGATCCTATTAAAAACAGAAAAAAAAGTGATATGAAAAAGCTACAAATAAACATTAACATTTTGGGGGTGAACAAGGGAAGAACTGTGGCACAAAGCTATGTGCCTTGAATCTCCATGTTTTGAAGTGCATTTGTTAAAAGACCCTATTGACACCCAATGCACCAAAGGACTGGAGCAATGTCTAGAAACTTGTGCTCAAAGTGTGGCTCAGGATGCCATTCAAATAAAAAGATAGGCCAGGTGTTCTAAATATGAAATTTCAGAGGTTAACCACTGCAACAGGGCAACAAAAACAAAATGATTACTAGTAGAAAGTATTGAAGTGGTTATCTTTTGAAGAGTCAATAAAGGCTGTCCAAATTAAAACAGCTAAAACAAAGACAACACTCCCCCCAAAATATATATAAACCCTTAACATTTAAATTTGTTTTCTTTTTTTGGGAGACAGAGTCTTGCTCTGTCGCCCAGGCTGGAGTGCAATGGCTTGATCCGCCTCCCAGGTTCAAGTGATTCCACTGCCTCAAGTTCCCAAGTAGCTTGGATTACAGGTGTGTGCCACAAAACCTGGCTAATTTTTTTTTGTATTTTTAGTAGAGACAGGGTTTCACTTGTTGGCCAGGTGGTCTCAAACTTTTGACCCAGGTGATACACCCACCTCGGCCTCCCAAAGTACTGGGATTACACACGGGAGCCACTGTGTTTAGCTAAATTTATTTCTTAGCCTTAGAGATAATCTTTCAGAAAATACTTCTTGTGATAATGAAACATTTATTTAATGTTTAATGATATTTTTAATTTCACTTATCTTTTTCTATTAAAGTAAAATTAAGTACGTTTTAGTAGGCTGGGGTGGTGGTTCATGCCTGTAATCTCAGCAATCTGGGAGGTGGAGGCAGGCGGATCACTTGAGACCAGGAGTTAAGACCAGCCTGGCCAACAGGGCAAAACCCTATCTCAACTAAAGAAATATATATACATAAAAAAATCAGCCAGGCATGGTGTCTTGTGTGTCTGTAGTCTCAGCTACTCAGGAGGCTAAAGCAGGAGACTCACTTGAACCTGGGAGGTAGAGGTTGCAGTGGGTACGGATTGTACTACTACATTCCAGCCTGGGCGACAGAGCAACAATCTGTCTCAAAAAAAAAAACCCAACCAACCTTTTAGTAAATAGCAACTATAATTCAATCATATTTTTGTTTTTAATTTTTTTATAAGACTTTATAAGTGTGTCTAACACAATGAATTATTTCAAAACAAACACTCCCATTTAACTGACACCCATGTCAAGAAACAGAATATTACCAAATCAGAACTGCCTCCATAACCCCCACTATGATTCCTCCAAAAGTAAACATTATCTTATGACTCCATCTTAATCCCTCTTTTTATCTATCCACTCTCCTGTTTAGAAGTATAGAATGTTGAGAATGTGGTCACCTACTGTTAATAATGCTTATTTCCTCTCTGTACATTTAATGCTTTGAATTATTAAATAATGAGAATGTATCACCGTTTATAAATCTACCCCATGTACATGTCTGCCTGTTTTTTTTTTATTTTACTTTTTTTTCTTTTTGAGACAAGGTCTTGCTCTGCTGCCCAGGCTGGAATGCAGTAGTGCAGTCATAGCTTACATTAGCTCCTGGGCTCAAGTGATCCTCCTGGCTCGGCCTACCAAGTAGCTAAGATCACAAGCATGTGCCACCACTCCCAGCTAATTTTCTATTTTTAGTAGAGACAAGGTCTCACTATGTTGCCCAGGGTGTTCTCAAACTCCAGCTCAAGTGAGCCTCCGGAAGTGCTGGGATTACAGGTGTGAGGCACCGCACCCAATCCTGTTCTTTGTAGAAAGATAAGAACAGGATGACTATATAAAAATGATTTTTTTTTTCCTTGAGACAGAGTCTCACTCTGTTGCCCAGGCTGGAGTGCAGTGGCGCAATTTTGGCTTACTGCAATTGAAGTAAATAGGCCAATATATGAACAGTGGTTCATGCTGGAAATGGGGAGTATGCATGGATGGCTATTTTCTTTTCCATTCTGTTTTCTAAATTTGAAATTATTAAATTAAGGACACAATATGGACTCCGAAGCCAGAATGTCCAAGTTCAAATCCTGACTCTATAATTGCTGTGTAACCTTGCCCTCTCTACCTTAGCTTCCCCATGATAAATAAACATAGTAGCTGCTCCAGAGTTGTTCTGGGGAATTATTCAGTATCCCTAAAGTATCCAGAACTGTGCCTGGCACAAAATAAACACTCACTACATGTTGGCTCTTATTATTTCCCTTTTTATATATTCATCTTTCTCCTATCTTCCTAGAACAAGAATGTGCAGGTGTATACAGAAGCAAATTTTAAGAAGTACAATGCTTTGATGAGTGCATTATGCCTGACAATTCTAGCAGAGACTTATTTAAATATAAGGGCTTCCTCAACAAAGAATACTTCACCAACACACACACACACACACACACACACACACACACACGGGCTTCTGGTCAATTACCAAGACACATACAGACACACATACACGTGCACTTCTAGCCAACTGAAAGCAAGCTTTTCCACTTACCCCAGAAAATTCCATATACTCTCCAGCAGAATTTACGGCTGGTGAGCAGAGATTTGAACGCAAGTATTCTTTTCCTATGGGGCAGGGTGCTCGAGGCTCTGAAGGATGGTAGGGTGGATGTAAAGGAATAGCTGCTCGAATAGGCTCCCCTAGCTTCCTAGCATTTGGAATCCTCACAGAAAGGGTTTCCACTAGTAAGACAAATTAAAGTGGTTATTACAATACAATTCTAAGAAATAAACCATTTTATATAAATACATACATACATAAACATGTTTTCACATATTAGAAATATTTTTAAACTTGATCAAGACAAAGCACATAAAAAAATAATTAAACTAGGGATGCAGCCTCAGCACACAGGGATCTAATTAAATCATAATGTAATTTTCTTTTTTGATCTTTTCATTTTTAAAAAAAATAGAGATGAGGTCTTGCTTTATTGCCTAGGCTGGTCTCCAACTGCTGAGCTCAAGCGATCCTCTGGACTCAGCCTCTCAAAGTGTTGGTACTGCAAGTATGAGCTACCATGCCTGGCCCAAGATGTAATTTTATTATCATAAAAATATTCCCTGAAAGTTACTTTAAAATAATAAAAACCTGGAAGCAACTTAAATGGCTTGAAGAATGCTATGTGAATTATGGTTCATCCACATGTTAGAAAACTAGTTAGGCAGTAATGACTTTATATATTACTACCATATGAAAATCCCAGAGATAACAGTAAGGAACAAGAATATTTTTCCAGTTATTGTACTTTGTTATTCACTAATAATATAAAGACCACCAATAGATGTACTTAAGTATCAGAGATTCTCGCTGTCTCATAACAAGAGTGAGTGGAAAGAATTTAGATAATACAACAGTGGATACAAAAATATGCAAGCATAGACCGTCTTAAGCAGAAATCAGAGCTCATAATTAATAGCAAACATTTACAAGATCATGTAAGACCAAAAAGGATCTCATATACAGCAACAAAAGTAAAAAGGGTAATAGCAACAACAATTGCCCCAAGAATGATCATCAGCAGTAGTGTAAAGAAATAATACCAATTACAACTCACCGTCTTCAACAAAGGATGTCCTATTCTTGGACAAAACACTAGAAGGGCACGACACATCTTCATGCGACTTAGAACTTGGTGAGGCTGAGGCTTTTTTAGACAGCATTTCATTAGGACATTGGGTAACTGGGAAAGAAAATAGTAAAGTTTTTAACTATCAAAATAGTTTGCTGAACATTATACTAAAAGCCAAGAGTTCTGTACTCAGGAAATAAAAAATTAAATAATGTTGAAAGAAATAATGTTGGTCCGATTGCTCGAAATACCAATCATTATTATTTTTGAGACAGGGTTTCCCTCTTGTTGCCAGGCTGGAGTGCAATGGTGCAATGTAGGCATACTGCAACCTCCACCTTCCAGGTTCAAGCAATTCTCCTGCCACAGCCTCCCAAGTAGCTGGGAATACAGGCACCCACCACCAACTCTGGCTGATTTTTTGTATTGTTAGTAGAGGCAGCGTTTCACTATGTTGGCTAGGCTGGTCTCAAACTCCTGACCCCAAGTGATCAGCCCACCTCAGCCTCCCAAATTGCTGGGATTACAGGTGTGAGTCACCATGTCCAGCCATAGCATCAATTATAATTTTTAATTGCTATCAGAAAGCAAGACGCCATTTTGTAGCCCAGAATCATTTATACAATTTAAAAGCAAAGTTTTACACAATGTTTCATTATTCTGCTTTAGAAAAAGAGGTGCCAGGTTGTGGAAATGCTGACTATTATATGGACCTCCCTTGTTATGAACAGACACCAGAGTTAGGGTCTTAGCTAGTACCACAATCAAGGACTCATGGTCCAGGCTGGGTGCAGTGGCTCACACCTGTAATCTTAATACTTTAGGAGGCCGAGGCAGGCAGATCACTTGAGGTTAGGCATTCAAGACCAGTCTAGCCAACATGGTGAAATCCAACCTCTACGAAAAATACAAAAATCAGCCAGGCATGGTGGCGCACACTTGTAACCCCAGCAGCTTGGGAGGCTGAGGCAGAGGTTGCAGTGAGCTGAGATTGCCCCATGACATTCCACCCTGGGTGACAGGACAAGACTTGGTGTCAAAAAAAAACTTATGATCCATAAACTGAAGCCTAAATTAGATGCCTGTGAATGTATATGATAGTTATCTGACACTTTAAATCTAAATATGAAAGGAAGCTGCCATAAGCCCTTTTATCACATCAAACCCAAACACCTTGGTGAGGCATCTCTCAAAATCTTTTCTCCTTTGCCTTAATTGCATTTCTCTTAAACACAATTCCCCTCTCTACTTGTAACATTCAAACAAGTAATTCATTTTACATAGCACTTGACATCACAGAACCCGTTTCTGCAATCACCATCCCTTCCCTTCTCCTCCTTCAAGAAACATTCTTGTAATACCCACGCTTGACTCTGATCCTTCTGTTACTGTGCCCATCCCAATGGCAAGCATAGCTTTTTGGTCTACTGCTTGACTTTCCAGATTTAGGTTCTTCGATAATTCCTTGGAATGCGTGCAGTGTCTATACCTTGGAATCAGAGTATTAATGCTGAATGGGACTTCAGAGATGGGTTAGTCCAATTCCTTAATTTCCCACTTGAAAAAACTGGGGCTCAGAAAAGAGCCTTGTCCAAAATCACAAAGCCAGTAGAAGAGCCTGGAAGAGGATGAGGATGAAGGCCACCTGACTCTCAATTTAATGTACTGAATTCCACTCTAGTATTCTCGTCCTTCTGTTCAAATAATACTTGTGGCCTGATGTTTTGCTAAGTGTTGGAATACTAAAATGACTAAGAATGATTTCACTATACATTTTTTCTTATCAGCTGCCTCCACAAGTAGAATGTGAGCCACAAAGGCAGGGTTTTGTGTGTTTTGTTTACTACTGTATCACCCCTGTCTGGTACATAGAAGGCACTGAACCAATATTTGCTGAATGACTATGACTGGCTACTATCCCTGGAACTCAGTTTATGTAACAGGCAAACTGTAAGGTACCATGCAATGTGTCGATGTTGTTACAGAAAGAGAAAGCCACACTGTAGAAAGAGTAGGAAGCAGGAAGACTCTGTAGCCTCAGAGTCTGTGGCAGGTAAGGGAGGCTGGAAACTGAAGGGTGAGTTTTCTGGGAATCAAAAGGAAAGGAGAACATTCCAGCATAGAAAACAAAAGAAAAAGCATGGCAGCCAAGGTGGGCAGGATGGAGTACGATGACTGGAGGAAGGCAAGGATGGAGGCTCAAAATTGGGGCTTGAAAGATATCCAGGTCTGCTGTCTGCAAGCAATAGGTTGCTGGAAATCTGGCCTGAAACCTAGAAAAAAAAAATTGCCACTGTGTGTATGATGAACTTATTGGTTGAAATAATGAAAAAAGTGAGTCAACCACCAGCTCAGGAAACTACAATTAAGGAGTATCCTGAAAGCATGACCAGACTGTAAGCTGCATCCATAATTCTCTTACCAGGTTATCAGGAACCACAAATTGCCTGATAAGCTTGCATACAGTTATTTGCCTTGGACTTATCTGCCCATGTGCCTGTGACTTCTCCTAACTATTTATATTTAATGGGTAGCAGGCTATGCTGGAATTTCAACTCCCATGTCCAGTTAGGGCTCTCTCTATTCTTCTCAAGTTTAAACACTCCTACATACCAGTTACATTTTTATAGGTATATGTTATATAATAATAGCTACTCACCATTACTTCTTAGAGAAAAGGTGTGTGCTGTGTCTCCAAGTCTAATGATTTCACCAGTGGATTCTGCTTCATCTCCATCCCAAGAGGGGCCCAACGTCTCAGAAGACAAGGAGCACCTGAAAAAGTTCCCTCCTTGACTTGGGGCCCAGCCTGACCAGACGGCCCTTTCCTCTGAGGACCTGGACAGCTGCTGCGTACAGAAAAAGGGAAAAACTCTCCCTTTTGCTACTCAGTATGTCTTGCTGCTTATGTGTTTTGTTTTGACTGATACATGAACAGTGGAATTAGCTGTGTATTAAGTGTCAATGATTAAACATATAAGAAAAGAGCAAATACTGGTGACTCTAGGGTGTGGGAGTGAAGGGGGTGGGATGCTAATTTTGCATTAAATGTCCTTGAATTGTTTTACATTTGCGTTTATTTTGTTATTTAAAAAAATCTTATGAAAAGAAGTTCATTGGACCAGCCTCGGTGGCTCATGCCTATAATCCCAGCACTTTGTGAGGCTGAGGTGGATGGATCACCTGAGGTCAGGAGTTTGAGACCAGCCTGGCCAACATAGTGAAACCTCGTCTCTATTAAAAATATAAAAAATTAGCTGGGTGTGGTGGCACACACCTGTAATCCCAGCTACTTGGGAGGCTAAAGCAGGAGAATCGCTTGAACCCGGGAGGCAGAGGTTGCAGTAAGCTGAGATTGAGCCATTGCACTCCGGCCTGGGCAACAAGAGCAAAACTCTGTCTCAAAAAAAAAAAAAAAAAAAAAAAAGAAAGAAAGAAAAGAAGTTCATCTTATGATGGTCTTCTGAGACATGTTTGTCACAATGTACTTTACCTAAAAAAGGCATTGCCTGTGCTTTTTGAACCATGACAAACTCCATTAAAAAAATTAAGAATCAGCTTTTTAAAAGAAAGATACTTACATAAGACAAGTTCTTAATGACTTATAAAGAGACTGAGACTCCCATTAATAGTGGGAGACTTTAACATCACATTGTCGATATTAGACAGATCAACGAGACAGAAAATTAACAAGGATATCCAGGACTTGAACTCAGACCCGGAACAAGTAAACTTATTAAACATTTATAGAACTCTCCACCCCAAATACACGAAACATACATTCTTATCAGTACCACATCACACCTACTCTAAAAGTGACTACATACTTGGAAGTAAATCACTCCTCAGTAATTGCATAGCGTTTCACAGGTTTAAATGAAATATTGGTTGGCTGCTTGTTTGTTATTTTCCTCCCTTATTCTTTCCTGTCTCCATTGTTAAGCACAATTATTGGCATAAAAGAGGTTTTTAATACCCACTTTTAGACTGCATTCTAGCCTGGGCAATAAAGCAAGACTCCTGTTCTCTCTCCCTCTTTCTTTCTCTCTTTCATTCTTTTCTTTCTCTTTTTCTTTTTTTTCCAAAAAAAAAGAAAGAAAGATAGAGCATCATCTTCAACATCTAGTTAGCAAGAAGTGCAATCAAACCTATCATGACAATACATCTTTGTCTATGAAAAAAGTACAAATTTAAAACCTCTGAAAATGGTGAATGATACTGGCTCATGAGGGTCCTGTAACCCAGCATTACCGTTGGTAAATGCAGTCATGGCCTATTGGAAAACAATCTGGCAACTTTTATTAATAGTGTTAAAATATTTGTACTGTTTACTCTGAATTTAGCCTCAAGATATAAGGAGAAAAAACAGAATAAACATTAAGTATCATGTTTTTGATAATATTAAAAAAAAGAAACCCTCCACTTCAGAGGAAAGGTTTAGTAATTTATGAAACACCCACATGAATGATGTTATACAGTGATTAAAAATTACAATAAAGAATGTGGCCGGGCGCGGTGGCTCAAGCCTGTAATCCCAGCACTTTGGGAGGCCGAGGCGGGTGGATCACAAGGTCAAGAGATCGAGACCATCCTGGTCAACATGGTGAAACCCCGTCTCTACTAAAAATACAAAAAATTAGCTGGGCATTGTGGCGCGTGCCTGTAATCCCACCTACTCAGGAGGCTGAGGCAGGAGAATTGCCTGAACCCAGGAGGCAGAGGTTGCGGTGAGCCGAGATGGAGCCATTGCACTCCAGCCTGGGTAACAAGAGTGAAACTCCATCTCAAAAAAAAGAAAAAAAAAAGAATGTAACAACTTAAGGCTGGGCGCAGTGGCTCACACTTATAATCCCACCACTTTGGGAGGCTGAGGCGGGGGGGATCGCTTGAGATCAGGAGTTCAAGACCAGCCTGACCAACACAGTGAAATCTCTTCTTACCAAAGATACAAAAATTAGCCAGGTGTGATGGTATGTGCCTATAGTCCCAGCTACTCAGGAAGCTGAGGCACAAGAATCACTTGAACAAGGGAGGCAGAGGTTGCAGTGAGCTGAGATCACGCAAGTGTGACAAAGCAAGACTCTGTCTCAAAAAAATGAATTCAACCACTTGAGAACGCTTAATGTTAAGTTTAAAAATGCAGGAAACAAGCGTGTTGAGGTGGGTCATGCCTATAATCCCAACACTTTGGGAGGCTGCAGCAAGAGAATTGCTTGAAGCCAGGAATTTAAGACTAGCCTGGTCACTACAGTGAGATCCCATCTGTTAAAAAAAAAAAAGGAGAGAGAGAGAAAAATTAGCCAGGTGTATTAGGTGCACACCTGTGGCCACAGATACTTGGGCGTAAGTCCAGGAGTTCAAGGCTGCAGTGAATGCTGATTATGCTACTGTACTCCAACCTGGGTGTCAGAGCAAGACCCTGTTTCTTTATTTAAAAAGTAGGGGTGGGAGGCAGGCGACAAAATTATATAGACATATGACTAAATCAAAAAAAAAAAAAAATCTAAAATTTAACAAAATGTTAACAGCAGTTATTTAGTTCTGAATGGTAGATTTTTTTCCCTGCTTTTTCAAAATATCTATTTCGCAAGTTTTTTGCAGAGATTATGACCTACTTTGATGATTAAAAGAAAAATAAAAAAAACGAGTAGGTAGTTAATACTGAGATTTAGGTATTATATATAACTCAAGGTTCTTAAAACACCCTCAGGAAGATTTAAAATAGAGAAGTTAGAAGTTTCACATTAGCACTTTTTGGTGCCATCTTAGTATATTACGTGTCATTTTAATTCTTAGTCCAAAAAGTATTAACTTGTTTTGATTAAATTCACAGACACTGAGTCCTACCTCTGAAAAGAAACTCTTTTCCATGATGATTTAGAGTCTTTAGTACTTTCTGGCTCTTCCAAACGTTCTCGTTGATCGAATTCTTTAAAATTCTGGTCAGTTTCACCTGTTTAGAACAGATAACACCACCACCAAAAAACCCCTAAGTGAATACTACTTTTTTTTTTTTTAAAAGATGGGGGTTTCACCACGATGGCCAGGCTGGTCTTGAACTCCTGACCTCAGGTGATCCACCCACCTGGGCCTCCCAAAGTACTAGGATTACAGGCGTGAACCAGCGCAACCGGTGTGAATACTACTTTTTCTATGTAAGAGGCAGGGAGAGGTAGGGACAGGAAGGCACCCCAACCTGTCATGGTAAATAGGGTTCTCATGAAAGTGAAATCATAAAGAACCAAATCTTTGCCTGTAATAAGCATGCATTATTCGAGTAACAAAAAAACAAGGATGTTGCTTTAAAAACAGGGTCTACAGATGTAAGAGCAATGTTTCATTTTTTAAGTTGGTATCAGGTCTATTTCATATTTTTATACCTATCTGTAAGGGATGGCTGAGGTAAATCACAATGACAGAAAACACAATTGTGTCAACCTAATGCAAGCTCTAAGACTATCATGCCTTAAGCGAAGTCACACTGCATCAGGGCTCGGATGAAATTTTTCTTAAAACCATCAATCTTTTTTCCACCCCAACATACTTGAAGAATACATATTTTCACCAGTGGCTGTAACTTACTGGGCAATAATTTCTCAAAAAAAAAAAAATTGAGAATCAGCTTTTTAAAAGAAAGATATAGCATCATGTTCAACATCTAGTTAGCAAGAAGTGCTAACGTACATATATTTCAAATATATGTAGGTGAAACCACTCATGATTCAGATTTACCCCTTTGGATATTCTCACACCCATGTCTAGAGATTCAGTGTTCAAACACCCACCTTTATTTTTTTCTATTTCCATATTCACCAAGCAACATTTTAGTAACATCAATTAACATTAATTACGCATTTACTCCGAAGTAGGCTGTGTGTTTGACTGTTTGCACATATCTACTTAACTTCCACAACAACCACGAAAGAATTTCAGATGAGAAAACAGGCTTAGAGAGCTACTGTCATGTAGTGAGAGACAGAACTGAGCACTGAACCCATGGTCTTCCTTCAAACCCCTCCTTCTTCAGTGGTAAAGGATAATGCTAGCTCAGGTCCCAAGTAGAAGCTGCCCTGCACAGCTGACATGACTAGTGATAATAAAGATTTGTTTGGCATTATTGTTAAATGGCATTTAGAATAATCTGATCAGCTCTAGGTAATACTGCCAATTAAGTGTATTTTATACCTGCAAAGATGAGTAGACTGTAACAAAATGTTGTCCAGCTAAGGTCTTGTCATATAGGGAGGCCTATCTGAGCAACTTCCACAATAGCTCACCATATACTGCCGATCTCCCCTGAGAATATCCTTCAGTCTTTCACCACGACCAGACTCACATAAAAGTAACTCTCAGGGGTCGGGCACGGTGGCTCACGCCTATAATCCCAGCACTTTGGGAGGCCGAGGAGGGTGGATCACAAGGTGAAGAGGTCGAGACCATCCTGGTCAACATGGTGAAACCCCGTCTCTACTAAAAAAACAAAAATTAGTTGGGCGTGGTGGTGCGCGCCTGTAATCCCAGCTACTCGGGAGGCTGAGGCAGGAGAATTGCTTGAACCCAGAAGGCGGAGGTTGCAGTGAGCCAAAATCGTGCCATTGCACTCCAGTCTGGGACACAACAGCAAAACTCCGTCTCAAAAAAAAAAAAAAAAAGTAACTCTCAGCTGCATCCTCCTCTTCATCCCCACTGCCCTATCATTAGCCAGGCACTACCATCCTTCCCCTTCCTTCCAGCAGGTGTGAAACTGTAAAAAACAAACAAAACAAAAAACTGCTGCTCTCTTTATATTTTAAATTAATCTCAATCTCTTTACTTAGAGGTGGTTTTCTACCTCTTAACCCAGTTGTTAAAAAGACTAAAAAGGTACACAGCATAAAAATACCTACTGGTAGCCTTGAATTAGGTGAGTTCCACCTGTCAATACACTCCCCTAATTCAAATTTCCCCTTTATGCCTTTATTGTATGTATTTATGGCTGTCTCCCTGACTCAAGTACAGGTTTGAGAGCATAAACAGGACATGCAGCTTGGAATCCTCCCAGAGTACCCAGACACATATAAAATACTCAATTTTTGAAACAAAGAAATATCCAGTATGGTAGACTTTTCAATTACCCCAGCTTTTAAATAGCTTAGTAACAATGATTAAAGGTAGGAAACTATCTCTAAAGACTTTAAGATTAATTTCAAATGATATAATCACAGGTCCCATAAACAAAGTGAGAATGAAGAAGGATAAGCCTACCCCAACTTTTTGCCTTAATTTGTTTTAGAATTTAAGCAAATTGGCTGGGTGTGGTGGCTCACGCCTGTAATCCAAGCACTTTGGAGGCCAAGGCGGGCAGATCACCTGAGATCAGGAGTTCAAAACCAGTCTGACCAACATGGTGAAACCCCGTCTTAAAAAAAAAAAAAAGAATTTAAGCAAATTTTGAGTTGCTGCTGAAAATTTATTTTGGATAACTTTTCAATATAAGAACAGTAGTATGTTATTCCATTCATGACCAACAGCATTATTTACTTAATCTCAAATTAAGACATATAAGTTCTTTTACTTTTCGCAATGATAAATATCTGAAATATTCAGGCTGTCACAAATGTAAGTGTAGGTTAAAGACAGAAATGCACCAATTTTTCCTGTTGATGCCTCAGTAACATTTAAATTTTTAATATAAATGGCAGTTCTGAAAGAGGAAATTTTGGAGAAATTTTATGCAATCATAGGATAATAAATAATTTAGCCAGAAATTTACCTTTCTAGTATAAATTAGTTTTAAAGTAATTTATAAGCAACATCTAAGTTAATAAAATACATGATGACCATCTAAGAGTTTCCAACCAGCTGGAACAAAAATTTGAAATTTACAACTAAAGTTATCAAGTATACTGTATTAGTGAGTCAACTCCCTATGAAGAAAAATACACAAAAAGATAAAAGGCAAAAGGGACACACCATAAAAGGTAAACCAAACCAAATTCCCATTCTTAAACTTACTTTTCTCATGAGATGTTTCACTGATGTGTTCTGTAAGATACTCCAACAAACCATCAAATATTTCTAGGAGATTCTTAATAGATTCTTTATCTCCTTTCACAATATTTTCTCCTGGAGACAGAATACAGAGCTATTAAAAAATTTAACCATGAAATCTGAAAGCTTCATAATCTTGAAACTTGGATGTAACTCTGTGAAAATGCCATTTAAGAATACAGGTGATAGGCCGGGCGCGGTGGCTCAAGCCTGTAATTCCAGCACTTTGGGAGGCCAAGGTGGGTGGATCACAAGGTCAAGAGATCAAGACCTTCCTGGTCAACATGGTGAAACCCCGTCTCTACTAAAAATACAAAAAATTAGCTGGGCACGGTGGTGCATGCCTGTAATCCCGCCTACTCAGGAGGCTGAGGCAGGAGAATTGCCTGAACCCAGGAGGCAGAGGTTGCGGTGAGCCAAGATGGCGCCATTGCACTCCAGCCTGGGTAACAAGAGCGAAACTCCATCTCAAAAAAAAAAAAAAAAAAACAGAATACAGGTGATATACCAACTTACAGCTCCTTGGAGATTAAATTTAAAAAAGAATATAGGCAAAACAATTATATTATAAATATTAAAAACACCAATTTCCTGCCGCCTAATTATATTTGAAGAAAAAAGAGGGAAGCTTTAAATATGGCATCTAACACTTCACTGGCATATTCCTTCCTTTTTGGCAGAAGCAAGATAATTGGACTTAAGAAAACATCTCTAATAAGATTTATACCAAAATATAAAGCAGCTAAACAGAACTTTACCAGATTGGTGGCAAAAAATGGCAGGAGACAACACTTTCAGATTGTGGTATCCTATTCTAAAATGGTGGTATGTTCAGAAGATTACAGCAATAGAGTAATATCAAAACAAAACAAAACAAAATACCCAATAAACTTGTTGGGATATTTTCATCGGAAATTCCTAGGTTCTCCACCACACTCCCCATATTTGTTAACTCATTTTATGTAGATCATACCATTTTTCTGATTAAAATCCTGTCTCTGGATCCCTTCCTGAAATGTAAGCCAAGCATGTAAAACCTTTTTAAATCTCACCATCTCACCCCATGCTCAATCTCTACAGCTGTATCTCCTACCATAGCCACTTCATACTCATAATTCACATTCATAGACTATATAGCACAGTGCCTAGCATAGTACCTGCTCCATAACAGATTTTTAATATAAACGTTTAGGTTGAAATGTTGACTAGAAATGGGTTGGCAAAAAGCATGGAAACTTGACATATTTAATGTCACCAGAAATGGACTCCAAATCAACCTCAGGTATGGATGTAACCTAACTCTTGTGACACTCTGATTGTCCTTTGGGAGGTCATGTCTGGATTCTCATGAGTTCATACCAGTATGGGAGAAACAGTGTAGAAACTGGCATTTGGGATAATCTAGCCATTCATAACCTCAGCAAAGATGCAAAACAAACCTAAACCAGAGATTTGACATTTTATACTGTTACTAGCAACTACAATTTTTGAGTTTTTTTTGTTTGAAACATTGGTTTTGGGTATGTTTTTCTGGCTTAAAAATACTTAAGTATATCCCAAGGGCATACTCAAGACTTTTCCGTTTCTAGGATGGGGAGCACACTGACAACCTAGCAATTTAGATTGTCAGCCAGAATGCAGTGCTTCATAATGTAGGAGAAACTGTTTCACATGAATACAAGGAATAGAAAGCTGCCTCGCAGTCTTCTTTAGAACATAAGCAGTTTTACAATTTTTCACTGGGTAGGTGTAATCCATCAAAAACAGCTCTGCATTGAAGTTTTACAAACATACATATGTTTATCACCTTGCTATAGTATATTTAACAAGCACAAGTACCAGAACTTGTCCTACTTGGGTGATAAAGCAATTCCAAATTGCAAAAAAGGAGGGAAACTATGGGAGTATCCCTCAAATTATCTGCAAACTGACTTACCCAGAACTGCATTCAAAAGATTAAGACAGAGTATTTTACACTTTCTGCAAACATTTTGTTCTTTTATCAAATTAATGTAAATCAGGACTTAGCCTGATTAACGTTTATCTCCTTTTACAACTATCAAAGAATAAATCAACAGTAGAAATCTTTTTATGATTATAGTTCCATGTCTTCCAGATTCCCGCTGTTCATCAGCTTGAAATAACTTACTGGAATAATCTTTCATTGATAAACATAAATTAAATACATATAACACAGGGACTTATAAATACATTTGGGTATGCTTGGTTTTAGAATGAAGCATAGTATACTTTATTTTGGAGATTTAATTACAGCAAAAAATTTTTGAATAGATAATATGGTTCAAAATTCAAAAACTGCAAAAATTATACAGTGAAAGTTCTTGTACCCTTGTCCAGCAACCCTGAGGTTCCCTTTGTTGGAGGCAATCATTATTACGAGTTTCATGTATAAGCTTCTGAAGAGTCCTTCCGATTGCAAACAACTGCAAATATCTTCTCCACACCTTTGTTTTTACAAACACCAGCATACTTTGCATATTACCATTATAATTATACTACAGTTTTCTCACATCACATATGCTAGAAATCGTTCCCCCAACACAGAACATTCGATAACAAAAGAGCATATTCAATCATCTTTTACAGCTGCAGAGCAGTCCACTGTATGCAGCTATGATTTATTTAACCAGTCCCTGCTAATGGACATTCAGGTGTTTCTAATTTTTAGCTATCACAAACAAGCAGCATTACTATGCTTTAAAATAAAACAACATGGCCAGGCACAGTGGTTCAGGCCTGTAGTTCCCGCAATTTCAGAAGCTGAGCCAGGTGGATCACCTCAGCCCAAGAGTTCCAGACCAGCCTGGGCTAATGGCAAAACTCTGTCTTTACAAAGAATACAAAAAAATTAGCCAGGCATGGTGGTACACACCTGTACTCCCAGCTACCCAGGAGGCTGAGGTGAGAGGTCACCTGAGCTTAGGAGGTTGCAGCTGCAATGAGCTGTGATTATGCCACTCCACTCCAGCCTGGGCAACTCAGCGAGACTCTGTCTCAAAAAATAAAAATATAGACCAAGAGTGGTGGCTCACACCTGTAATCCCAACACTTTGGGAGGCCAAGGCAGGCAGATCACCTGAGGTCAGGAGTTCAAGAACAGCCTGGCCAACATGGTGAAACCCCAGTCTCAAAAGATAAATAAATAAATAAATAAAAATATATAAAACAACATAACGTAAAAACAAAAAAACATACTTCAGGCCAGGCATGGTGGCTCACAGCTGTAATCTAAGCACTTTGGAGGCCAAGGCGGGTGGATCACCTAAGGTTGGGAGTTCAAGACCAGCCTGACCAATATGGTGAAACCCCATCTTAAAAAAATAAAAAAAAAACATACTTCCAATTACCAGCTAGGATCATTATGTTTCAGACCCAGGTCAATCATAAAATCAATGTTCAGCTCTCCTGGAAAAGTTCTCATGTATGGACCTGACCTCTTATCAGTTGATTGTCTTAGCGCAATCTTAAAATTTGGTCTATTCCATAAGCTCACTCATTTTGTTAAGTAAACAACGTCTACGGTTTTACTAAATTATTTTAATAAACTGCATAATTATGTGATAGTTAAATATATACTAACCTGTTATATGAGACAAGCTGACCTGCAGGTAATCCAAGGCCAGTGAATCAATTACTGCTTGTACGTTGTGTGCATCATCCTCTTGACTCCTAGGAATAGCTATGAAGTCTGTGGGGGGTGGGGAAATCACAGAATTTTGTATCCATGAGAGGCCAAGTTTTCATCTAATTGCCTCTGACTATGCTACTGAATAAAAGCTCAACTGGTATAAAAGAAAGCTCTGCCCAAACAGAACATGCTATAAAGTACAAAGAAAGTTAATAAATCCTGAACTCTACACAGCAGAATATCTGGTTGAGTATTTACTGATTAAACTGATTTATCAATATTGGATATTGACTGGTTGAATATAGTTGAATATTACACCCAATATATATATATATATAAAAACATGCTCTACAAGAATCACCATGCTAAGGAAGATAAAGTGGCCCCTAAATTCAAAGAGATGCTAATAGTCTAATAAGGGAAGCAAGACACAAGACTTTAACCCATAACTGTGGGCCACTTTATCTTCCTTAACATTGTTGTAGAGCATGTTTATATATATATGTTGAGTGTAAAATTCAACTATATTCAACCAGTCAATATCCAATATTGATAAATCATTTTAATCAGTAAATACTCAAAGACTCTGCTGTGTAGAGTTCAGGATTTATTAACTTTCTTTGTACTTTATAGCATGTTCTGTTTGGGCGGGGGGCGGGGAGAGGGAGGGAGAGGGAGGGAGAGATAAGGGGGGCGGGGAGAGAGAGAGAGAGAGAGAGAGAGAGAGAGAGAGAGAGAGAGACAGACAGACACACACCACAGAAGGCATTCAAGGAGGTTCTTACATACACGTATATATGTATGTTTATTTATTTATTGAGACAGGGTCTTCCTCTGTTGCCCAGGCTGGAGTGCAGTGGCATGATCTCGACTCATTGCCACCTCTGCCTCCCAGGCTCAAGCAATTCTCTTGCTTCAGCCTCCCGAGTAGCTGGGACTACAGGTAATTTTTCTATTTTTAGGAGAGATGCGGTTTTGCCATGTAGGCCAGGCTGGTCTTGAACTTCTGGACTCAGGTGATTCATCCATCTCAAGTGATCAGCCTCCTAAAGTGCTACGATTACACGCGTTAGCCACCACGCCTGGCCCTTGTAAGTCCTTTTGAATATCCAACTAGAAGTACTGGTATAAAGATTTAAAAGGTCAGCACAGGCTGGGTGTGGTGGCTCATGCCTGTAATTCTATCACTTTGGGAGGGGGACACAGGAGGATCACTTAAGATCAGGAGTTGGAGACCACCCTGGTCTTGAACAAAGTGAGATGGTAAGCAAGATGAAAGGACATATGTGCTTAACTGTCTTGGGAAATTAGGTTCATCAGGTACAAACATCAATTCTTATCCCTAGTACTGGTTAAGTAACAGGATCCAACAAATTCCCAAGTTCCACTCAATTTTAGAACCTTTGAAGATACATTTACAGAAAGGATGTGACTTTCACAAGGCATTAGGCATGATTGGATTAAGCTGTGATTATCAAGAGCCCTCAAACAGATCTGCTCAAGGCCATTACTAATAAGTGAGTTCCATCGGGTATTCCTTAAGAAATATTTAAATTATTTAATATAAAAAATTAAATACAGTTTAATATGCAACATTGAAATAAAGATGTAGGCAAAGAGAAAGTGAACTTTTATAAACACCAAAGCCTCTAAAGGACCAAAAACTTTTGGCCTAAGATACAGGCAAAATTACTCCTTTTAGTATTCTTACCTGGTACTTTTTCTCCCAAAATAGACTGATAAAGGGCAATAAAAACATTAGCATCACAGTCTTGAAGTTCATGTATTCTCAGATGTATGTGACACTTAAAAAGAAGGTTGTTGGCAATGGTTACCCACTCTGTTGGGAAAAAGAGAAAAAGATCAGTCTTAAATACCACCATAAAAAAAAACACACACACCTTTTAAAAAATCCAACCACCATGCCCCACCCCCACAAAAACCAGACACTGAACTTTGTAGAAGATAAGGAATGATTGTTATAGAATTTCAAAGACTCTTTTAAGGCATGATTTTTGAAAAGATGTATTTAATTTCTTGGAATGATTTCCAGAGTGCTGTAACTTCTATACAGCCAAAACTATATAATGTAAATTCAACTGCCACTGTTGCAGTCTAAATCTTTAGTTATATTACATGGGTGTTTTTAGTCAAAACATATTTACAAGTAAACGAGAATACTGTCATAAACAACAGTTTAACGATAATCCGAGGTTACTAAAAACTCATTAATGGATGTTGCTTCAAATTCCCAATAGTATCGGTCGTGTGTTTCCCCAATTATCCTGTGAAGTCAGGATTTCTCCAGTGCCCGAAACGTGGTGATTAAACTTAGGCTATTAAGAACTGGTATAATGACAACATCAACGCTAATGCATTTATTAAGTTTTTCTTTTTTATTATACTGATCTAAATGAAAGGAAATATGGGAAGTATATGAAAACATCCCTAAGCTCAGAATTATCAATACTGTTGACCTTTCCTGTGCTCCGGACTCCCCTCTCCCAGATATTGCTGGGACTTGCAAAGTTTAACGGTTTCTCTAGCAAAAGTAACTTCGCATAAAATACTTGTTCCCTGAAATGCCTGGCATTGGTAGGAAAGCACTTTCCTTCGGTACTAGACACAAACGTCTCCACTATATTCCGGACACATAACGTTCTGGAAACAAATGAGTGTATCTTCCATGCACATAATTCCCCTCCCCACGCCCATTTCTCACAGTTGGCCAAACCGTGAGAACTGGTTTGTATGCAGTCCTGGCGAAAAGGATGAAAGCGTCCTAGACAACCAAACCAATTCGCTTTTCAAAAGCGTTGCTAGACAAAGCCCATGACTTCAGAGAACACTGAAGAGAAAAAAGCACCAGTATTCTGCGACATGGGCATCAACAAATCTTAAGGTGCTGTTCCTTTAAAGACCAATACAAAAGTAGATTAGACCTCAGGACCCACAGTACAAGGGCGGAGGGCACACTGACAGCGGCCAGACAACTCCACAGAAGGACAAGTCCGGGAACGACCCTTCTGGTTGCTCTTTTTGCACCCAAGACCCGAGTGTGCTACCAGGCTCGCCCCAGTGCCTCTCTCCTACCGCCTATCACTGTTCCACAGCCTCACAGAGAAGGAGAAAAGCTGAGAGACCCTATCCAGAGAACCCGCCACCGCGACGCGGCGTCTGACAGTCACGAGTCCCGCCGACAGCCTAGACCCAGTCCGGGCCAGCCCAAGGCCTCCCTGAAGCTGGACGGCCTCAGTTCACACCAACCGTGACCCCAGGCCGACACTCACCAGCCTCCGAGCCGGCCATGTTTTGGAGGCAGTTTGCCGCCGGACCCCTACAGGCCAGGCAGGCTACGGTGTCCTGGAAGGACCGATCCACACAGATTCGACGCTTGGATGAGGGCGAACGAACCCAAGCGCTGGGAAGGAGGCGTGAAAGAGGGAGGGACATCAAAGGGGCTGCTCGCCGCTGATTGGTCACAGAGCAGCACTTCCTTTCACAGCACGTGCCAGGGCGGCGGTTTGCTGAGTTTAGAGACCATTCTCCGCTGGCCAGAACCCGGTAGATGATTGTCAGATCCGTGGGTCGGCAGCCCAGGCGGGTCCTGGGGCTTTGGGAGCGCACTTCCGGTACTATTTCGTTATGTATCCCTCCGCCGACGTCAACGGAGAAGTAGTGCGGCCCGCTGACCGGTGGCGGGGGTGGTAGTCACGTGACACGCCAGTCCCCGCCTGCCATTTGGTTACGGGCGTGAGGGCCCTTTGGAGACGTAAACATCTCCGAGTGAGGAGGGTTGGCTGGCCTGGGCAGGCTGTTTTATCGTCTGGCTGGGCCTGGGAAAGGGCGGGGTGGCTTGCTTGAGGTGTGGAAAGACGAGAAGAAGGTAAGGTCAAGAGAGTGCAGAATGAGACATTCCAATAGTGGGTGGGCCCTGAGCTGAGAGGCTCTCCTGGAGCGCCGGCTGCCGTTGCGGCTTCTGCGCGACGGGCGGGGCGATTAGGTCATAGAGCGGATCCCAGCGTTCCTTGCGGCGTAGGAGGCGGTCCAGACTATAAAAGCGGCTGCCGGAAAGCGGCCGGCACCTCATTCATTTTCACCGGTCTGTGGTCTTGTAGCTCCGGATTGTGTCATCGCCGTCCGTCCTCCGCTGCCGCCCCCGCAAGGCTTCGCTGTTGTCGAGGCCATTTCCAGCGACTCGTCGCACCCTTTTGTCTGTACTTCGTTCCCCGCCAACCGCAACCATTGACGCCATGTCGGGTTATTCGAGTGACCGAGACCGCGGCCGGGATCGAGGGTGAGTGTGGAAGCCGAGCTGTCAGGCCTAGCAGGTGGGGGATGGGACGGCAGGTGAGGGTGGCGGCCGGCGGGGGCTTTGGGGCTCGGACTCGGCCTTTCCGGATTCTCCTGGGGCCTCGTCTCTTGAACACTTGCGCCATTTTGATAATCACGTAACAGTGATTGGGAGTGGTTTATCGGTGTAGTGCCCTCAAGCTCGCTTTTTGTTGGGATTAGGAAGTCGTTGGGGCCGCTGCCATTTGGTAGCTGTTGGAGGAATTCAGAGGGAGCATATTGTGCGTTGGAAAGCACGACGTTTCGAGTAAGACGAAGTAGCAGCTCTTAGATTCTGCCTTTCAGGAGGTGTTTTTCGGGTGGCCGGGCATTCTGTGGGAGCTCTAGGACCACTTCTAAAGCCACTGATGCTGGGGGGGGTTAGGAGGGCGGTCGGCATTGCCGGCATCAGCCATGTGGCTGAGTCGCGGGTACAAAATGCCGGCCTCGGACATGGCGGCGGCGCCTTTGTTACCCCGCCCGGCGGAGGAGCTCAAAATGGCAGCGTCGAGAAAATGTGGCGCAGAGAGAAATGCGAGACAAAGGGGGAAGCGCCGCCCCAGCGGGAACGCCGCCCGGCCGGCTCCGCCCGGGCCGGGACTCCTCCCCCGGTAGTCGCCGGCTCCTCCTTTTCTTTTTTCCTGCGTTATATAATTTTTATTCGTTGATCGGGAGCTCTACCGCGGCGTCCCCCCAGCTCGGTTTGCTAGCAGAAGTATTTGCGAGAAAACCCTTGTTTTGGTCTCGCTGTCTGTGCTGTCTCGATTCTTTAACACCAAAGCTCTTTGGCTTGAAAACGGCCATATGAGTAACATCGTTGGGATGCTCTTTGGTTCGTGTATCCTTGTTATCCCTGATACTTAATTCCTAGACTGGTGGGGAAGATTATAGTAACCGCAAGAAGTGGTGTGTATCCGAAATTATGGCATCTGGGCCGCAAGTTCCCGACATGATAAATCCAGGGCTGTTTACATGGCCTAAGTGTGTACTTGGGACTACTAGAAATGTTAACTGTGGCTAAGAGAAAGACTATCGTTAAGGACAGTGCTTTGTTTACTAAACCTCTTAAGGTCGTTTTTCAGTGATCTGTAGCTTTGTGTCAAGGGATGGTAAACAAATCTGTATAGAAACCTGTGTTTAGATATTTGAAAACGTGAATAACGTTTTTTCTTTGCAGGTTTGGTGCACCTCGATTTGGAGGAAGCAGGGGAGGGCCTTTATCTGGAAAGAAGTTTGGAAACCCTGGGGAGAAACTAGTTAAAAAGAAGTGGAATCTTGATGAGCTGCCCAAATTTGAGAAGAATTTTTATCAAGAGCACCCTGATTTGTCTAGGCGCACAGCAGTGAGTAAATTCATGTGGCTTCATCAGGCTGTAACTCAGTAATGGATTCTAGTAAATGAAAATCTGACAGGTGTTTTGCAAATGATTCAATTTTGGTAGTTACGTTTTCTGACTTCATAATTGGGAAAGTTGTGACTCAATAGGTGGCTTTGGGATTTTTTTTTTAACTTAATTAGGTTGAGAACGGAATAAACTGTTCTTTTGCCATATAGTGTTTTCATATATGGGTCAGATAAAAACGAAAGCTACTTTACTCAATTACGAATTTAGGGGCTTACCAGTTACATTTAGCTAGGGGTGGTTGCCATGAACTTTAAGACTGTTAAAATTTGTTTTGCAGCAAGAGGTGGAAACATACAGAAGAAGCAAGGAGATTACAGTTAGAGGTCACAACTGCCCGAAGCCAGTTCTAAATTTTTATGAAGCCAATTTCCCTGGTAATTCTAGTTTTCAGTTCTATCTACCACTGGGATTTTGTTCCCACCCACTCCCTTTTACTTGGCATTACTAATTTTTACTAAATATCTGTCACTATAGCAAATGTCATGGATGTTATTGCAAGACAGAACTTTACTGAGCCTACTGCTATTCAAGCTCAGGGATGGCCAGTTGCTCTAAGTGGATTGGATATGGTTGGAGTAGCACAGACTGGATCTGGGAAAACATTGTCTGTAAGTTTGAGGGAACTCTTGAGTTGATCTGATATATGCAAGAAAATGGAGTTATAATTTAAAAACTAGAATATTTTAATATAATTTTTTGTTTGTTCCCACCTTCACCCAAAATAGTATTTGCTTCCTGCCATTGTCCACATCAATCATCAGCCATTCCTAGAGAGAGGCGATGGGCCTATTGTAAGTATATATTTTTATCTTTTGATTAAAGCATAATGTATAGATTTTTAGACTGCATAGCAAAAGACAATCATTTGTGGTAGTTTTATATAGAGGTTAGCTCACCTTATTTAGTTGGAGCTGCTTTGGGTACTGGACAGCACGTATTTAGAAAGGATCTGCGAGCATGACTAATAAGTTAGTAGTTTAAAACTAGTGTCCAAGTTGTGCTGAAAGTTGTTTCTCTTTCCTTAGTGTTTGGTGCTGGCACCAACTCGGGAACTGGCCCAACAGGTGCAGCAAGTAGCTGCTGAATATTGTAGAGCGTGTCGCTTGAAGTCTACTTGTATCTATGGTGGTGCTCCCAAGGGACCACAAATACGTGATTTGGAAAGAGGTAGATAATGAAAAAGGTTTTGTTAATTGGTGCTAAATATCCTAGGTATTGTAGTTACAGTTATGTGTTTAATAATTAAAGGTGTGGAAATCTGTATTGCAACACCTGGAAGACTGATTGACTTTTTAGAGTGTGGGAAAACCAATCTGAGAAGAACCACCTACCTTGTCCTTGATGAAGCAGATAGAATGCTTGATATGGGCTTTGAACCCCAAATAAGGAAGATTGTGGATCAGATAAGAGTAAGTGTCAATCTAAATAAGTGATCAAATTCAATTCTGTTTTGGCTTTTAAGTCCAATGCTAATTCTCCCCCACACCCCCACCCCAATCCATTAGCCTGATAGGCAAACTCTAATGTGGAGTGCAACTTGGCCAAAAGAAGTAAGACAGCTTGCTGAAGATTTTCTGAAAGACTATATTCATATAAACATTGGTGCCCTGGAACTGAGTGCAAACCACAACATTCTTCAGATTGTGGATGTGTGTCATGATGTAGAAAAGGATGAAAAGTAAGTTTTAATTAACTCTGCTATGTTTGCTAACAAGTTTGCTGTAAAATTGAGAGATCATTGATGTTGAGTTAGGTTATTTCAGTTGGTGTGTTCTACTTCATTTAGTGTTAGCATATTAATTCTTTTGAAAATCTCTTGAATCTTTCAAATAATTGGCTGTAATCATTTATAGCATTCCTATGGAAGAAATTCGTGTGTCCCCTGGTTGACTTAAGGACCAAGGGTCAAACTGATTGATAAGTGAGTGGCTTAGCAAGTGTTTCTTTGACTTCTAGCCATGTAAAATTAAACCTAATGTTTTGCTGACTGTAAATGTGTGGCCATAGTGATGGTCTTTTAAAACTCAGGGTTTTCTGGCGGTGGGTCGGTTTAAAAAAAAAAAAAGAAACAAAGGATTTTCCTTTTTCTCTCTTACTAGACTTATTCGTCTAATGGAAGAGATCATGAGTGAGAAGGAGAATAAAACCATTGTTTTTGTTGAGACCAAAAGAAGATGTGATGAGCTTACCAGAAAAATGAGGAGAGATGGGTATGTGTGGGCTCCTGCATTGAAGCAGATTTATTAGAACTGAGCTTAGGAAAGGGCGAACTTGGATCAGGAACAGTTGATTTAAGTTTCCTATCTGATAGTATGGGTAAAATGATGTATGTGTTACTTGTGGAATTAAAGGGATCTGTGAATAAAGTGATTAAGCAGTTGAGTCTTGAGGTTTTTCAATGTGAGTTTAATAATACAACTTGTCTTTTAACTTAGGTGGCCTGCCATGGGTATCCATGGTGACAAGAGTCAACAAGAGCGTGACTGGGTTCTAAATGGTAAATATTTCAAATGAAGCTTTTGCCCCTCCTTAATCTAGCTAGAATTCTGCTCAGATAATTGATCATTTGTATGCCTTCCTTTTTGTAGAATTCAAACATGGAAAAGCTCCTATTCTGATTGCTACAGATGTGGCCTCCAGAGGGCTAGGTTAGTACAAACTCGCATTCATGGCTTGGTTTCCCAGAAGATCTCCATTTAACTTTTTTAAAGAAAGTTTATTGCTTTCTTTAACCTCTGCATTTTTTCTTAAGTTTTTTTTCACATAAAGGTGCAGTCTTTGTGGCAAGGCCTAGGCATGACAATCGGAGGACTCGAGGGGGATGGAGGACTAGTGATCGGCTGGCTGCTTCCAGTCGATTAGAGAGGTGAAAAGCTGAACGTGTGCCAGTAATCTTCAAAAGGCAGAACATACCACCTCTGCCCCGTAAACTGTTCTCTCCGAGGGAAAATAAGGAAGTTATCCTCACAGTTCACTGCCGTGGTATTTCTTCTGTCCCATGCTTTGCATGACTGCCATGGTACAGCATTGTTTCAAACTGTTCACTGTGATCTGTGGGTCTTTGAGTTTCAGTGAGTTTGCTGAAATGTCGAAGAAATATTTCCAAACTTCAATGTTCAATGAAATTTTTGTTCAAGTTTGAAATGGAGAGAGCAGCTTTAAAAGGTACTAAAGCCTTTTACAAATTGGTGAGTACTGGCACATGAGATGTAGAGCAGGAGCAACTTCTCACACTTAAGTCAGTGGGAAAAGAAAGTGCTTTGAAAGTTCCTCCCTCACCTACACAGTAGTCGTCATGTCGAGACCTGCCAGAGAGAGACACATTCTCAAGTGAATCCTGGCTTCTTGGAAGCGCTTGCCTAGACGAGACACAGTGCATAAAAACAACTTTTGGGGGACAGGTATGTTTTCTTGCAGCTGCGGTTGTAAGGTCTTGGCAAGACAAGCAGTGTGGCCAGAGAATTTTGAACTTCTGATAAATGTGTAATGCAAAGGACCTTGTACATTTTTTTGTTTCAAGGTCCTCAAAATGAGCACATGAAGAGGTTGCTGTGAAACTTTAAGTGGCCCTACTGCGCAGAAGCATTCAGATGTCACTTGATGATCTGTAAGGGAACTTGCTGATTTGGGAATGTGCTAGGGATACACATTCCTTTTGACAGGGTCTGTCATTGGGTGGGTGAAGACTTAACACAGATGACATGTGCTTTTTTTTTTTTCTTTTTTCAATCTCAAATGGTATTCCTACAGGGAATGGATAACCATTTTAACTGTATTTTTTGCAGCCCGTACCTTCTTGGGAATACAATTGTCTAACTTTTTATTTTTGGTCTGGCTGTTGTGGTGTGCAAAACTCCGTACATTGCTATTTTGCCACACTGCAACACCTTACAGATGTGGAAGATGTGAAATTTGTCATCAATTATGACTACCCTAACTCCTCAGAGGATTATATTCATCGAATTGGAAGAACTGCTCGCAGTACCAAAACAGGCACAGCATACACTTTCTTTACACCTAATAACATAAAGCAAGTGAGCGACCTTATCTCTGTGCTTCGTGAAGCTAATCAAGCAATTAATCCCAAGTTGCTTCAGTTGGTCGAAGACAGAGGTTCAGGTAAGGATGACTGATAGGAAATGTTGGTAGTTATGAGTCACATCATTGTCTACAAATCCATTTAAATGGTATTGGAGGGTGAGTAAAACCTTGAATGTGAAAACTTGTAAAACACATTTCAAACCTACAATGAATAGATAAAATTCTTTCTGTCCGCACTGACTTGTGTCATAGACATAATTGATCAATTTGCAATTGTTTTCTTGACAGGTCGTTCCAGGGGTAGAGGAGGCATGAAGGATGACCGTCGGGACAGATACTCTGCGGGCAAAAGGGGTGGATTTAATACCTTTAGAGACAGGGAAAATTATGACAGAGGTTACTCTAGCCTGCTTAAGAGAGATTTTGGGGCAAAAACTCAGAATGGTGTTTACAGTGCTGCAAATTACACCAATGGGAGCTTTGGAAGTAATTTTGTGTCTGCTGGTATACAGACCAGTTTTAGGACTGGTAATCCAACAGGGACTTACCAGAATGGTTATGATAGCACTCAGCAATACGGAAGTAATGTTCCAAATATGCACAATGGTATGAATCAACAGGCATATGCATATCCTGCTACTGCAGCTGCACCTATGATTGGTTATCCAATGCCAACAGGATATTCTCAATAAGACTTTAGAAGTATATGTAAATGTCTGTTTTTCATAATTGCTCTTTATATTGTGTGTTATCAGACAAGATGATAGTTATTTAAGAAACATGAGAATTGCAGAAATGACTGCAGTGCAGCAGTAATTATGGTGCACTTTTTCGCTATTTAAGTTGGATATTTCTCTACATTCCTGAAACAATTTTTAGGTTTTTTTTGTACTAGAAAATGCAGGCAGTGTTTTCACAAAAGTAAATGTACAGTGATTTGAAATACAATAAATGAAGGCAATGCATGGCCTTCCAATAAAAAATATTTGAAGACTGAATTAAGTGGAAATTGTACTTTATTTTACATATGTCATGTAAACTTTGCTTAGATGATTTTTTTTTAATCATGAAAACGAATGACGGCTCTTTTTTTATTTAATTTGGGAGGCGGCGGGGAATCAGAAGGCCCTTCTTTACAATGAGCTATTCATATTTCTGGAGTCAAAATGAATTGATTTAGGTGAATTTTTAATTATGGATAAATTGGATAAAAGGTTTGTTAGCTCCCAACATCAGAGGAGTTATTTAATAGCCTGCTTCCTTATTTGCTAGTATGGTTAAATGAGAAAATAGAAGAATAGATACAAAGTCATCTGTATAATGTGAGAAGGTGGGTGACTTTGTTTTGCAAATTTATAATTTAAAAAGCTCCAAATAACTGGCTTTTTCACGAGATTTATATTCATGCTCTTGGCTATACTGTGAATTATTGAAATGTTGAATGAACCTGGGAAAGACGTTAGTCCTTTAAGATGACCAAGAGCTAAGCCTGAGTCTCCTTGATTGAATTTGCCCAATGTCCTTAGTGCAGGTTACTTGTAGATTATAGTTTTCACAGGCTCCCTGGGGCTCTTTTCACTTTAGTCACACTGGGAGTCATGAATGTCTTTCCAATAATTCAGGGAATTCTAGAGATCTTCAAACTGTAAGGTCTATTCATACTCTAACACAAGGAACAAACCTCATTAAAATTAATGGCTAATCAGGAGGCAACATAACCAAAAGCACAGTGAATACAAGTTTTCATGTTAGATTCAACATGGGTTTATTGCTAGACCCAGGAGATAGCTTTAGATTTAACTTTGGCTCACCAACCTAACTTTCTGATCATGTATTTCAGTAATAGCTAGAAATGGGTCTGAATGTTTTCCCAGAGTCTGACATAATGTGTCTTTTGCCAGAAGAGAGGTCTCAAGGAGACTTCATTTAAATTCTGATTATTGAACTGAGGCTTTAATTGTTGTTAATGCCTTATGTTAAATGTAAAGTTAGATTTTGCTAGGGCTGGGATGGGGAGTATTTCTAGAACTTAAACATTGAAAACTAATTCAGCCTCTAGTAACCTGGATGGTTTTCAGTGGCATGGTTAGTCAAATTCATGGTTTTAAACTTAGAAACAGCTTTTGTGGGAGGTGGGTAGGTTGGAGCATTTATTACATATTTTACTGTTTAATGTCTAACCGTGGGCCTTTTAATTTGTAAACACTTACTGAAATGATTGTGGGACTGTGGAAAACATTTACCTATTTACCTTTGAAGTTTTAAAAGACAGTCCACTTTTTAGCATGTGTGTTGTGTCCAGCCTGTGGTTGTCTTAACTAATAAATGTGATTTTTCTCCCCATTCTCTCTCTTATTTATTTGCGTATAGGCCTCTTACCTGGTGTGAGTTCCTGAAAGTGGAAAACACCTGGCAGTAGTACCTAGCTTTGCAGTTATTTACTATATTTGCTTTCCAGCAGTACTGTTTCACTTTCTAGCTTGCCTCTTTTTAAACCCTTGTACACACTTGTAAAGAACTGTTTCCTGAACCTGGTACGGCACTTTGCTAATGATACAAAACTTTACTCCCAAGTTATATTAAGTCAATTGCTAAGCTGTTACCCACTCATAATCAAATGGTAGTTTGGGAGTCCAGTGAAATAGAGGTTGTTCCTTTCTCCTGTACCTCTGTCTTTAAAGGTTTCTGGAGCTAAGTGAAACTGGTATAAGAAATAATGGGCTTTTAAAATCAGATTTCTTCCTTAGTCTGGGTATACAACTTTTCCTCTTTCTGGGCAGTTCTTCCCTATTTAAATAGAAATTGTAAAGTCAGAAACCTGTGATGTAATCATGGGTCTTTTAAAAAACAGTCACAAGTCTCGTTGTTTTGATGACCCCGTACAAGGAGCCCCTGGAAGAAATCGCAGATACGTTAGTGGTTTTCTGTGCATCACCAGTGTTTGGGCCACTTGGTTTATTAATCGTGCATTTCCAGGTGAGGCGGATGCTGCTGCCTGGGGACTGCCTTTGGGAAGCCACTGCAATAAAGTGATTACCACTACCCCTGTCCCAAAGCCCCACTGCAGCCTGGGTGCTTAAGCATCAAGACCACGGCTCGGGTTAGGCCTAGGCCCCCAGGGGGCGGTATTTGCTTAAGAGTTACGGCTTGGGTTTGAAAAACCACAGTGGAGCACTAAAACTGTTGAACTTGCCAAATTTGATGTAAATTCCCAAATCGCCATTTGTATATGCCTCAAGGTGAACTGCTTTCAGATTGAGATATATCTAGATGATTTGGGTAACGGAAATACTTTAATTTTCTGGATTGCCAAACTGGGGAAGGAAGGTAAAGCTGACATAAGTGGCTATGGCCGTTATAAATAGGTGGGAATAACCATTACTGGTGCTTACGAGGAAAGAAATACCAATTGAGAGTGTGATGGGAGGGGCGCGAGGCGAAGAACGGCAAGCTACTAAACAACCATCCGGACCGGCTTCCGCCATGGTGGGCGGGGGATGGCCGCGGCCGGAACGTAGTGATGCGCTTCCGGGGTGGTGCCTGCTGCCCGAAAGCACGCTCTTCGCCGTCGCGCCTGCGCTCTGACCTCCCAGGGTTCCGGTAACTGCGGTGGCGGCTTATTGGGAGCCGCTGGCTGATGGGAGGGTGCTTTTTACTTTCTGAGGGAGATGCGCTCTCTTCTAGCCGTCAGGGCCTGCCATAAGGTCTTCAGATGCCTGTTGTCTGGGTTTGGGGGTCGAGTAGATGCTGGGCAGCCTGAGCTGTTGACAGAAAGGAGTAGCCCACACGGAGGGCACCTGAGGTCGCACGCGGAGCTCCAGGGGAACGGCGAGCACCCAGAAGTCCCCGAGTCTGGAGAGGGAGGCGAGGCGCTGTTAAAGATCTGTCAGAGAAGGCATTTCCTAAGTGGAAGCAGGCAGCAGCATAGCCGGGATTCTCTTCTGAGCGGGTGCCACCCCGGCTTCGGACCCTTGGGCGTAGAGTTGCGGAAGAACCTGGCCGCAGAATGGTGGACCTCGGTGGTGGTGTTCAGGGAGCAGGTCTTCCCGGTGGACGCCCTCCACCACGATCCAGGCCCTTCGCTGCCCGGGGACAGTGGCTTCAGGTTAGTTTCTGCAGAAACTCTACGCGAAATCTTGCAAGACAAAGAGCTGAGTAAGGAACAGCTAGTAGCATTTCTTGAGAACGTATTAAAAACTTCTGGGAAACTACGGGAGAACCTTCTTCACGGTATGCTTCACGATTTCATTCAAGACAAGTGTTGGATGGAAAGGCGAGGCACTCTTGCTGGGTCTTGGGGATTGCAGCTGGTCCTTTATTCCCATGCAAAGGAAGTTAGTTAGTTCTCTTGTTTTTTAAGTAGTCGAGTATATTAACAGTGCTCTACCCTGGAGAAAACTGGTCCTCAAAGAATCTGTCCGAAGAATCTGGGCAGGTTCACAATTTCATGGGGCAACTTTTGAACACAGTGCTGTCATTTACTGCAATGTAGTATAAATGCATAAGGAACTACAAAGACATTTTGAACTTTTCTTAAATTTATTCTAAGTAGAAATGTTGGAGTTATAATTTTGAAACTATTTCATGTGTATTATAGAATAAATCAAGGCCGGGCGCGGTGGCTCACACCTGTAATCCCAGCACTTTGGGAAGTTTAGGCGGACAGATCACCTGAGGTCAGGAGTTCAAGACCAGTCTTGGCCAACATGGTGAAACCCCGTCTCTACTAAAAATACAAAAATTAGCAGGGTGTGATGGTGAGCGCCTGTAATCCTCAGCTACTTGGTAGGCTGAGGCAGGAGATTCACTTGAACCCGACAGGGGAACGTTGCAGTGAGGTGAGATGCCACCACTGCACTCCAGCCTGGGCGACAAGGGCAAAACTCCGTCTCAAAAAAAAAAAATTGGGTTAGTGTTATTAGGAACCAAGATTTTCATTGTAAAAGAAAAGGTAATAAATATAAAAGAAGGTATGTGTAAACTAACATTAAATATGAATTGGTAAATTAAAATTGGAATATCGGTATAAACTCGTGTTTTTGTTTTTGAGACATGGTCTCACTCTTTCACCCAGACTTGAGTACAGTGGTGTAATCATGGCTTACTGCAGCCTCTACCTCCCAGGCTCAAGTGAACCTCCCACCTTAGCCTCCCAAGTAGCTGGGACTACAGGTGCATGCCACCACGCCCGGCTAATTATTGTATGTTTTGTAGAGATGAGGTTTTGCCATGTTGTTCAGGCTGGTCTTGAACTCCTGAGCTCAAGCAATCCACCTGTCTTGCCTCCCAAAGCACTGGAATTACAGGTGTGAGCCACAGTGCCCAGCCTCATGTTTTAAAAAATATGTATTTCCTAACTTTCTTCATTGAAAGGGCCTAGAAGCAATGACCCTCAGTAACAATAAGTACACCTAGTTCCCAGATAGTTTCTAAGATGAAGCAGTACTGGGAGAAATGGCTGATTCCAGGTCTGGGGTTACGGAAAGTCCAAGGTGAGTTGGAAACACTTTATGTTACTAAAAAGCAAAGAATTGCTTGAAGACTAATGGGTCATATTAAAGGGTCACAGATGCTGTCTTGAGGAGGGCTGTCACTGTCTACATTTAGGACAAATTGAACATTACGGTAAATATTAATGGATTATAACACATTGACTAAAATCTAAGAGTCAATAGGATTCATCAAAAACATAATTGAGGCTAGAGGTGTGGGGGGAAGAGACAGAGAAAGCTTATGTTTTTACAGAAGCTATGCAATAAATGTAGAAGGAAAGATACATTAGAAAATTCACCATTTCATGATATTGCAATCACTGATATAATTGATTCAAGCAGCAATCATCAGTGGATTATAAAATATTGGATGAAGTACTGTTGGGGAGCAGGATATTATTAGGGAGTGGATATTTACTACCTTAACTAAGTAATCAAATTTGGTGTCAGTAGTGGTGTAATTTGATAACATGTTCCTTCTGCTATAATACAATAAGATACACACATCAAATAATATTTTGCTAAAGATGATTAGCCCAAAATAAATCACAAGGAAACAATCGGACAAATCCCAAATGTGAGATAAATCAAAAGTCAGTGTCATTAATAGCAAAATTAAGGGGGAAAGGAGACAGGGGAAGTGTTCTAGATTGAAAGAGATGAAAGAAATCTACTCAGAATGTAGTACATGAATCTTCATAGGAAAGAAAGAGAACAGTAAAAGATATTTAGGTGAAAATTGGAACAAATAAAATGTTAGCCATATGTTAGATTATATTGTGGTATTATGGTTAACTTTTTATGGTGTTATAAAAAGTCTATAGGAAATATTTTTATTTTTAGGAGATGCATGCTGCAGTATTTGGGAGTGAACATAAAGAAAATATGGCAAAATGTTGATAATTGATGAATCTAGGTAAAGGGTATTATTTTTTTAACTTTCTTGTAGATTTGAAAATCTTTTAAACAGTTGGGGTGAAATTACCTAGAATTATGTTGTGATCAATAAGATCTGTCTTTTTTTTTTCTTGAGACAGGGTCTCACTCTGTTGTCCAAGCTGGAGTGCAGCAGCACTATCACAGCTCCCTGCAGCCTCAGCCTCCTAGGCGAAAGTGTTCCTCCCACCTCCCAGCTTTCCAAGTAGCTGGGACTGCAAGGCACACACCACCATGCCTGGCTTATTTTTGTATGTTTTTTGAGATGGAGTTTTGCCACATTGCCTAGGCTGGTGTTAGAACTCCTGAGCTCAAGCAGTCCTCTGGCCTCAGCCTCCCAAAGTGTTGGGATTACAGGCGTGAGCCACTGCGCCCGGCCAAGATCTGTCTTTATAGCTCCATGCTACTTGTACTGCTGTGTTAACATTATTACTCCTATTAATTTGTCTATTGACAAAAATGATTTGGGTTTATAGACTAGATGTATTCAATGATTGATTTATCTTTTGACAGGTGCCTTGGAACACTATGTGAATTGCCTGGATCTGGTAAACAAGAGGCTACCTTATGGCCTTGCTCAGATTGGAGTGTGTTTTCATCCTGTTTTTGATACTAAACAGATACTGAATGGTGGTAAAAGGTACAAAAAGTGGCAAATAACTTGGCCTTGTATTTAAATAGTCAAGAACTAGTCATTTCCACTTGGGATAGATTATAAAATTTTCAGATAAGCTAACTTTCTGATATTTTTGATATCTAAAGAATTGGTGAGAAGACTGAAGCTTCATTAGTATGGTTTACTCCTGTGAGAACTTCAAACCAGTGGCTTGATTTCTGGTTACGTCATCGACTCCAGTGGTGGAGAAAGGTACTACAATAATTACCTTTAATTTAATAGTTAAGGCTGGTTGCAGTGGCTCACACCTGTAATCCCAGCACTTTGGGAGGCCAAGGTGGGAGGATCACAAGGTCAGGAGGTGAAACCCCATCTCAGATGTGGTGGCACATGCCTGTAGTCCCAGCTATTCGGGAGGCTGAGGCAGGAGAATCGCTTGAACCCGGGAGGTGGAGGTTGCGGTGAGCCAAGATCATGTCACAGCACTCCAGCCTGAGTGACAGAGAGAGACTCTGTCTCAAGAAAAAATTTTAATAGTTAATAGATAAATTGTCTTAATGTGTCAATGGTAATTCTTCTGACATACATGAAATTTTATTTGATGTATATAGATATCAATATGTTACACAAATAAAAAACTCTTTGTCATGATTTTCATTGTTCCAGATTACAAAGTTACTTTGGTAAAAACATTTGTTGGGCTCAGATGTGTTTGTTGATTAGCCTTTCTGTAGGTAAAATTCAAAGCCCTTGCCTAACATTCCTTGCTGATGTAGAGTTTAACCTTTAACCATTGTTACAGCTTCAGCTTTTGCTGCCTACCTCCATGAACTTCCCATATTAATCAAAATGGTTCTGTAATTGATAATCAAGTTTTAGTACACACTGAAGAGAAAAGAGTTGAAGTAAGCATTTTGTCTTGCCATGTGTTAGGTTTCCTTTTCCTGACTCAAAAATCCCCAAATACCCATTTTAACTGTGTGAAATAGTCACAAGTAATTAAGAACTTCCTAGAAGGATAAGAATGAGGACTACATGATACTTTCTTCTTTATCCCATTTTAGTTCATGATTAACTTCCTCTCTTATTCATTGGCCATATAAAGACTAGATAACATCAACAGTTCTTTCAGACTAAAAAACAATATTTTAAGCAATATACTCAGTACTTTCACTTTTTATTTTATTTTATTTTATTTTTGTTTGTGTTTTTTTTTTTTTTTTTTTTTTTGAGACGGAGTTTCGCTCTTGTTACCCAGGCTGGAGTGCAATGGCGCAATCTTGGCTCACCGCAACCTCCGCCTCCTGGGTTCAGGCAATTCTCCTGCCTCAGCCTCCCGAGCAGCTGGGATTACAGGCACGCACCACCGTGCCCAGCTAATTTTTTGTAATTTTAGTAGAGACGGGGTTTCACCATGTTGACCAAGATGGTCTCGATCTGTTGACCTCGTGATCCACCCGCCTCGGCCTCCCAAGTGCTGGGATTACAGGCTTGAGCCACCACGCCCGGCCTGTTTGTGTTTTTTAAAGACATAGTCTCACTCTGTTGCCCAGGCTGGAGTGCAGTTGCATGATCACAGCTCACTGCAGCTTCTTTTATTTGTAGAGATGAAGTCTTGCTCCCTTGCCCAGGCTGGTCTTGAAGGCGTAAGCTCAAACTATCTGCCTGCCTTGGCCTTCCAAAGAGCTGGGACAACAGGTGTGAGCCACTGCGCCCAGCCAGTATTTTCACTTTTTAAAAATTAAATTTCAGCAACCTGTGTGGTCCCAGCTACTCTGAATCTTGAGGCAGGAGGATTGCTTGAGGCTAACAGTAGGAGGCAGCAGTGAGCTATGACTGCACCTGTGAATAGCCACTGCACTCCAGCCTGTGCAACAGAATGAGACTCCATCTCAAAAAAAAAAATTAAATTTAAACATTTGTATTGGGACTTGACTAGTTTCACACATTTGCTGCATAAAAAGTATCAGACTAAATTCTTGCAGATAATTATGAGAGTAGAGTTAAATTAGCAGTTATTTACATATGTTAAGACAAACATACATTTTCTTTTCCAGTTTGCTGTGAGTCCGTCTAACTTCAGCAGCAGTGACTGTCAGGATGAAGAAGGCCGGAAAGGAAACAAACTTTACTACAATTTTCCCTGGGGAAAGGAGCCAATAGAAACCCTGTGGAACCTAGGAGATCGTGATCTTTTACACATGTATCCTGGCAATGTGTCTAAATTACATGTATGTTTTACTGCAAGCTCCTATGTATTTTTTACCCAGATTCTCTATAATTTCTGAACCATTTGAGAATAAGGTGCAAACATGGTGTCTCACCCCTTCTTACTTCATTGTGTATTTCTCAGGTGCAGAGACACTCACCTATATAACTACAATACAGCCATCAAAATCAGGAAATTAACAGTAATCCACTATTACCATAGAGCCTATACATTTAACTGATTATCTTAATAATAGCCTCTATAGGTCCAAGATCATATCTTTCATGTAGTTGTCATGTGCCTTTACTCTCCTTCAGATGAACAATTCCTCTTGTCTTGCATGACTGACATTTTTGAAGAGTACAGTCTAGTTAGTCTGTAGGACATCCCTTGGGTGGGATCTGTCTGCCATTTGCACATGACTTACATATTTTTGCTGGGAGTACTGCAGAAGTGGCGCTCTCAGTGCATCATATTAGAGTGTTACTGGTGATGTTAACTTTTATCTCTTAGTTAAGATGGTGTCTACCAGATTTCTCCAATGTAGAGCGAATAAATATTTTGTACTTATTAATTAGCTAGTAATAAGTTGTGGGCAGATACTTTAAGATGATTTGTCACCAAATTTTGCTTTACTAGTTGCAGCATCCATTGATGATTCTTGCCCAGATCAGTTATTACTATGAGGTTTGCCAAATGGTGATTTTTTTTAAAGTTTTTTTTTGATACAGGATCTCACTCTGTCACTCAGGCTGAAATGCAGTGGTGTGGTGATAGCTCACTGCAACCTCAAACTCTTGATCCTCCTGCCTTAACTTCCCAAGTAGCTAGGACTACAAGCATGTATCACCACACCCAACTAATTGTTTAATTTTGGTAGAGACAGAGTCACATTGTTTTGCCTGGGCTTAAGCGATCCTCCTGCCTCATCCTTCCAAAATACTGGGATTATAGGTGTGAGCCACTGCACTCAGCGTCTTAAGCTATTTTGTATATGTTTTTAGTTGATTTTATGGTTAATGTCCAAATAAAGTTTTAGAGAACAGTGAAGCAGACCAATAAAGGCTGAAAAACGGTAGAAAAAATTTGTTCTGGATGGTGTGAGAAATCAGATACTTTTAGAAAAGAGTTGCCATCAGATATCTTGACATTGTTGATTGTCCAGTTTTCAAAAAATTAGAAAACTTTAAAGCAATCTCTCTCTCTCTTTTTTTTTTTAAATAGGGATGGGCTCTTGCCATATTACCCAGGCTGGTCGAACTCCTGGGTTCAAGTGATCCCCTTCCCTTGGCCTCCCAAAGTGCTGAGCTTACAGGAATGAGCCACTATGCCTGGCCTAAAGCATACTTAATACTTAAAGATTCAGATTTAGACTTTGTTTGATTTAAATCTTACCACAGAATCTTTCAGTACTCGAATTTCTCTTTTTTTTTTATTTGAGATGGAGTCTTGCTCTGTCACCCAGGCTGGAGTATAGTGGTGCAATCTCTGCTCTCTTCTCACTGCAACCTGGGTTCAAGTAATTATCATGCCTCAGCCTCCTAAGTAGCTGGGACTGCAGGCATGCACTACCATGCCCAGTTAATTTGTGTATTTTTAGTAAAGATGGGGTTTCACCGCATTGGCCAAGCTGGTCTGGAACTCCGGACCTCAAGTGATTCGTCCGCCTTGGCCTCCCAAAGTGCTGGCATTATAGGTGTGAGCCACTGCTCCCAGCCCAGTGTACCTTTTTAAATATCAGTTCTATAACTGTGCGAAATAAAACTGGTAGACTAGAGTCCCAGATATCAGCAAGTTTACTGCCTTTCAAGGCAAATTCTTGTGAATCTTTAAAGTATCCTATGCAGTTCAAATAGGTTTAAAATGTCAGTACATATATGTATTAATGAAGAGTGCTTGAACATATAATGTATTAATGAAGACTGGTTGAATAATAGAGGTTGAGGATTTAAATGTATGGGTATTTTTTTTTTCTTTTTTTGCTCTGCGACTAGCTAAAGGTGATTTTTTTTTTCAGTATTAAAAAAATTACATGAATATCCAGGTTAACAATGATTTACAAAAAAAGAAAGATGAAAGTGCAACTGTTTTTATCCAAAACTTTAAAAATTTCTACAACTGCAATTTTTAAGAAATTGGAAATAATTTGTCATCAGGTTTAGAGGAGAAGTAGTAAGTCTGTTTATCAATACTTAATTTATATCATGTACTATGGTGTAGTTTATTTTCATAATATGGCTTTAATGCAAAAAGTAAGTTTTTAAAAGATGTTTTTAATGAAAATAACTTTACATTTCAGAAAATTATACTCCAGACCCCTTTCCCTAAAGCACACCATTTTTTTCCCTAAGGCCTCTTTAGAATTTTTATCAATAGTCAGCAAACAATTTTTACTTAAAAGTGTTACCTTTCTAAATACTAGTTCTCAGCTAGATAATTAGTATTAATTAACTAATACTTTAAATTATATAATTCTAATTTAAAAAATAGTCCCTAGGCCTGTGGAAAAAATTGATGCCTAGGTCCCACTCCAGTTGAGTTCATTCAGAATCTGGGATAGAGCCCAATCAAGCACCATAGTTTTAAAATTCACATTTGAGCCTCACTGGTTAAACCCTGAGCTCACTGAGAGCAGAGAAAACATCTTGATCGTCTTTGTGGGCCTAATGCCTAGCACAGGCCTGGCACAGAGTGGGTGCTTTGTAAAATGAAATACTACTTTTATATTCTGGTTGTGTAAGTCTAAAATAGGTACTTTTAAGAAAGTCCTGTGAAATGATTCTTTATTTTTCTTCTGTTTTTCTACGAAGGGCCGAGATGGACGAAAAAATGTGGTTCCTTGTGTTCTGTCTGTAAGTGGGAATCTAGACCGAGGCGTGCTGGCCTACCTCTATGATTCTCTCCAGCTGACGGAGAACACCTTTACAAGAAAGAAAAATCTTCAGAGAAAGGTGCTGATATTTCAGAGACAGACTTAAGAAACTTTTTTTTTCTTTTTTTAATGTTAATGTGCTTGGTTTCTAACATAAACTCTGAATAATAAATTTAGTGCATGTAGTATAAGTATTTCTCAGTTTTTTTAGAATCTGGCCACAGGAATAAGAATCAGATTCTCGCAGAATAAAACAAGGCATCCTTAGTGAGTAATCCCAAAGGCATTTCTGTTTAATCGTGAACAGACAGCTGTCTCTATGACTCCTAGCCCCTGAACCTTTCCATTGGTGGCTTCCATTTGTATCAGAAGCCAAAGCATTGGTACATAGGAGGAAGAAAGACCTGGATCAGGGAGACCTGTGCTGTTGACCTCTCTGCCGCCCCCAGGATCTGGCTTCTGGTCTTGTTTCACATGGCTGGTCCCTGGATCAGAGGAGCTAGCTGCGGGCCTGGAAAGGCTGGTTTTAGTGCATAAACATGGGTCAAAGAAAATCAAGAGAGAGGAGAAGTTGAAGTTATAGGAGAGAAAATAAAGGACTTATGGGGCAAGATAAACTAAGATGAAGGAAACAGGAGGCGTCAGGATGGGATCAAGAGCCCAAGTAGAGAATCTGTCTTGAAAAGGACGTTTTTGAAACATCGGGGAAGAAAAAAAGAATCGTGAGATATAAAAAGGCTACTGGGGCTTTTTGGCATTTGAAGGACATTTTGATACCCTCTATTTTCTCAGGGAGTTAGGAGGCGCTATTATTACTTTAAATGTGGATGAGTGGGGGTTTAAATGGCATGAGTGGGAATAGTCATACACCCTTTGAACATAAAAGGAAGCTGCCCCAAATCAAAAGTTTTTTTTTTTTTGAAACGGGGTCTCGCTCTGTTGCCAGGCTGGAGTGCAGTGGCTCGATTCCGGCTCACTGCAACCTCTGCCTCCTGGGTTCAAGCGATTCTCCTGCCTCAGCTTCCTGAGTAGCTGGGACTACAGGTACACGCCACCAAGCTAATTTGTGTATTTTTTAGTAGAGATGGGGTTTCACCGTGTTGGCCAGGATGGTCTTAACCTCTTGACCTTGTGATCTACTTATCTCAGCCTCCCAAAGTGCTGGAATTACAGGCGTGAGCTACCACGCCAAGCCGCAAATCAAAAGTTTTAACAAGTAATGTTGAGTTTTCAGCTGGGATTGAGAACCATGAGTTTGTAGGAAACCACTCTGCTTAGTTATGTGATTTATTATTATACAGTGTTCATTTAGCCTGCTATAGCTATGGAGAAGTCTGATTATATAATTGTTCTCAGGGATGGGGTTTAGAAATGGTATGTAGCAAATAAAGGGATCCTTTCTTTTTCTTGTACTCTACTTCCAAACCATCAGCAAATCCTGTTTGACTCTAACTTAAAACATATCCTGAGTCTGACCACTTCCTAGCCTGTCCATTACTACCACCCTGCTATAAGCCGCTGTCACCCCTCCTCCCCCGATAGAGTGGCCCTGTTAAAAGGTACGTGTTACGTTGCTCCTCTGCTCAGAACACTTCAGGAAAGCTTCTCATTTCAGGAAAAACGGAAGCCCTCTTTTTGATCTGCTGTCCTCCACCTCACTCAGTCTGCTCCAGCAGCACTGACCTTGCTGTTTATAGAACATGCCAGGGATGCTGCCAGCTCAGAGCCCTGTCATTTGTATTCCCCATTGCCTAGAGTGCTCTTTCTCCATCATCCACATCTTGTCCCCCCACCTCCTTTCTAGTGTTTGATCAAATATCACCTCAGGGAGAGGAACTTCTCTAACCACCTTACTAACTTTAGCCAGCCTGCCCCTTGCCAGCATCTCCTGTCTTCTTCCTTTTTTGGCACCTACCACCTTCACATGTATTATTTACTTTATTATTTTTATTGTCTGTTTCTCCCTGCCATGAGAGGCAGAGATTTTTGCCCCTAGCACCTAGAACTGTTCCTGGTATCAGAGGCATTAAAATGTTTGTTGGATGGATTAATGAATGAGAAGAGGAGTCTGGGCAGAATGGCTCACACCTGTAATCCCACCACTTTGGGAGGCCAAGGTGGGTGGATCATTCAGGACAGGAGTTCAAGACCAGTTTATCTGGGCAACATGGCAAAACTCAATCTCTACAAAAAAATACTAAAACTAGCCAGGCGTGATGGCATGTACCTGTAGTCCCTGCTACTTAGGAGGCTGAGGTGGGAGGATGGTTTGAGCCCAGATATGGGGGTTGCAGTGAGGCAGTGAGTGGAGCATTCTAGCCTGGGCAACAGAGCCAGACCCTGTCTCAAAAAAAAAGCAAATAAAATAAGTTTAAAAAGTTTTTAATTCAAAAAATATATATATAAAGAGAAGAGCAGTAGGTTTGGAGAAGAGAGAAAAAGTCAAAATGCTAAGCCACGTGGTAGGATCCAAAGTGATGTTTGGAAGAAGTATTTTGACTGAGGAAGTTGTCAGAAAATGGGAGGGGGTCTCAAGTTAATTTCTTTCTTTCTTTCTCTCTCTCTTTCTTTCCTTTCTTCTTTCATTTTTTTTTTTTTTGTTTGTTTGTTTGTTTGAGACAGGATATCACTCTGTTGCCCAGACTGGAGTGCAATGGCATGATCTTGGCTCACTGTACCCTCGATCTCCTGGGTCAAACATTCTTCCCACCTCAGCCTCCTGAGTAGCTGGGAATACAGGCATATGCCACACCCAGCTAATATTTTTTTTATTTTTTGGGTAGAGACAAGGTTTCACCATGTTGCCCAGGCTGGTCTGGGATTGCTGAGCTTGAGGAATCCACTTGTTTCAGCCTCCCAAAGTGCTGGAATTACAGGTATGCATCATCATGCCTGGCCAAATTAATTTCTTTCTGCCAAACATCTAACTGGAGAAATCTGGGGGCAGCTGAATATGTTATTACATGGTGTTTTTAAGATCTCAGCTAACTTCTATTTTCACACAGAAAATTGGAACTCTTAAGAAACTGTGTTGTTAATATTTGTGTTACATTTAAACTTGTGTTTTTTTAAACAAACTGCTTTTTCACCTTTTTCTATCTTCTTCCCCCATTAAATGCCTTAGGTACTTAAACTTCACCCTTGTTTAGCCCCTATTAAGGTTGCTTTGGATGTAGGAAGAGGCCCCACATTAGAACTAAGACAGGTGAGTTAAATGAGTTTAAATGTCATGATTTTTAATTACAGATTGACTATTACCTGAAAGGCTTTGCACCAGGACTGTTTTGGATCTCGGATCCCAAAATTCAAAATCTTAACTGTTCTAATGTGCATTTCCTTTGAACTCAAAAAGTTTCAGGTTTTGGAGCATTTTGGATTTTGGATTTTCTGATTAAGGATGTTCAACCTAACCATTACTGTAAGTAAACTTGATAGCTTGCCATTTAAAATTTTATTTTGATTCATTTGCTTTTTAAAATGTTTTAATTTGCCTGGCCAATATGGGGAAACCCAGTCTCTACTAAAAATACAAACATTAGCTGGGTATGGTGGTGTGTGCCTGTAATTCCAGCTATTCAGGAGGCTGAGGCACAAGAAACATTTGAACCTGGGAGGTAGAGATTGCAGTGAGCCAAGATCGCACCACTGCACTCCAGCCTGGGTGACAGAGGTAAGTCTTAAGACTTACCTTGTCTTGAGAGGGGGAAAAAAAAAAGGCTTTAATTAAATAATGAACTGTGGGTAGGTCCTGTGATTATATATAATTTGAAGTGTGTTAAGCTGAATGCAATTCAGTGGATTTGCTGTTAATGCCCATTCATAGTTTCATTTTATTAGTGAGCTGAGTATACATAGTCATTAAAATATTTGTACAGATGTTAGTGAATTATTTCTTTCCTTTTTGAACTTTTTTTCTTTTTCTTTTTTTTTTTGAGACGGAGTTTCACTGTTGTTACCCAGGCTGGAGTGCAGTGGCGCGATCTCGGTTCACTGCAACCTCCACCTCCTGGGTTCAGGCAATTCTCCTCCCTCAGCCTCCTGAGTAGCTGGGACTACAGGCATGCGCCACCATACCCAGCTAATTTTTTGTATTTTTAGTAGAAACGGGGTTTCACCATGTTGACCAGGATGGTCTCGATCTCTTGACCTTGTGATCCACCTGCCTTGGCCTCCCAAAGTGCTGGGATTACAGGCATGAGCCACCCCGCCCTGCTGAACTTTTTTCTTTTTTGAGACAGAGTCTTGCTCTGTCACCCAGCCTGGAGTGCAGTGGCACCATCTTGGCTCACTGAAACCTCCACCTCCTGGGTTGAAGCAATTCTCCTGCCTCAGCCTCACAAGTAGATGGGATTACAGGCACACACCACCACCACCACACCTGGCTAATTTTTTTATATTTTTAGTAGAGGGTTTTACCATGTTGGCCAGGCTGGTCTCAAACATCTGACCTCAAGGGATCTGCCCACCTCAACCTCCCAATGTGCTGGGATTACAGGCATGAGCCACCATGCCCAGCCTTTCCCCTTTGAACTTAAACACTTTTGGTAACTGACTATATTCAAATATTTGAGATCTATAATTTTATTTTAATTTTTCTAATTTGTTATAACTATTACTCTTAAGAAAGGCCAAGGGGAATGGCTTTCATTTCGTTCCAGAGACTCCTTCAGCAGTTATCATTTCTGTCTGGGTAATTCAGACCCAGCCCAGACCTGAATGCAGACACTAAAAACATTTAAAGATTTTGAGAGTCCCCCAGCTTTCTGACCCTGGCTCCTTTGGAGAGGTCTGGGAAGATAAGAGATAGTGAACTCAAAGAAGATAATGGCTTATGTCCCACATTTCCTCCCAGGGTATGGCAGTCTCCCTGATACCCTTATAGCTAGGAATCTCCTAGGGTGCTGTAGCTCACCGTTTTGTAATGTCTGGAGAGATTTGTGGTTGTCATGAAGTTGGAGGGTGCTGCGGGCCTCTCATGGAAGCCAGGAATGCTGCTAAACACCCTGTGTCAGCAGTGCCAGGGTACGGAACCCTGCGCTGGAGTGTCAGTGCTTGACTGTTAAAGGGGTTTTACATTTTGCTTTGTTTTGCTTCCCTATTGCTTGTTTTTTGTTGTTTGTTTGTTTGTTTGTTTGTTTTTTTGAGACAGAGCCTTGCTCTGTTACCAGGTGCCAGAGTGGAGTCCAATAGCGTGATCTCGGCTCACTGCAACCTCCGCCTCCCAGGTTCAAGCAATTCTCCTGCCTAGCCTCCCGGGTAGCTGGGACTATAGGCGCACACCTACACCCAGCTAATTTTTTTGTATTTTTAGTAGAGACAGGGTTTCACCATGTTGGCCAGTATGGTCTCGATTTCTTGACCTCGTGATCCACCCACCTTGGCCTCCCAAAGTGCTGGGATTACAGGCTTGAGCCACCGTGCCTGGCCATTGCTTGTTAGGAAAACAGTAAAGTTTCCAGTTAAGCCTTTGTCTCCAGCATTCCAGTTAAATTGGTCAATCAGTCTCTTCTTGAAACATTTTCCTTGGCTGACTTTTGAAGTCCCGCTCTCCTTTTCCTCATCCTTTTTCTTTCCTGGCTCTTCTGCCCCATCCTGACTTGGTGGTATACCTGGGGCTCAGGTCTCACCTCCCAGATGAGGGCTCTGAGTTCATACAGCCCTTTGGATCTCCTGCTTTTTTTCTGATAGAATCTGTTGTAATTTGTGTTTTGAATGATACCAAGGGTAATAAAAATTCTTATTTCATATACAAATTTTTAAGAAGATTAGCAGTTAGTACTCAGCTTTGGAGTGCTTAATTTTTTCATTTTCAGAAGAAGTATATGATTTATAAAGTTTATGATATGGAAGTTATAAACATTAATATCACATAATTAAACATACCCATTTTAGAGATTGAAGAGGGTGATTTGTGGCTTCACAAAAATAGGACATTCACTCTAGCTATCATTATTTCTTTCATATTGAAGTTTTTCTATTTCTTTCTAGGTTTGTCAAGGGCTGTTTAATGAATTACTAGAAAATGGGATTTCTGTGTGGCCTGGTTATTTGGAAACTATGCAATTCTCATTGGAACAACTTTATTCAAAGTAAGAATTGTATTTTCATTAAAAAAGTATACCCAGAGTTTTTGATTATGATAACAGAAACAAATCTCTTCTAAATATATATAATATAATTTAAAATTATTCCTTACTTTCCCTTTTATAGAACTATGTGTACTTAGTTAATTGCTAGAGCATGGAACAGTATTCAGCAAGTATGTTTGAGCACATGCTATGTGCACTTCCAATACTTAATGTCATGAAGTATGTATACCTCAGCTTATCCACTTATGGATGAAAGTATGTACGTAGAGAGCATGTGTTGAATCAAGACGGAAAGAACATGAGTGGAATGCCTTTCCTTGATGGCATTGTGGTCCATTCTGAAACTGAGTGGAAGGGAATTCTATTCCGAAGGGATAGTCTATTCTAGTCTTCTTAGGGATTGGCACTTCTTTTCACCCAATTGCTCAGGACAGAAACTGGCTATCATCCGTAACTCCTCCCTCTTCCTTATTCTCCACATCCAGTCCATCACCAAATGCTATCAGCTTGCCTCCTAAATGTATCTCAAATCCATCTCTGTCTTCGCTGCCATTACCCAAGTTAGAGTCACCAATATCTCTTGCCTGGATTTTTAAAATAATCTCCTAATTGAGCTCTCTGTGTCTAGTCTTACTCCATGCTATATCATTAACTGTTGTTTTTAAATGAAGTAATCCATTGTTATTTTTTTAAACTTTTTGTGTTGAATACATATCTTTTGGGTGAAAAGTTGTGAAGCTTTGTGTTTCGATCTTCAATTATCTGAAAACTTGCTAAAATACACCTTCCAGGCTGGGCACAGTGGCTTACACCTGTAATCCCAGCACTTTGGGAGGCCAAGGTGGGCAGATTACCTGAGGTCAGGGGTTCAAGACCAGCCTGGCCAACATGGTGAAACCCCATCTCTACTAAAAATAGAAAAAGTTAGCCAGGCGTGGTGGCTTGTGTCTGTAGTCCTACCTACTTGGGAGTCTGAGGCAGGAGAATTAATTGCTTGAACCCAGGAGGTGGAGGTTGCAGTGAGCTGAGATCAAGCCACTGTATTTCAGCCCTGGCAACAAATCGAGACCTCATCTCAAAAAAAAAAAAAAAAAAAAATACACCTTCCAGATGATGTCCAAAGAAAAGTCGTTTTCTATAATTAGAGCATCTAATGGTTTTATTATGTGTAAAATGAAGGGGCAGCACTTGAACTTTCTTGTCCTCTCAGGTTCTAAAATCTTATCCTTTGAGCCATGTGGACACTATCAAGTTTCAGTTGTTTCTTTATATGGTAAAGGTTTTATTGTACCAGGATATTTTTATGAAAATATTAAACACCTCCGTTTTATGCACTTTGATATAGTAGTGAACAAAATAGAAAAATGTACTACTCTTCTTAAGCTTATATTCTAGTAGGACAAAATAGATAATAAACGTGTAAACAAAGAAATAAAAGGTTTCTGCTGGAGTCCTACAAAGGAAATAAACAGTAATGAGATAGTGTGACTTGGCAAGTATACAGAAGGTCAGCCGTACATCTGTCGTTTGGTTATTGCTGAACTAGAAGCTGTAAGTTAGCATCCTCAGTTATAAATGAAGCATGATTTTGGTATAATTTGTTATACCAAACTGCATCTTTTTAATAATACCATTAATTGTAAGAGATGTTGATCTAAAATAATTGTTCTTAGACTGCATCCAGGAACCAAAAAGCTGAGATTTTGATGAGGTTCATCTGCAATATCACCCCAAAATGATATGTTGAGGTATGGGTGTTTATTTCTCAGATTTTATTTTCTTTTATGACTTTTCATCTCTAGCAACAAGTTAGAAACTGTCTGAAAATTTTACTTTGAATATGATTCAGAAACTTTAAAAATGTCAGGTTTTTTTGGTCCAGCCCTGCAGCACCCTGACTGAGTTTGTGACTCCTGAGAGGGCATGGACACTGAATTATAGCTGGCAATGCGGGGGAATTTATCATTTACATTTGTGCTCATGTGTCTGTTTAAATACTTTTTTTTTCTTAGGTATGATGAAATGAGTATCCTCTTCACAGTTTTGATTACTGAAACTACTTTGGAGAATGGATTAATACATCTGAGAAGTAGAGACACCACAATGAAGGAAATGATGCATATATCCAAATTAAAAGACTTTTTGATAAAGTATATATCATCGGCTAAGAATGTATAGGTTTTTATATTTGTATAATAAATATTCTTCTCTCTTAATTTGGTTGTCTTAGGTTCACTTAGATTTTTTCTAGCTCCTTTGCACTTATGAAGTGGATAATTGTGGTGCTTGCTTTCATTAAGTGTTTATATTTTTGATGTCCTTCATTGTATCAGGAATATGTTCAGCTACAAGAAACAAAAATCTATTGGATTAAGCAAATTGGGGTTTATCTTTCTCATACACAGGAAATCTGGATGGTAGACTGTCCAAAGCTAGTATTACTGTTTCTATAGTTATAGTATTTCTGTTCTGCCATCTTTAGTACGCTGGCGTTTACAATTGTTGCTTCAGGATGGTAGATGGCTGCTGTATTTCCAGCCTTCTTATCATTCTAGTTAGGAGAAGAGTTAAAGAGATAAGAGCTAGTCAGCCAAGACTCTTGCCTTTTAAATTAGAAAAGTAAAAGCTTTTTAGACATCCCCCTGGGAAGATGTCTTTACATCTCATTGGTCAGAACTGAATCACATGATAAATTCTAGACAAATCATTATCCAGGGGAATGAAAATGATTGATTTAGATCAAACAGAATTTATCCCTTGAGGCTGCAGTAGTATCTTACTCTCTCAGAAATGGGCTTCGTTATCACGTCTTTATGGAATCTGCCACATCTATACTGTTAGATATCAAAAATTAACCTAAAACTTTTAAAACTAGAACATTTGTGGATTTTTGAAAAACAAACGAAAATGTATGTTAGATGTAAGACAGGAATTAAACTGCAATAGATGACATCTGTTGTTTACTTCCTGTCTTATATCTATATTTATAAGAAATCTTTAATGTGTTGATATGATTGTATAAAATACCCATTATTAACAGCTTGACAAAAATTCCAACTGATCATGCCTGTAAAATATTTCAAAAGTTTGGCTAATTTGTCTTAATTGACTTGACTTGGTAGGTTTTTCTCTCTTAATCTTTTTTCTGAGCCTCAAGCAGTCCTCCTGCATTGACCTCCCAAAGTGTTGGGATAACAGTTGTGAGCCACTGCACCTATGCTTGTTTCAATTATTTTGTGCTTGTTTTCTTATTATGGAGAATTTTAAAAACAGACATATAATTAATAATATTAATCCTATGTACTGATCACCAAGCACCAATAACAATCAACCTTTGGCCAGTCCCACCTCATCTAATACCACCCTTCCATATTATTTCAGTTATTTATTTAAATTTATTAATTAAGAGACAGGGTCTCAATATGTGGCCCAGGCTGGTCTCAAACTCCTGGGCTCAAGTGATCCTCCTGTCTCAGCCTCCCAAAATATTGGGATTATAGGTGTGAACCACCTCGCCTGACCTCCTTCCATTTGATTTCAAGGCAGATAGCAGATACCATTTCATCTGCAAATATTTAAGGATCTTTTGTTAAGAACCACAACACTATTATCACATTCAAAAAAATTAACACTAGATGATATCAAGGAATTATTGACAGTTTTCTTGGATGTGACAGTAGTATGTTTATACTTTTAAAAAATCCTTGTCTGACAGAGATACATAAGTATTTTGGGGTGAAATTATATGGTATCTGAGACTTGCTCTATAATTCTCGTGTTTAAAAAAACTTTTTTAAGTGGTAGGAGATGAAGTAAGAACAGTGTTGAGTTGCTAGGTGATTGACACATAGACCCCAGCGTTCATAGTATGTGCCATTTGGAGAATTTTCATAATAAAAACAACTCTTTATTATCAAATATCACTTAATTGCCAGTTGTCTCATGAATTCATAAAGTTTTGTGCTGTTTGTTTTCATCAGGATCCAAATAAGGTCCATACATTGAGATTAGTTAGGTCTTTTAGTCTTTCTTATTCTATAAAATCACAGTCTCTCTTTTAAGAAACTTGGTTATTTATTGAGGGGTTTTCCACTGTCTGGATTTTGCTTATGGCATCTTTGTAGTAGAGTTTAACCTGTTCCTCTCTTTCTTGTAGAATGGTAGTTGAATGCAGTGGCTTGATCAGCTTCAAGTTTAATTTTTTGGGCAAGCTTATTTCATAGGTTGTTATGTACTTTCATTAGGATGATGAAGACATGGTAGTGTCTTGGCCATACCCGGTGGCTCATGCCTATAATCCCAGCACTTTGGGAGGCCGATGGAGGTGGATCACTTGAGGTCAGGAGTTCAAGACCAGCCTGGCCAACATGGCAAAACTCCATTTATACTAAAAATACAAAAATTATCCGGCCATGGTGGTGGTAGTATTGTCTGGTTGTTTCTCTTTTGGGGTTGCCAGCAACCATTGATTAATACCTCAATTGGTGAGTTCATTAAAGATTGTAAAATGGTGATATTCTGATTCTGTCTGTCTTCTTTGTTTGCTAGAGTACTTTTTTTTTTTTTTGGACAAAGTGTCTCACTTTTATGACCTCAAGTTGAGAAAATATTTCTTAATCTGGACAAATACACCCAAATGAGCACGTACACACACACACACACACTGACACACACACACATACACACTAATCATAAAGGAAAAGATAGAAAGTTCTTAAAATTAAGACTTATTTTCATCAAAAGTCACTATTAGAAGTTAAACAAAAAGATCTAGAGTGGGAGACAACTATTTAAAAATAAGAAAAAAACACCCCTGAAGAAAAACAGTTGGATCCAGAAACAGGCATTTAATCAAAGAAGAAATCCAAATGACCTATAAGAAAAGGATGGCTGAGCACAGTGGCTCGTGCCTGTAATCCCATCACTTTGGGAAGCTGAGACAGGCAGATCACCCGAGTCAGGAGTTAAAAGACCAGGCTGACAACATGGTGAAACCCCATCTCTACTAAAAATACAAAAATTAGCTGGGCATGGTGGTGTGTGCACCTGTAATCCCAGCTACTTGGGAGGCTGAGGCAGGAGAATCGCTTGAACCCAGGAGGTGGAGGTTGCAATGAGCTAAGATCATGCCACTGCACCCCAGCCTGAGCAACAGAGTGAGACTCTAAATAAATAAATAAGTAAAACAATTGACAGTGCCAGCGTTGGTGAAAACATAGGGAATGGAATCTTCCACACTGTTTATGAGAGTGTGCAGGTGGAAGAACCACTTTGGAAAATAGAATGCTGTTATCTACTTAGCTGGGAGATGAGCATACCTTAGGATGCCAGTCATTCTATTTCTTTATATTTTCATCAGAATGGCGTGCAAGTGGGTACCAGGAGACATGAGCACAGCAGACTTTTCACATTATTTGTAATAGCCCCAAACTGACAACAACCCAAAATGTCTGTTAGCAATAGGATGGATAAATCACAGTATTTTAAAACAATGGAATACGACTTAGCAATGGAAAGCAATGAATCATAACTCCATATAGCAATACAGGTAAATCTCACCAATATGATGTTGAGCAAAATAAAAGCCAAACAAGAATAAATACGATGTCAGTCCATTTATATTCAATTCAAATACAGGCAAAGCTAAAGATGGGGTTTAGGAATGCAGACTTACATGGTAAAACTATAAAGAAGAGAAAAGAAGTGATTCCCATGGAGGAGGAGTGGAGCTGGGGAGGCTGGGTTGTGATCAGGAAGAGGCAGGCAGAAGGCTTCTGGGCTGCAGGCAACATTCCATCCACTACCACTTGGGAAGTGGATTCACTGGCGTATACTTGATGTAACTTGTTAAACTGTACATACTTTTGTTCTTTTTTTAGAAATACAGTCTTGTGTCACCTGGGCTAGAGTGCAGTGGTACAGTCATAACTCAGTATAGCCTCAAACTCCTGGGCTCAAACAATCCTCCTGCCTCAGCCTCCCAAGCAGCTTAGGACACTAAAGGTGAGCACCACCACACCTGGCTAATTTTTAAAAAAATTTTTGTGGAGACGGGATCTTGTATTGTCCAAGCTGGTCTCAAACTCCTGGGCTCAAGTGATCCTCCCGCCTAAGCCATCCAAAGCACTGGGATTACAGGCAAGAACCACTGCACTCAGCCTATATGCATAGTTTTAATGCGTTTTCAGATAATATGCACTCTATTTCACCATGAAAAATTTAAAGAATGTGTAGATTTGCAAAACAACCAAAGTGAAACTTCTAGACATGAAAAATGTGGCTACTGAAATGAAATTCATCAGATCCTCTTCTTCCGCCCTTCCTGGACAATTCAACCCAAAGGCCACTGGGTGGGGCTGAGCCTCTGCATAGGGATAAGGTGGAGTGGGAAGCCGCAAGGCCAGGGAGCTGGGCAACCAGCCCTTCTGGGGTGAAGAGGGAGTCCACCTAGGGATGGGTCCCAGAGCAGGAGGTTGGGTATCCACAAGGTGATGAGTCCATCCAGCATGTGGTGCTGGAGCCCATGAGGGGCAAGGAGTGTCCTGCAGGTGGGGGTGGGGACATGGGCTGGGGCAGGTGTCCTCACCAAGGTGGGGCAAACAGGATATTCTCATGAGGGGCAGCCTGGGATGGGGGCTATCTGAATAAGGGAGGAGGGTGGTGATGGAGCCCTGAGTGGGTGTCGGACTCTGAGGGGACAGGAAGGGCCTCTGGGTGGGAGGGCTGACCAGGGTGGGGTGTTAGAGCCTGAGCAGGGTGGGGAAATGTCTGGGGGAGGGGGGGCTCAGGTGTCGGAGTCTGAGAGTGTGTGGGGCTCTGCATAGGAGCACATTCATGTAGGGGATATCAGGGTCAGAGTCCAAATGGGGTGAGAAGGGGGTTTGCATGGAGATTTATTATATGCAAGGGGATTAATCAAATTCCATAAACTGGCTGGGCGCAGTGGCTCATGCCTGTAATCCCAGCACTTTGGGAGGCTGAGGCAGGCAGATCACCTGAGGTCTGGAGTTCAAGACCAGCTTGGCTAACATGGTAAAACCCCGTCTCTACTAAAAATCCAAAAATTAGCCGGGTGTGGTGGTAGATGCCTGTAATCCCAGCTACTGGGGAGGCTGAGACACATACAGATAGCTGTAGAGATGGAAATAGGTATAGATGTTAATATATGCATAAACGCATTCCTAACCTCTGATGGTTGGAAGGGTCTAGAAACACTAACACCCTAAGAGCCATGGTCACAGCTAGAGCTCAGCCTCTGTTTCTAAATACAGAGCTCTTCCTAAAGGAACCAGAGCTCCCTGGAAATACAGCTGACTCCAGAGCTGGATCAGGACAAGGACAAGATGAACCTGGAATATATTGTTGGGCCAGAAAGTAAAGAAACACTCTACCGGGCAGAGTGGCTCACGCCTGTAATCCCAGCACTTTGGAAGGCTTAAGGTGGGTGGATCATGAGGTCAGGAGTTCAAGACCAGCCTGGCCAAGATGGTGAAACCCTGTATCTACTAAAAATAAAAAAAATTAGCTGGCTGTGGTGGTGGGTGCCTGTTATCCCAGATACTCAGGAGGCTGAGGCAGAGAATTTCTTGAATGCAGAAGGCGGAGGTTGCAGTGAGCCAAGGTCGCACCACTGCACTCCAGCCTGGGTGACAGAGCAAGACTCAGTCTCAAAAACAAACAAAACATATAATGATGAGTGATATGACTCCAAATTGATAAATAGTATATTCACATAATTTCAAAGTATATGAAATAGTATATTCACCCATCCACAAAATATTAATTAATACAAAACATTACACTGGAGAAACCAGCAAACAACACTTTACCCAAGTGATCTAAGTGATGAGCAGTTGCGGGGGAGGTGGCAGACATGCACTGCCTGATGGGACACATCAAGAAGAACAGGACATTCTCTGTAATAATCCTGGCAAAAGTGCATCCCCAGTCCAACCATGGGTCACATCAGGTAAATTCAAAATGAGTGACATGAAATCGTCACTGGTCCATTATCTTCAAAAGTGTCAAAGACGAGGAAAGGCTGAGGAACAATTCCAGACTGAAGGAGATAGAACATGACAGCAAAATCCAATGCTTGATACTTCAGCCAAAGCATCCTTTAGCTATCAAGGAGCTTATGGTGGCAACTGGCTGGAATGGGGACCTGGAGATTAGGTGGCAGTAATGTATCGGGGTTAATTTCCTGGTTTTAATGATCGTTCTATGCGGAAGCACGTTCTTATAGGAAGTCCTTTGGGCAGAAGGAAAATATTGTCAGATGGAAATCTGGATCTACATAAAAAAATAAAGAGCACTGGAATTGTCAGACAATGAGGAATACCTACTTGGTTCCTGCCTAGGTTCCTGACTCAGAGCTCCTAAATCCCTTGGAATTTCTTGGGTAATAGGAGCATCTTTTGTTCTAATGAGGTGACTCTTTGTGGGTTGTTGGATAGTCTCAGAATGGAGGCTGGTTACCAGAAAGACCAGGCCATGATTAGAAGCTTGAAACTTTCAGCCCCACTGGGACCAATCCCCTAAACCACAGGGCTGGGAGAGCGTTGAGGTTGGTGAATGCATCCACATGCCCCAGGGCAGCAGTCCCCATCCCACAGGAACAGAAGCATGTGTGCTCATGACCCTTTGGACTTCACCAAGGGTACACAGGTTCACCCTGTGTACCTCCTCATCTGCATCTTTTACGCCTTTTTTTTTTTTTTTTTTTAGATAGATTTCTGCTGTCACCCAGGCCAGGATGCAGTGTCAGGATCATGGCTCACTGTAACCTTAATTTCCCCGACTCCAGTGATCCTCCCACCTCAGCCTCCCGAGTAGCTGGGACCACAGGTGTGCATCATCATGCCCAGCTAATTTTTGTATTTTTAGTAGAGACAGGGTTTCATCATGTTGTCCAGGCTGGTCTTGAACTCTTGAACTCAAGCGATCTACCTGCCTCGGCCTTCCAAAGTGCTGGGATTATAGACGTGAGCTGTCGTGCCTGGCCTTCTTTACGTTTTTATAATAAACCAATAGTAGTAATTAAACTGGTTTCCTGAGTTCTGCAAGCCATTCTAGCCCAAGTTATCCAGCCCAAGGAGTGGGTGGTAGGAACCCAGAATTTATAGCTGGTTGGTCAGAAGTATGTGAGGCCTCAACTTGTGATTGGCGCCTGAGCTGGGTGACATCTTGTAGCCCTTAACCTGAGGGGTCTGATAGTAACTCCTGATAGTGAATGTCAGAATGGAATTATTGGTGTCCAGAGAGTTGGAGAATTGGTTGTTGGTGTGGAAAAAACCCACACATTTGATGTCAAAAGTGTGAATGGAGAAAGCTTACATTTAAAATGCTAAATATTATTTCAAGGCTATGATATTTTATTTCTTTTGTCGGAACTCTCTTGGAGTCAAGATTCTGCCACCTGGCTGGGCGCGATAGCTCACACCTGTAATCCATGCACTTTGAGAGGCCAAGGCGGGTAGATCACTTGAGGTCAAGAGTTTGAGACCAGTCTTGCCAACATGGTGAAACCCTGTCCTTATTAAAAATACAAAAATTAGCTGGGTGTGCCTGTAATCCCAGCTACTCGGGAGACTGAGGCAGGAGAATCACTTGAACCCAGGAGGCAGAGGTTGCAGTGAGCCAAGATCCGGCCACTGCACTCCAGCCTGGGTCACAGAGTGAGACCCATCAAAAAAAAAAAAAAAAAAAAAAGATTCAACTACCTGGCCAGGCCTGTCTGTGCCAACGTATGTTCCTGTGTGTGGGAAGTAGAAAATTTCCTTTTAAGTTTCCTTTCTTGCTAAAGAATAAATCATAAGTGTGCTCTTTGTTAAGCTCTATCCTGTGTAGCTGTTAGACATGTCTTGCTTACAGGCACGTAGTACATTCTATGTCCTTGTACTTTAACCAAGATATCTGTGCTGGATGTGCTCACAGGCATGTCCCAGCTCTCCACTGCTTTAAAAGTGTTATTAATCACTTGGGTTTTAGTTTAGATTGTGAGGTCTGGCTCCAGCCAACGACGATCAGACGCAGCAGTAAGGATGACCCCAAATGCATAAGAAATAAATATGTCAGGCCAGGTGCAGTGGTTCACGCCTGTAATCCCAGCACTTTGGGAGGCCAAGGCAGGTGGATCACGAGGTCAGGAGTTCCAGACCAGCCTGGCCAACATAGTGAAACCCCATCTCTACTAAAAAAATACAAAAAAAAAAAAAATTAACCAGACATGGTGGCATGCACCTGTAGTCCCAGCTACTTGGGAGGCTGAGGCAGGAGAATCACTTGAACCTGGGAGGCGGAGGTTGCAGTGAGCTGAGATTGCACCATTGCACTCCAGTCTGGGCAAAAAGAGCAAAACTCCATCTCAATAAATAAATAAATAAATAAATATGTCTGGTTTCCTTTGTTCATTGTACTCTTGTGGCAAGATGGCTAGCCAGAGTACCCTTCCTGCAGTCCAGGAAGTAAAAATCGCATTGCTGAAAAATCCTTTGTCTCAGTGCTAATTTTTCCTTGCGGCACCGAGCATCTATTTCCAACATTGTGCCTGCCTGGAATCCCCTGGTCTCACACAATCATGACTCCTGCCCACAGGCCTGAAACTCACACCATCCACCTCCTTGTTTATATCCATTGCCCAAATGCCCATTCCTCCTCTGCACACATTTTTCAGATGCAGTCATGCACTGCAGAGCAAAGTTTCAGTCAACCACAGACTGCGTATCTGACAGTGCCCCCCTTTCTATGTTTAAATACAAAAAAACCATTGTGTTGCAATTGCCTCCAGTATTCAGTACAGTAACAAGCCTTGCAGGTTTGTAGGCTAGAAGCAATAGATTACACCATATAGCCTAGGTGTGGAGTAGTGAATGCTACTAGGTTTGTGCAAATACACTGATGTTCACGCAGTGAAATTGCCTAATGACATGCATTTATCAGAAGCTACCTTTGTCATTAAGCAACGCATGACGGTGCTTCCTGCTGCCTGCCTGGCTGATCTCTCTCCCACTTTCCTTCCCTTGGCTTTGCCCCTTGACACAGGGGCATCTTCAGTGAGCGTGTGTGGACCACAGGTCCTGGCATCCTTGCTGATCTTGATAATTTTTATCTGATGACTTTTCTGATCCAATGACCAGGTTCACAAGCCCTGCCCTCAATATCCAGGTGTCTGTCTTGGAACGTTAATGAGGTAGCGGTTGGAAATGTGGGCTTAGCCCAGCTTGGTGGCTCAGACCTGTAATCTCAACATTTTGGGAGGCTGAGATGGGACGATTACTTGAGCCCAGTAGCTTCAACCTGGGCTTAAAGCTGAGGTGGGAGAAGTAGCTTGAGTCCAGCCTGGCCAACATGGCAAAACCCTGTCTCTACAAAAATATAAAAATGTTTATTTTTATATTTATCTGTCATCCCAGTTACTCAGGAGGCTGAGGTGGAAGAATTGCTTGAACCTGGAAGGTCAAGGCTGCAGTGAGCTGTGATCTCATCACTGAACTCCAGCCTGGACAAGACAGTGAGCCCCTGTCTCAAAAAAAAAAAAAAAAAAAAGAAGAAGAAGAAGAAAAGAAGTGTGGGCTCTGGTGTCACTCAGACCTGAGTCCCTTTCCTGTTTCCATCAGGCGTTAGCTGAGTGACCTTGTGCATCAGTTTCTTTTTGTATGAAAAGAGGGAAATAAGAGTACCTGCTCCAAAGAGGTATTGTGGGACTATATGAGGACAGGTACACAAAGCACTTAATAACAGTACCTGGAGGCCGGGTGCAGGGGCTCACTCCTGTAATCCTAGCACTTTGGGAGGCTGAGGTGGGCAGATCACTTGGGGTCGGGAGTTCGAGACCAGCCTGACCAACATGGAGAAACCCCATCTCTACTAAAATACAAAATTAGCTGGGTGTGGTGGTGCACGCCTGTAATCCCAGCTTCTCGGGAGGCTGAGGCAGGAGAATCGCTTGAACCTGGGAGGTTGTGGTCAGCGGAGATTGTGCCATTGCACTCCAGCCTGGGCAACAAGAGCAAAACTCCATCTCAAAATAATAATAATAATAATAGTAGTACCTAGAACATGCTATAAGCTCAACACATGTCAGATATTATTATTGTCATTTTAAATTAATTAATTAATGTATTTACTTATCTGTTGAAACAGAGCCTCACTCTCTTGCTCAGGCTGGAGTGCAGTGGTACAATCAAGGTTCACTGCAGCCTCGACTTCCCAGGCTCAAGCTGTCCTCCCACCTCAGCCTCCTGAGTAGCTGCACTTACAGACATGCTAATTTTAGTGACAGCCATGCCTGGCTAATTTCTGTATTGTTTGTAGAGACAGGGTTTTGCCATGTTGCCCAGGCCGGTCTTGAACTCCTGGGCTCAAGCAATCCTTCTGCCTTGGCGTCCCAGAGTATTGGGATTATAGGTGTGAGCCACTGCACCCAGCCCTATTGCTGTCATTGTTATAGTTGTGATAGAGGAACTGTTGACTGGTGATACATCAGCCACCTCTGTGTCCTGCGTCATATCCCCGGGCCTTCCCTCTGACCCAGCTGCATCTGAGGCCTACTCACTGTGCACTGATAAGTTCTTGTTTCAGTTGCACAATGCACACGTTCGCTTTCTGTCCTGGTGTGTTTACAGAGCCTGGGGTGAGACACTGATGGAGGCCTGCTTGGAATACCCACCTGCTGGTCTAGAAGTGAGTAAGGTGTCATTTCCTGGGGTGACTGTCAACCTATGAGGGCTGGACACCAATGGATACATGCCTCTCACTGTCGATCCTCAAGTAGGCAATACTGAGAAGAGGCTCTTGGGCTCTTCAGAAGATTCCAGTGGGCTCACAGCTAGCTGCTCACCACAGTGCCCACCTCAACAAAACACCCTGCTATTGGCTTTTCCTGCGGCGCATTGGGCCTGCTTCCTACATAAATGATTTTCACAGAAGGCCTTATTTCAGGCTCTGCTTTCAGGTCTAATCCAGGATAAGACAAGGGACCAGAAGGCCCTAGAGAGCTGCCTCAGAGAACAAAACCACCCCCTCAGGAAGGTGGCAACAAGGATGCCTTGGCTGGTGATAAGTAGGTGGTGAGGACCCTTAGCACGCCACAGCTGTGCAATTCCTAAGACCTTCTCTCGCCATGGGGAAGGAGGTTTAGGAGGAAGTGGAGCACTAGCAGACGCCAGCATTCCAGCACTTGAAAGGTTTGAGGCAATGCTGATGATGTGGACTGCGGAGTCAGCTGGCTTCTCTTAACTGCATTAGAAGCTTTTCGAGGAGAAAATGAAAGGCCCAGGAGCAGGGCAAACTGTGAAACCTGAGGTCAGGGTTTAAGCCATCCTTGTTTCTCACAGGCAGCTGGAAGCTGCACTGAAAGCCAGTTCTAGGATCTGAGTTCATGTCCTTTGAAGGGACATGAATGAATCTGGAAACCACCATTCTCAGCAAACTGACACGAGAACAGAAAACCAAACACCGCCATGTTCTCACTCATAAGTGAGTGTTGAACAATGAGAACACATGGACGCAGGGAGGGGAACGTCACACACTGGGGTCTGTTAGGGGGTGGGGGACTAGGGGAGGGACAGCAGGAGCTGGGGACCTTAGGAAGGGATAGCATTGGGAGAAATGCCTGATGTAGTGACGGGGGGTGGCGGGGGGAGATGGAGGCAGCAAACCACCATGGCATGTGTGTACATATGCAACAATCCTTCATGATCTGCACATGTATCCAGAACTTAAAGTACAATTTAAAAAAGGGTGGTGCGACCATGGAGGAGATGGAATGAGTACATCTAGCAGTTCTGCTCTGCTGACTTCTGACCCTGAAAGGGACGGGGTGGGTCTTGGGATATGGACATTTGAGAATATGAAGCTCAGCTGGGTGCAGTGGCTCACGCCTGTAATCCCAGCACTTTGGGAGGCTGAAGCCAGTGGATCACGAGGTAAGGAGTTCAAGAGAGCCTGACCAACATAGTGAAACGCTGTCTCTACTAAAAATACAAAAATTAGCTGGGTGCAGTGGCTGATGCCTATAATACCAGCTCCTCAGGAGGCTGAGGCAGAAGAATTGCTTGAACCTGGGAGGTGGAAGTTGCAGTGAGCCAAGATAGCACCATTGCACTCCAGCCTGGGCAACAAGAGCAAAACTGTCTCAAAAGAGGAAAAAAAAGAGAGAGAGAGAATATGAAACTTGCAATGCTTGCAAGCCCTCTTGCTGAAGGAGAACAGCCCCTCTTCTTGGAAGACCTCACATGAGGCAGGCGCTTCACAATATTTTTTGTCATTGTGATAAGTTATGCATAACGTAACATGTACCTTTTTTTTGAGACCGAGTTTCGCTTTTGTTACCCAGGCTGGAGTGCAATGGTGCAATCTCGGCTCACCGCAACCTCCGCCTCCTGGGTTCAAGCAATTCTCCTGCCTCAGCCTCCCAAGTAGCTGGGACTACATGCGTGCACCACTATGCCCAGCTAATTTTTGTATTTTTAGTAGAGATGGGGTTTCACCATATTGACCAGGATTGTCTCGATCTCTTGACCTTGTGATCCACCCGCCTCAGCCTCCCAAAGTGGTGGCATTATAGGCGTGAGCCACCGCACCCTGCCAACATGTATCTTTTTAACCAATTTTAGGTGTGTAATTCAATGGCATTAAAAGCATTCATATTGCTGGCACGATGGCTCATGCCTGTAATTCCGGCACTTTGGGAGGCCTAGACAGTGGATCACTTGAGGTCAGGAGTTTGAGATCAGCCTGGCCAACATGGTAAAACCCTGTATCTACTAAAAATACAAAAATTAGCTGGGCATGGTGGCAGGTGCCTGTAATCCCAGCTACTTGGGAGGCTGAGGCACAAGAATAACTTGAACCCGGGAGGCGGAAATTGCAGTGAGCTGTGCCAGTGCACTCCAGCCTGGGCCACAGAGTGAGCCGCCACCTCAACAAAAAAAAAAAAAGAGAGAGGGAGAGACAGGAGAGAACAGAAAAAACCATGCGGAAACAGAGGCAGAAGGTGAAGTGAAGCAGCCACAAGCAATGCCTGGAGCCGCAGAAGCTGAGAGAGGCGAGGAAGGTCCTCCCCAGAGCTTTCTGAGGGAGCATAGCTCTACAGACACCTTGGGTTTGGACTTCTGGCCTCCAGAACTGTGAGACGGTTGCTCTAAGCCACCAACGTGTGGTCATTTGTGGGAGCAGCCCTGGAGGACTAAAACATTCTCCCTCCCCACCACTCAACTCTGAGGGGGGTTCTCTCCCTGGAACATGACCAGGAAAGGTAGCATGTCAAGGCACACCTTTGGCGTTAGCTAAATCTGGAGGGGTGGCTAAATCATGACCATCAACGAATATCGATATCAATTTTTTTTTTTTTTTTGAGATGACGTCTCGCTCTTGTCCCTTAGGCTGGAGTGCAGTGGTATGACCTTAGCTCACCAACCTCCGCCTCCCAGGATCAAGCGATTCTCCTGCCTCAGCCTCCCGAGTAGCTGGGACTACACATGTGTGCTATCATGGCCAGCTAATTTGTATTTTAAGTAGAGACGGGGGTTTTGCCATGTTGGCCAGGGTGGTCTTGAACTCCTGACCTCACATGATCCACCTGCCTCGTCCTCAAGTTTGCTTTTTTTCATGGAAATCAACTTCATAAAAAGCATCTTACCCTGAGATGCAGTTTGTTTCTGTAAATTTCAGAAGGTGAGTTCAGCATAGACACATCCAGGTTTATAATAATCATAGGCTTCTGAAATAGGGAAAATAATTCACTTAGGATATGTGACCGAAGAGGCTGTTTTGAAAAATCCTACTTCTAGTAGCTGGGTGGACTGACAGAACCAGGTATTAACTAATTTTTTCCTGGACTATGTTAAATAATTTATTCTTGAAAATGTTAGCTGGGCACAGTGCCTCATGCCTGTAATCCCAACACTTTGAGAGGCTGAGACAGGAAGATTGGTTGAGCCCAGGAGTTCAAGACCAGCTTGGGCAATATAGCAAAATACCTGTCTCTACAAAAAAAATTAGACATGGTGGTGCACACCTGTAGTCCCAGCTACTTGGGAGGCTGAGGTAGGAGGATTGCTTCAGCCTAAGAGGTAGAGGGTGCAGTGAGCTAAGACTGGGCCACTACATTCTAGCCTAGGTGACAGAGTGAGACCATGTCTTAAAAAAAAAAAAGCAGGAAGGAAATGAAAGAGAAGAAAGAGAGAAAGGAAGGAAAGAAGGAAGGAAGGAGAGAGGGAGGAAGGGAGGGAGGGAAGGAGAGAGAGAGAAAGAGAAAGAAAAGAAGGAGGGAAGGAAGGAAAGAGGAAAAGAGGGAAGGAGGGAAGGAAGAAAGGAAGGAAGAAAAGAAGGAAGGAGGGAGAGAAGGAGGGAAGGAAATGTTTGAGTAGTGATCCTGCATCCTCCTCTCTGGATTTTTTCTATGACATTGCCTCACCACATCCTTCCCTCTTCCCCAGCCTCCATCTCCTGATGAGATTTTTTAGGAGCTGGGGTGCTGATTGTCATTGGTTCCTTGTGGTGTGCCTGTGTGGCTGCCATCCACCCCATTCTCGAACTCCTGAAGCCCCTGAGTATGGTGACATCACAGGGACCATCTGTCTCATTTCACCAGCACCTCTTATCCCAAGCTGTGGCTCACCTTGCTGTCTTGGTGCCACGTCCCGGAACACGGGGTTGGCATACTGTAGCTCCTGGGAGTGTCTGGCCCCTGGGCAAAAGATAAGGAGTAGGAGTTACTGGGCAGTTATCTGAATCTCTGACCACATGAGGGCAGTGGGATAGACTCTGCAAAACGTGCTCACCATCTTGGGCTGTGGAAACACACAGCCTGGATCCCACTTCTGGCACAGATTCCTTCTCTGTAAAATGAGAATGACATAAATTGGGGGTTGGTTTGTGTTAGACAAGGTGGGTAAATTGCTCAGCACTGCACCTGCGATGTGGCTGCAATGACTAGGATTGTTCCATTGTCAGCTGATGACCGGGTTTGGCTGTGTCCCCACCCAAATCACATCTTGAATCGTAGTCCCCATAATCCCCACATGTCATGGGAGGCACCGGATGGAGATAATTAAATCATAGGGGTGTTTTCCATCATACTGTTCTAGTGATAGTGAGTTAGTTCTCACAAGATCTAATGGTTTTATAAGGGGTTTCCCCCTTCATTCAGCTCTCATTCTTCTCTCTCCTGCCACCTTGCGAAGCAGGATGTGTTTGCTTCCCCTTCCACCATGATTGTAAGTTTCCTGCAGCCTCCCCAGCGCTGCGGAACTGTGAGTCAAACCTCTTTCCTTTATAAATTACCCCATCTCAGGTATGTCCTTCTAGTAGCATAAGAATGTACTAATACATCAGCCAAAGCCCTGGGTCTTGTTTACTGCAAAGGAATGAGCAATGCCTGCTTTGGGAGGTGACCACGAAAGACTGTGGGACAGTGTGGATCATTCTGAACAGATGTGAAAAATCTCCAAGATAAGTGAAAAAAAAAAAATCAAGGTGTAGAAAGTCATACCTACGCTATGCTACAATTGCTACCATTTGTTTATTTTATTATACACAGAGAATATCTGTGGAAGGATTAAAAAGACTGGTTATTGCCCCTAGAAAGTGGGACTGGGCAGCAATGGACATTGAACTCTATCCCTTTTGCTCCACCCTGCCTCCGCCCCGTATGTCTTTACAACCTTACCAAAATAAAAAACCAAAAACCTGAACCACCCAAAACATGCAACAAAGTTCTCTTACTCGCTTGGTTTTGATGGATATTTGCATAGATTCCAGCTTCCATGGGTGAAGCTCCACAGTCCCTGGCCAAATTATTTCTCATAGCTTTTCCTACATAAATTGGCACAGAATCATTAAATTAAACCAATTCAGCCTCATTTTTCTTATCTCCCCAGCCAAGGAGCAGAATTCTCCCCAAGTTCTGAAACAAAGAGTGACATGCTCCCATGGCCCAAACTGTTGTCTAATGAAGAAAACTATAGACTCAACACAGCTTCTCCAAGCCAGGGGCTCTTCTGATTTCTTATCCCGGCTTTCAGAGGAATATGCTTTGCCTATCAGATTATGCCTGAACTAGCCAGACTTATTTCCTTTCCTTTGCTGAGAGAACAGTTTGTGGAAGCTTTGTAATATCTTCAAGAGAGTATAAATGACCTACTGAATTTATGCTCTCGGGTTTTTGTTTTTGTTTTTGTTTTTTGAAGCAGAGTCTCGTTCTGTCACCCTGGCTCGAGTGCAGTGGCACCTTCAAAATCTTGGCTCATTGCAACCTCCACCTCCCAGGTTCAAGTGATTCTCCTTCCTCAGCCTCCCAAGTAGCTGAGATTACAGGTGTATGCCACCATGCCTAGCTAATTTTTTTTAAGACAGAATCTTGCTCTGTTGCCCAGGCTGGAGTGCAATGGTGTAATCTCCACTCACTGCAACCTCCACCTCTTGGGTTCAAGTGATGCTCCTGCCTCAGCCTCCTGAGTAGCTGGGATTACAGGTGCCTACTATCACACCCGGTTAATCTTTTGTATTTTTAGTAGAGATAGGGTTTCACCATGTTGGCCAGGCTGGTCTTGAACTCCTGACCTCAGGTGATCAGCCTGCCTCAGTCTCCCAAAGCTGGGATTATAGGCGTGAGCGACTGTGCCTGGCCAGCCTCGCTGAATTATTTATTTATTTGTTTGTTTATTTATTTATTTATTTATTTTTTGAGACAGAGCCTAGCTCTGACACCCAGGCTGGAGGGCATTGTCGCAATCTCAGCTCACTGCAACCTCTCCCTCCCAGGTTCAAGTGATTCTCCTGCCTCAGCCTCCTGAGTAGCAGGGACAAAGGTATGTACCACCACGCCCAGCTAATTTTTTTATTTTTAGTAGAGATGGAGTTTTACCATGTTGGCCTGGCTGGTCTCAAACTCCTGACCTCATGATCCACCCACCTTGGCCTCCCAAAGTGCTGGGATTACAGACATGAGCCACCATGCCTGGCCTGCTGAATTCTATTGTAGCTTTACTCAGTAATCAAGAATATTAATGCCATTTTGCAAGAACCTGGGTTTTTTATAGGAAGGGGAAACATGCTTTTAAGACAGGAGATGTTGGCCAGGGTGCAGTGGCTCATGCCTGTAATTCCAATGCTTTGGGAAGCCGAGGTGGGAGGATTACTTGAGGCCAGAAATTCAGGGCCAGCCTGGGGAATATAGTGAGACTTTGTCTCTAAAAAAAAAAAAAAAAAAAAATCGTAATTAAAGAAAATAAAATACTGTGATACCAGCATTTTGGGAGGCTGAGGTGGGAGGATTGCCTGAGCCCAGGAGTTCAAGACCAGCCTAGGCAACATAGTGAGACCCCTTCTCTAAAATACATTTTTTAAAAAGGCCATAACTGAGGCTTCTAATGACATTGACAAGTTTCCTGCTGGATATAGCACTTAAGGGAAGGGAGAAATGACGCTTGTTTCTGTTTTTGTTTTTCTGAGTCTGGCGTGTTTAATAAAGTTTTTAAGAAATTGTATAGCAGAATAGATTATAATTTTATGTTGAAAATCTAGAAAGCATAGAAATGTAGAAAGAATATATATATACACACATATGTATATATATATCTTATATGTATATATATTATATATCTAAATATATATATTCTTATATGTATGTATATTAGGTTGATGCAAAAGTAATTGTGGGCCAGGCACACTGGCTCAGGCCTATAATCCCAGCACTTTGGGAGGCTGAAGTAGGCAGATCAGATCACCTGAGATCAGGAGTTCAAGACCAGCCTGACCAACATAATGAAACACTGTCCTTACTAAAAATACATGGTGGTGGGTGCCTGTAATCTCAGCTACTCAGGAGTCTGAGGCAGGAGAATCGCTTGAACCCATAACACAGAGGCTGCCACAAGCCGAGATTGTACCACTACACTCTAGCCTGGGCAACAAAGCAAGACTCCATTTCAAAAACAAAAAAAGAAAATGTAATTGCAGATTTTGCCATAAAAGTCAAGGTAAAAACTGCCGTTACTTATGCACCAACCTAAGATTTTTAATACTTCCAGCCTCAAACAACTGTAAATCTTTTGAAGGTGTCTTTTGTGCTAATGGGATGACACTTGTTTGTCCTCGTGCACTGAGCTTCCCCTACGTGGCAGATCCAGCGAGGACGCTGAGTCACGCAAGACAAAGCTCTGGCTGAGGCACTTGCAGTCAGGAGCAGCCATGCCACATGCAGCGCCCAGTGGGAAACAAACACTCGTCGGTGGCTTACTTCAACTTGTGGGGGTTTTTCTTGTTTTTTTTTTTTTTGAAACGGAGTTTCGCTCTTGTTACCCAGTCTGGAGTGCAATGGCGCAATCTCGGCTCACGGCAACCTCCGCCTCCTGGGTTCAGCCAAGTAGCTGGGATTACAGGCATGCGCCACCATGCCCAGCTAATTTTTGTATTTTTAGTAGAGACGGGGTTTCACTATGTTGACCAGGATGGTCTCGATCTCTTGACCTCGTGATCCACCCGCCTCGGCCTCCCAAAGTGCTGGGATTACAGGCGTGAGCCACCGCGCCCCGCCTTCAACTTGTGTTTAATTAAAGACACAAGTTCTTGGCCTGGTGCAGCGGCTCACGCCTGTAATCCCAACACTCTGGGAGGCCAAGGCGGGTGAATCACCTGAGGTAGGGAGTTCAAGATCAGCCTGACCAACATGGAGAAACTTCGTCTCTTTTCTTTTCTTTTTTTTTTTTTTTGAGGGAAAAAGAGAAAAAGAAGAGGGAAAAAGGAATATTAATTCATTCCTAAAATGGGTTTCAATAATGGCCGATCAATATTTTGTGTGTTTAAAGTGGTTAATGTATATTTTATGTGTTTAAAATGGAGACCTCTATTGTGTTTATTTGTTCTGGCTCTGAGTTCAAGTCCTGGATATCATTATCAATTTTTTGTCTCATTGAATCTAAATCTCATTATGGGTCTTATGTATCTGGGTGTTAAGATCTCTTATTGTTACATTAACCCTTTTACCCTTGTAATCGATTTTATTAAGTGTGAGAATTGCAACTCCTGCTTTTTATTTATTTATTTTTGCTCTCCATTTGGTTGGTGAGTTTTTTCCATCCCCTTGTTTTGAGTCTTTGTATATCTTTAGGTATACCGTTAGATTTTGTGGATAATGTATATTTTGTGTGTTTAAAATGGAGAGCTCTATTGAGTTTATTTGTTCTGGATCTTAGTTCCAGTCCCGGATATCGTTATCAATTTTCTGTCTCGTTGAATCTAAATCTCATTATGGGTCTTATGTATCTGGGTGTTAAGATCTCTTATTATTACATTAATCCTTTTACCCTTGTAACCTTGTAGCTTTGAAATCTATTTTGTCAAATGTGAAAACTGCAACTCCTGCTTTTTATTTATTTATTTTTGCTCTCCATTTGGTTGGTAAGTTTTTTTTTCCAACGCTTTATTTTGAGTCTATGTATATCTTTGGATATACCGTTAGATTTTGTCTGTATCTTTTGATTGGGAGATTTGGTCGATTTAAATTTAGGGTTGCTGCCATTTGATATTAACTGGCTATTTTGTCCTTTCGTTGATGTAAATTCTTCTTTATGTTAATGCTCTTTACTTTTTGGTGTATTTTTAGAAAGGCTCATACTGGTTTTTCCTTTCTGTGTATAATGCTTCTTTTAGAAGTTCTTGTAAAGCAGGCCTGGTGGTAATAAAATATCTGAGTACTTGCTTGTTCCTAAAATATTTTATTTTTCCTTCAATTGTAAAGCTTAAATTGGCAGGATATGAAATTCTGGGCTGAAAGTTCTGTTCTTTAAGTATATTGAATATTGGCCCCCATTCTCTTCTAGCTTGTAGGGTTTCCGTTGAGAGATCTGCTGTAAGCCTAATAGGCTTACCTTTATGGGTAACTTGATCTTTCTCTCTGGCTGCCCTTAATATTTCCTCCTTCGTTTCGATCTTGGTGAATCTAACGATTATGTGCCTTGGGGTTGGTCTTCTTGAGGAATATCTTTGTGGTGTTCTCTGTATTGCCTGGGGTTGAATAGTGTCCTGCTTTGCTAAATTAGGAAAATTTTCCTGGATAATGTCCTGGAGAGTATTTTCCAGCTTGAATTCATTCTTTCCATCACATTCAGGTACACCAATCAAACGTATATTAGGTCTTTTCACATAGTCCCATATTTCTTGCAGACTTTGCTCATTCCTTTTTATCCTTTTTTCTCTATTCTTGTCTTGTCGTTTTATTTCATTAAGTTGGTCTTCGACCTCTGATATCCTTTCTTCTGCTTGATCCATTTGGCTGTTTAAGCTTGTACATATTTCACTAAGTTCTTATGTTGTATTTTTCAACCCCATAAGTTCATTTGTATTCCTCTCTATATTGTCTATTCTTTTCATCATTTCATCGAACCTTTTTTCCAAGTTCTTAGTTTCTTTACATTGGGTTAGAACAAGTTCCTTTAACTCCCAGAAGTTTCTTATCATCCACCTTTTAAAGCCAACTTCAGATAATGGAACACAGTCCTTTTCCATCAGGGCTTGTTCAGTTACTGATGAGTCCTTTTTCATCAGGGCTCGCTCCGTTACTGATGAGTCCTTTTTCATCAGGGCTTGTTCAGTTGCTGATGAGTCCTTTTCCATCAGGGCTTGTTCCGTTGCTGATGGGTTCTGATTTTGAGTATACTTGGCCTTCTTAGGCTGTTTTTTTCCCTTCATTGTAGATGAACCGCCTTTCTGATTAGGTTTCTGAGTCAACGTCCGATTTGTTGATTCCCAGTGCTGGGATCCGAGCAACCCACTGTGGCGGCCTAAATAGCAGAGATAAGACTGATGGTGCTCTTCTGCCCAGGAATCTCTGGTCTGGCTTCCCTCTTGAGTCCGCAACAAGCGGCTCTGACTTCCCGGAGCTCCAAACTCCGGTCAGTAGGGGAAGCAGTCCCGTTCGCTCTGCATGAAGAGCTGCTGCGCCAAGGCACCGGCAAAACCACTGCGGCGGCCACAAGAGTCGCGCTGGCAACCCCTGGGGCTCCTCCACTGGGAATTGGCTAATCGGTGAGTGACGAAAATTTGTCTAAAGGTGTGGCGTGGTCTCGTTCTCTGAGCTTTCACTGGGAGCTACAATCCCGAGCTGTTAGTGGTCGGCCATCTTGGATCTATCCTTTTTTTTTTTTTTTTTTTTTTTTTTTTGAGGCAGTTTCGCTCTTGTTGTCCAGGCTGGAATGCAATGGCACAATCTTGGCTCACTGCAACCTCCGCCTCCCAGGTTCAAGCGATTCTCCTGCCTCAGCCTCTCAAGTAGCTGGGATTACAGACATGTACCACCATGCCCAGATAATTTTTTGTATTTGTATTTGTATTTTTTATTTTATTTTATTTTTTTATTTTTTGAGACGGAGTTTAGCTCTTGTTACCCAGGCTGGAGTGCAATGGCGTGATCTCGGCTCACCGCAACCTCCGCCTCTTGGGTTCAGGCAATTCTCCTGCCTCAGCCTCCCGAGTAGCCGGGATTACAGGTATGCGCCACCACGCCCAGGTAATTTTTTGTATTTTTAGTAGAGACGGGGTTTCACCATGTTGACCGGGATGGTCTGGATCTCTTGACCTCGTGATCCACCCGCCTTGGCCTCCCAAAGTGCTGGGATTACAGGCTTGAGCCACCGCGCCCGGCCAGTTTTTTGTATTTTTAATAGAGATGGGGTTTCTTCATATTGGTCAGGCTGGTCTCGAACTCCTGATCTAGGTGATCTACTCACCTCGACCTCCCAAAGTGCTGTGATTACAGGCGTGAGCCACTGCGCCTGGCTCCTGTCTCTACTAAAAATACAAAAACTAGCCAGGTATGGTGGTGCATGCTTGTAGTCCCAGCTACTCAGGAGGCTGAGGCAGGAGAATCACTTGAACCCAGGAGGCAGAGGTTGTGGTGAGCCAAGATCATTCCATTGCACTCCAGCCTGGGCAACAACAGCAAAACTCCGTATCAAAACAACAAACAAACAAACAAACAAACAAAAAAACACATAAATTCTTGGCCAGGCACGGTGACTCACACCTGTAATCCCCATACTTTGGGAGGCCAATGCGGGAGAGGATCCTTTGAGCCCAAGAGTTCAAGACCAGTCTGGGCAACATAGTGAGATCCTGTCTCTAATACAGAATAAAAAAAGAAGAGCAAGAGAAAAAAAAAAGAAAGAAACACAAGTTCTTAAGGTCATAACCAAGTACATCTTTCACAAGCAGTCACACAAGGAAGAGAAAACGGCCCCTTGTTTAAAAACATTAATAACTACACATCCACATTCCCAGCATTATTAAACAGTAGACAGAAGGTGGAAGCAACCTGGGGACCCCTGGGGGATAAATGGATAAACAGAGTGTGGTGTATTTATGTACGATGAGGCATTCTGCAGTCTTATCAACAAAGGCAATTCTGACACATAGGACAACATGGATGAACCTTGAGGACATTAATTGAAGTGAAATAAGCCAGTCATGAAAGGACAAATGCTGTATGCTTCCACTTACACGAGGTGCCTAGAGGAGTCAAACTAATAGAGATAGAAAGTCGATTGCTGGTGGCAGAGGATGAGGGAGGAGGGGATGGGGAGTGTGTAATGGGGACAGAATTTCTGTTTGGGAAGATGAAGAAGTTCTGGACATGGATGATGGAGAAGGTGCATGATGACGGGAATGCGCTTAATGCCACCGAACTCTGCATTTAAGCATTTAAGCATGGTTAAAGTGGCAAATGTTGTGTTATGTATATTTTACCACCATTAACAAATAATGTTTGAAAGAGTACAAAAAACCATTAAGAATCTCAAGATGGGCCAAGTGCAGTGGTTCACACCTGTAATCCCAGCACTTTGGGAGGCAGAGGTGGGTATATGACTTGAAGCCAGGAGTTTGAGACCAAGCTGGTCTCGAACTAAAAATCTCTACTAAAAATATGAAAAGTTAGACAAGCATGGTGGCACATGGCTGTCTTCCCAGCTACCTGGGAGGCTGAGGCAGAAGAATTGCTTGAACCCAGGAGGCAGAGGTTGCAGTGAGCTGAGATTGCGCCACTGCACTCCAGCCTGGGCAACAGAGTGAGATTTCGTCTCAAAAAAAAAAAAAAGGAAAGAATTTAATTTCAAGATGGTGGCTAGTCATAGTGGCTCATGCCTATAATCCTAGCACTTTGGGAAGCTGAGATGGGAGGATCGCTTGAGCCCAGGAGTTTGAGATCAGCCTGGGTAAGACAGTGGAATTCTGTCTTTTTTTAAAAAAAAATAAATAATTTCAAGATGGTAACAGCTGAGCATTAAACCAAATGAGGAAGTCCTGGTGCGGTGGCTCACATCTGTAATCACAGCACTTTGGGAAGCTGAGGCAGCAGATCACCTGAGGTCAGGAGTTCAAGATCAGCCTGGCCAACCTTGTTCTAAAAATACAAAAAATTAGCTGGGCATGGTGGTGGGCACCTGTAATCCCAGCTTCTTGGGAGGCTGAGGCAGGAGAATCACTTGAACCTGGGAGACAGAAGTGGCAGTGAGCCAAGATTGCACCACTGCACTCCAGCTTGGGCAACCAGAGCAAAACTCTGTCTCAAAAAAAATTTTTTTAAACACAAATGTGGAATTCTTCTTGGCACAGGGCCCTGTGTGACTGCACAGGCTGCACACCTGTGAAGCCAGATCTACTTGCTCTCAATCAGAAAAAGCTTTCCCTGGAGAAAGAATTACCCTCTGCATGAACCGTTCAGGAAGTCCATTCCATTCCCGCTCCCTTTTCTCATCTTTTCCTCCTATTTTCATTTTCTCCCCATTCTGTTTCTGATCCCCCTTTCCCTTCCTCCTCACCCTCTGCCCTGCTGTCTGTATTCCAAACCCATGGGAAAATGGTGGTAAAGCAACTAAAAGAACTTACTTGCTTTGTATTTGGGTAGTATCCAAAAAGCCAGAATCAGGATCATCACCACCATTATCACCAGCAGCGGCAGTAATAACCCCGGAAGCAGTAGCTCTAGACAGAAAGGACAGCTGTCCCAGCCTGGAAGAAGACAGCATTCACTGGTGACCATAGCACTTTCTTTTCCAATGACAGTAAGCAGGTAATTGTTCTAGAAAAGGCAACGTCTCCCAAGTTAACCAATGTACTATGCACCCAGGTTCCCAAATGGTCATGACAGCTGCAACTCATGGAATTTATTAGTCAATAAGGTTCTTGGCCGGGCATGGTGGCTCACACCTGTAATCCCAGCACTTTCGGAGATAAAGGCGGGAGGATTGCCTGAGGCCAGGAATTTGAGACCAGCCTGGGCAACATAGTGAGGCCCTGTCTCTACAAAATAAATAAATAAATAAATAAATAAAAATTAGCCAGGCATGATGGCATGTGCCTGTAATCCCAGCTACCCAGGAGGCTGATGCAGCAGGATTGCTTGAGCCCAGGAGGTGGAGGCTGCAGTAAACTATGATTGTGCCACGGCACTCCAGCCTGAGTGACAGAGCCAGAGCCTGTCTCAATAAATAAATAAGTTAATAAATAAATAAAAATAGGCTGGGTGCAGTGGCTCAAGCCTGTAATCCCAGCACTTTGGGAGGTGGGCAGATCACCTCAGGTGAGGAGTTTGAGACCAGTTTGGCCAACATGGTGAAACCCCCTCTCTCCTAAAAACACAAAAAAGTAGCTAGGCATGGTGGTGCATGTCTGTAATCCCAGCTACTCGGGAGGCTGAGGCATGAGAATCTTTTGTACCTGGGAGGTGGAGGTTGCAGTGAGCCAAGATTGTGCCATTGCACTCCAGCTTGGGTGACAAGAGTGAGACTTCATCTTAAAAAATAAATAAATAATAAATTAAAATAATCAAGTGTAAAAAGTCATGACCAAGCACATCTTCCACAGGGGGCATCGAAAAAGGAGGAAAGCAGCACAGCATTTAACAGGACGATTACCAACAACATTGCTGGGCTCATCAGCACCAGAAAGGCCGGGGTGTTTCCTGGGCAAAGCCCTGAGCCCTGCTGGCAGGTTTCATGTCACCCAAATAACTGCCAGTTGTTGTGTTTTAGCTGCAGTCCAGATGCTGTTAGGCACTTTGCCTGTGTTGCCTTATTTATCCCATTGGGACCACTCCTTTTTTTCTTTTTCTTTTTTTTTTTTTTTTTTTTTTGAGACAGATTCTCGCTCTGTAACCAGGCTGGAGTGCAGTGGCGCGATCTTGGCTTACTGCAACCTCTGACTCCCTGGTTCAGCCTCCTGGGTAGCTGGGATTACAGGCATGTGCCACCATGCCCCGCTAGTTTTTGTATTTTTAGTAAAGATGGGGTTTCACCATGTTGGACAGCATGGTCTCGAACTCTTGACTTCAAGTGATCCATACACCTCGGCCTCCCAAAGTACTGGAATTACAGGCGTGAGCTGCCGTGGCTGGCCAACATCAAGATGAGGTGAGTAAAGCTCAGGGAGGTGAAATGACTTTCCTAAGATCACACAGCCAGTAAATGGAAGGGCTGTGACGCATAGCCAAGTGACCGACTCCAGCCGGCTCCCTCCCTGAACACCAGGCCATGGGCTCTGTTCTGAGGATGTGGCTGGGTGAAGTGGTCAATGTCCAAGTGTGCCTTCTGCCTTTGCTAACCTAGCTCCTCTGCCCTCCCCTTCCGTCCCTCCCCTCCCCTTCCTCCACCTCCCCTCCCCTCCCCTTTTCTTTTTATTTTTTCTTTGAGACAGGGTCTTGCTCTGTTGCACAGGCTGAAGTGCAGGGCATGATGACCACAGCTCACTGCAGCCTCGACCTCTCAGGCTCAAGCAATCCTCCTACCTCATCCTACAAGTAGCTGAGACCACAGGTGTGCACCACCACACTCAGCTAATTTTTTTTAATTTTCTGTAGAGACAGGGTTTCACCATGTTGCCTGGGCTGGTCTCGAACTCCTGGGCTCAAGGTGGGGAATGGGTGGGCAGAGGAGTACCTGCAGTTTCTGGAAGCGAGTTCAGACCTGGTTGCAAGAACTCAAGTCACTCTTACCTGTTGAAGGCATGGTGACAGGTTGACTGTATGCTGTATAGTTAGGCAATCTGTTTTTAGCTCCACACCTATACGCTGCTTCTTCTCTAGGGTTCTTCCTGGTTAAGTTAAATTCAGCAGGCTCCCTGTTGTACTTGGAAATAACTGGCGATATGGCAACATGGTTTTCATAGAAAATGTAATTGATGGGCAGCGAGCCATTGACCGAGAGGCAGTGTAATGTTATATGTTGGTCTGTTTCTGTTTGAATGACCGTAATGTTCAGCACTGGGGCAGTCACTGGGTCTGGAAAAATGAAAGTGAACATGAAAAGGATAAACAGATTGGGTGCACTCACTCAGACCACAAATATGGGTAGAACCCTTACTCCATTCCCAGCTGTGCAACCAAGATGAATGACCCCCTTCCCAAGAAGTCAAGAAGCTCATGGCCCACTGAGAAAGGCCACTGGGTATGTGACTAACCCTGCACAATGTGGGGTTAGCAGAGTTTCTCAGCCCATTGCTGAGAAAGCCGGAGAGTGGAGGGCATCTCTCTGCTTTGAGGAATTGGGGTGAAAGCTTGCCTTTCCTAGAATTCACAATCTGTTTATTGTTAATAATGAATATAATTTTGTCAGTGAACCAGTTCTAAGTGTGAAATTGAGAAGTGGTTTTAATGTTTATTTTTTATAGACATGCAGTATTACCTGCCCTCAAGTGATCCTCCCACCTCGGCTTCCCAAAGTGCTGGGATTATAGGCATGAGCCATCCTACCCAGCCCAAGAAGTGCTTCTATTCTCAATCCTTGTAAATTTTCAGTGGGTTTTTTAAAATCCAAAAATATCATTTTCTTTTCACTTTATTTATTTATTCAGAGATAGGGAGGGTCTTGCTCTGTCAACCATGCTGCAGTGCAGTGGCACAATTATAGCTCACTACAACCTCAAACTCCCAGGCTCAAGCCATCCTCTTGCCTCAGCCTCCCCTGTAGCTGGGACTACAAGGGCACGCCGCTGGCTAATTTTTAAATGTTTTGTAGAAACAGGGTCTCACTATGTTGCCTGGGCTGGTCTCAAACTCTTAGCTTCAAGTGATTTCCTCACCTCAGCCTCCCAAAGAGCTGGGATTTCAGGTGTGAGCCACCACACCCAGTTCCAAAAATATTGTTTTCTCTAACTGTACTTTTATTTATAGAACTCAGCTGCACAATTATCTTTCACTTCCTCCAAAGAGCAGAAAGTAACCCTGCTAAATAAATTCAAGAGAAACTCTCAACAGAGAATATGCTATGACCTAACAGAAAAACCAGCTATGTTTCACTATAGAATGCAGTAATAAGATAGTGTTGTCGGAAAGAAAGTTGTGATTATCATGTGCCAGGCACGCCATTCCCATGACCTCATTTGACCTTCACGACAGTCTGCAGTGTAGATAGCATCATGACCATTCCATCGATGAAATAACTGTGCTTCAGAGAGACTGAGAAATGTGCCTAAGGTCACACAGCTAGTAAATGGCAGAGTCAGACTGACTTCAAGAGTTCACACTTAAAAAAAAAATTTTTTTTTTAATTTAGTTTATTAGGAACAGTGGCATGCACCTCAGCACTCTATTAAAAAAATTTTTTTTTTTTTTGGCCAGGCTTGCTGGCTCACATCTGTAATCCCAGCACTTTGGGAGGCTGAGGCGAGCAGATCACCTGAGGTCAGGAGTTAGAGACCAGCCTGGCCAACATAGTGAAACTCATTCTCTACTAAAAATATAAAAATTAGCTGGGTATGGTGGTAAGCGCCTATAATCCCAGCTACTGGGGAGGCTGAGGCGGGAGAATCACTTGAACCAGGGAGGCGGAGGTTGCAGTGCACCAAGGTTGTACCACTGCACTCCAGCCTGGGTGACAGAGCAAGACTTTGTCTCAAAAAAAAAAAAAAAAAAAAAAAAAAATTGAAATAGGTTCTCACTCTGTCTTTTAGACTGGAGTGCAGTGGTGTGATCATGGCTCACTGCAACCTCAGCTCCCCCCAATACTCCCCAAAAACCATCCCCAACTTAAGCAATCCTCCTAACACAGCCTCCCAAATAGCTGAGATTACAGCCATGTGTCACCATACCTGTCTACTTTTTTGTATGTTTTGTAGAGATGAGGTTTTGCCATGTTACCCAGGCTGGTTTCCAACTCCTGACTTCATACAATGCTCTTGCCTTGGCCTCCCAAGTACTGGGATTACAGGTGTGAGCCACCTAGCCCAGACTATTAAGAGTTATTTTTTTAGAGACAGCAACTTGCTCTGTCGCCCAGGCTGGAGTGCCGCAGCGTTATCATAGCCCGCTGCAGACTTCACCTTCTGAACTCAAGTGATCTGCCCACCTCAGCCTCCCAAAGTGCTAGAGTGCTGAGGTGCATGCCACTGTTCCTTTAAAAAAATATATTCAATTTGGTACAGAAACAATACATTATAGCACCACAGTATCATTACATCAAAGAAAATAATTTAGAGGCCGGGTGTGGTGGCTCATGCCTGTAATCCTAGCACTTTGGGAGGCTGAGGTGGGTGGATCACCTGAGGTCAGGAGTTCAAGACCAGCCTCGCCATCATGGTGAAACCCCCATCTTAAAAAAAAAAAAAAGATAATAATTTAGAATCTCCTTGCTCCATCTCCCCCCTGAACAGTAACCCCTGTCACAATATCCTTCACAAAATGGCACTCAGTGATGGTGGCCTCAGAGGGTAATTTTGTTGGAGAATAGCACCAATGGAGGCTGAGCACTGTGCTCATGCCTGTAATCTCAGCATTCTGGGAGGCAGAGGCTGGAGGATCACTCGAGGTAAGGAGTTGAAGATCAGCCTGGGCAATACAGTGAGACCCCTCTATCTCTGCAAAACAAACAAAAAAATAGCTGAGTATAGGGGACGGGCATGGTGGCACACACCTGTAATCCCAGCACTTTGGGAGACCGAGGGGGGCAGATCATGAGGTCAAGAGATCGAGGCCATGGTGAAACCCCATCTCTACTAACAAAAAAAAATTAGCTGGGCATGGTGGCATGTGCCTGTGGTCCCAGCTATTTGGGAGGCTGAGGCAGGAGAATTGCTTGAACCCGGGAGGCGGAGGTTGCAGTGAGCTGAGATCACGCCACTGTACTCCAGCCTGGGCAACAGAGTGAGACACTGTCTCAAAAAAAAAGAAAAGAAAAAAAATGGCTGAGTGTAGTGACATGTATCTATAGTCCCAGCTACTTGGGAGACTGAGGCAGGAGAATTGCTTGAGCCCAGGAAGTTCAAGGCTCCTGCTGTGAGCTATCATTGCAGCACTGCACTACAGCTTGGGCAGCAGAACAAGACACTGTCTGTCTCTAAAAGAAAAAAAGGAAGAAAGAAAGAAAAGAGAGCAAGAGAGCATAGCACCAACAGGAAGTTCTTCCTATTGAACTGAAATCTACCTCTTGTAATTCTCAGGAAGAAGGAGTTGAAACATTCATGAGGAAGCAGAGGACATAGACTCCTCTCTGAGATGGGATGATTTCAACTGAACCAAGGATTGATATAAAGAGATTAGAAAGGCTTCCTCTTTCCCCAAGCGGCCTGAGGTAATCTGTGAAAATGGTTCGCTATTCACTTGATCTGGAGAACCCCACAAAGTCATGCAAATCAAGAGGTTCCAATCTTCGCGTTCACTTTAAGAACACACGTGAAACTGCCCAGGCCACCAAGGGTATGCATATACGAAAAGCCACGAAGTATCTGAAAGATGTCACTTTACAGAAACAGTGCGTACCATTCCGACGTTACAATGGTGGAGTTGGCAGGTGTGCCCAGGCCAAGCAGTGGGGTTGGACACAAGGTCGGTGGCCCAAAAAGAGTGCTGAATTTTTGCTGCACATGCTTAAAAATGCAGAGAGTAATGCTGAACTTAAGGGTTTAGATGTAGATTCTCTGGTCATTGAGCATATCCAAGTGAACAAAGCACCCAAGATGCGCCGCCGGACCTACAGAGCTCATGGTCGAATTAACCCATACATGAGTTCTCCCTGCCACATTGAGATGATCCTTACTGAAAAGGAACAGATTGTTCCTAAACCAGAAGAGGAGGTTGCCCAGAAGAAGAAGATATCCCAGAAGAAACTGAAGAAGCAAAAACTTATGGCACGGGAGTAAATTCAGCCTTAAAATAAATGCAACTAAAAGGAAAAAAAAAAAAAAAAAAGAGATTAGAAAGATGTAGACTTCCCTGAGAGTTTGTAGGAGGAATGATACGTCATCACAGAGTCATGATGGTCTGAGGAAGGAAGCTTCAGTGAGTTACAGCTCTTCAATAAATCAGTTATATTTCTCAAATTTCAAGGAGTCCTCTCTGCCACCTTCCCCATAAGGCCTTTCCTGAATCATCCAGGGAGAAGTGCTTTCTCCTTCTCTGCTGCCTCTAGCACTTGGTCCCATCCGCATGCTACTTTTACTACCTCTTACTACATGATCTACTTAGATGACTCATGGTCACCTCAAATGTAACTGTTTGAAACTGAACTCTAGTTAATATGCTAGTTCATAAATCAATCACTAGGTAGACAGAGAAACACCATTTTAAAATCCTGTTCAGGGCTGAATGTGGTGGCTCACACTTGTAATCCCAGCACTTTGGGAGACCAAGGTGGGAGGATAACCTGAGGTCAGGAGTTCCAGACCAGCCTGGCTGACATGGTGAATCCCCATCTCTACTAAAAATACAAAAATTGACCGGGTGTGGTGGTGCACACCTGTAGTTCCAGCTACTTGGGAGGCTGAGGTGGGAGGATCACTTGACTCCAGGAGTTTGAGGCTGCAGAGCTAGGGTCGTACCACTCCACTTCAGCCTGGACAACAGAGGGAGATCCCATCTCAAAATCAATACATAAATAAAATCCTGTCCTTCCATGTTTCCCCATCACAGTAGATGGTACCAGTCTTCACAGGTGGATCAAGCTAGACATCTAGGCATCTGGAAGCCATTCTTGATTCTTTCTCCACCTTCACTGCCTGTGATTCCAAATCTAACCAGTCAGCAAGTTCTGTTGGTTCTTTCTCTAAAATATTTCTTCAGTCCTTCCACATCTGTCCCTAGCTCTCCATCATTTCTCTCCTGGATACTTGCAAGAGCCTCCCAACCAATCTCCAACTTACCCTGCACGCTTGCTAAATGAACTGACTTGGAGGATGATTAATTGGGTACTGGCACTCCCCTGCCTGCCCACTGCTCATGGAAGAGTCTAAACGCCTCCTGTGGCTCCAGGCCCTGCCTGACTTGACCAGCCTCTCCCTCCAGTCTCATCTGAGGTCAGACTCCCTTCATCTGACCTCCAGCCACACAGGCCTCCATATAGTTCATGGAACCAGCCAAGTTCTTTCCCAAGATGGAGCCCCTGAGCATGCTGCACTCCCTTGACTAAAGCCCCGCTTTATCCTGTCTCTTCATAGAGCTAACTCCTTCTCATCCTCCAGGGATCTACTTAAAGTCCTCCCCTTTCAAGGCCTCCCCTAAGTACCCCATCTAAGCAGGCCCCTCCCCCATCTACTTTTCTCCATCTCTGTGCCAGTTTCTTTTCCTTTACAACACTCAACAGTTTGTGATGTGCTTGTTTGTGTACTTGGGTTTGTTGTCTGCAAACACTGGACTGTATGCTCCACAAGGGCAAGAACCAATATATATCCAGGGATTGACATATCTGCTTTATTTTATTATGAGACAGAGTCTCTCTCTCTCCCCCAGGCTGGAGTGCAATGGCGCCATCTCGGCTCACTGCAACCTCCGCCTCCCAGGTTCAAGCAATTCTTCTTCCTCTGCCTCCCGGGTAGCTAAGGATTACAGATACCACCATGCCTGGCTAATTTTTGTATTTTTAGTAGAGAGGGGGTTTGACCATGTTGGCCAGGCTGGTCTTGAACTACTGTTCTCAAGTATCCGCCCGCCTCAACCTCCCAAAATGCTGGGATTACAGGCATGAGCCACTGCAGCTGGCCCTGTGTTTTCTTTAAACATTTGTTGAGTGAATCAGCAATTAATGAATTTGTGTTTATGGCTCATACTTTCAATCTTTATTGGGTTGGGGACAAGACTATGTTTTAGGCTTCATTAAAAACCCAGTAGCACAATTGCATGCACGGAGTAGGCACTCAATCGTGCCTATTGATCTGGCCTAACTGAAGAGGATACAGTTTTATAATCTACCAAGATAGTTTTATTACTAGACTGTGTAATTACTCTAACAAATTGCAAGAAGGTCGTGCACAGAAAACATATGTGCGGATGGGCTTCCTGCCCAGCATAGCAGGAGTCTGACCACTAGGGAATGCTATCAGCTGTGTTTCTGCCCTCATATATCCATGGTATTCTAGTACTATCTTGGCAGGGATTTCTCCCTCCTCCTTCATTTTCCTTTCACAAGGAATATACTTAGTTTATGTCCAAAGATCATTGGGTCTTTTTTTTTTTTTTTTGAGACAGGGTCTCTCTGTTACCCAGGCTGGAGTGCAGCGTTAAAATCACGGCTCACTGCGGCCTTGAACTCCTGGGCTGAAGCAATCTTCCCACCTCAGCCTCCCGAGTAGTTGGCAGTATAGGCACGCCACCACGCTTGGCTTTTTATTTTTTTTAACTTTTTGTAGAGACACAGTCTCCATATAGTGCCCAGGCTGATCGCAAACTCCTGGGCTCAGGTGATCCTCCTGCCTTGGCCTCCCAAAGTGCTGAGATTACACGTGAGCCATTGCACCTGGCCAGGCTAACTGGTTCTAACCTGGAGTCCATAGCATCTTCTAAAACCATATGCAGAAATTTGTATCTGTGGTTTTATGAGCATTTTTCTGGCGAAGGTATTCATTGCTATCATTAGATTATTAAGACGGTTATAACCTAAAAAGCTAAGAATCACTGAGCTACAGCAACGTCACCCAGTAGAACTTTCTGTGATGATGGGAATGCTCTACATCTGTGTTGTCCAATGTGGCTGCCACCAGCTACAGGTGTGGCTACTAAAGCCTCAAAATGTAACTAATGAGACCGTAGAGTGAAATTTTTTATTTCATCTAAGTTTAATTAATTTGATCCGCAAGCCGCAATGGCATGTGCTGATAATCCCAGCTATTCAGGATGCTGGGATTTCTTAGGAACTGGAGTTTGAGGCCACAGTGGGCTTCGACTGCCTGTGAGTAGCCTCTGGGTGGCATAGTGAGGCTATTAAATAAATTTTGGCCAGGCGCAGTGGCTTATGCCTGTAATCCCAGCACTTCGGAATGCTGAGGTGGGTGAATCACCTGAGGTCAGGAGTTGAGGACCAGCCTGGTTAACATGGTGAAACCCCATCTCTACTAAAAATATAAAAATTAGCCAGGCCTGGTGGTGCATGCCTGTAATCCCAGCTACTTGGGAGACTGAGGTGGGAGAACTGCTTGAACCCAAAAGAGGGAGGTTGCAGTGAGCTGAGATCATACCACTGCACTCCAGCCTGGGTGACAGAATGAGACTCCATCTCAAAAAATAATAATAATAAAGAAATAAACAAAATAAAACAAAATAAATAAATGTAAACAGTCACATGTGGCTAGTGGCTACCATACTGGATAGCATAGACCTAGAGAACCACTCAAGAGTTACTGGGAAGTCACGGTCCCTGGGCTTAGAAGACTCCAGGTATAACATACATGTATTACCTAGAAGCCTTCTCTCCTCTCCCAGGAGTCCATTATCAAGGTCACCTTCACGGATGAGGCCCTAAATATTAGGCAGTAACAGGCTTAGGTGGGAAAATGGGAGAGAAAAACACAGAAGTAGTGAGACGTGGCTGGGCAGGGAGAGTGCTGGCGGATCGGGCACCTGCCACTAAGGAAGCGGTGGGAAAAGTCTGGGGCATTGAAAACCCTCTCCATGGGGCTCAAGGCTTCAAGGAAAAAAGAAAAGTGATTTTTGCCTACATAATGGGAATCATGGAATAAAGCTTCTAGAAAAAACTCAACAATTATTGTTGAGATACATGACTTTTGCCTAAAGATATGACTATTATCTGACACGGTCAAAAGTCTTTGAAAGAGAAGGTGAAATGGAATTATTGAGACTAGAGATCTCACCGGGCATGATGGCTCATGCCTGTAATCCCAGCACTTTGGGAGGCTGAGGCGAGCAGATCACCTGAGGTCAGGAGTTCAAGACCAGCCTGGCCAATATGGTGAAACCTTGTCTCTAAATAAAATTTAAAAATTAGCCAGGTGTGGTGGTGGGCACCTGTAATCCTAGCTACTCAGGAGGCTGAGGCAGGAGAATGCCTTGAACCTCGGAGGCAGAGGTTGCAGTGAACCGAGATTGTGCCACTGCACTCCAGCATGGGAAACAAAGTGAGACTCTGTCTCAAAAAAAAAGAATGGAGTTCTCAAAAAAAAAAGACATTTCCTGTTGACCAGGTCTAAAAATAAAAAATAAAAAAAGAATAAAGATCGCAGTGACATACTTTCCAGGTTCTTGAGCAAGTGTTGATAAGGGGCATGGAGATCCCCTCCTAGAACAGGAAAGGACCCCATAAATTATAGAGGCTCTAAGGAACAGGTGCTCTACTTACCAACAATTATGAAGTTGAAGCTGGGACTGTATTTTGAACAGTTGGAAACTTGCGCTTTGCATTTGTAGGGGCCTGATTCGTGGGCTCCTGTGATGCTCAGATTAAAAATCACGGGTTCACCTTTTCCATCCTGGGTTCCCAGGTGTATCTTACTTCGAAACAATGAATAGGTGATCTGCAGTGATTTGTTCTTATGGGAACAAAACATAGATACATTTTGACCCTTCATGACCACATTAGTCTCTGAGTCCAAACATGGAGAAGGAAATTCTGAAAAACAAAATAACGCATGAAAAAGTCCTTGTTAAAATCCTGGTTAGGGCTGGGTGCAGTGGCTCACGCCTGTAATCCCAGAAATTTGGGAGGCTGAGGTGGGTGGATCACCTGAGATCGGGAGTTTGAGACCAGCCTGACCAACATGGAGAAACCTTGTGTCTACTAAAAATACAAAATTAGCCGGGCGTGATGGCGGGCACCTGTTATCCCAGTTTCTTAGGAGGCTGAGACAGGAGAATTGCTTGAACCAGGACCCGGGAGGTGGAGGTTGCAGTGAGCCAAGATTGTGCCACTGCACTCCAGCCTGGGTTACAGAGACTCTGTCTCAAAAAAAAAAAAAAAAAACCTTACAAAAAAATTGGCTGGGCCTGGTGCATGTGCCTATAGTCCCAGCTACTCAGGAGGCTGAGGCAGGAGAATCGCTGGAACCCAGGAGACAGAGGTTGCAGTGAGCCAAGATCGGCTCTTCACTGCACTCCAGACTGGCTGACAAAGCAAGACCCTGTCTCAAAAAGAGAAAAAAAGAAAAGAAAATCTATTTTATATATATAAAACTATGAAAGAATTAAGAGAAATACAGGAAAAGATTTGTGTATCATCAGGTAAGGTTTGGTCTTCCATGTAAGACACCAAATTAGAAGCTATAAAGAAAAGATGGAAAAGTTGACTATCTTAAAACTGAAAACTTCTCTATGACAAAATTAAAATTCAAGTGACAGCTTAGAAGAAAACGTGTAAGACATAAATAAAAGCAGAAGATTCCTTTTATGCACATAAATCAACTGCAAACCAAGGAGAAAAGGACAAACCCCAAAATAAATGGGCAAATAGTATGAACAAGTCATTCCCAGAGGAAGAGATGCAGATGCTCATTAAACAGTGCTTGAAGCTGGGCGGTGGCTCATGCCTGTAATCCCAGCACTTTGGGAGGCCAAGGTGGGCAGATCACTTGAGGTCAGGAGTTTGAGACCAGCCTGGCCAATATGGTGAAACCCCATTTCTACTAAAAACACAAAAATTAGCTGGGCATGGTGGTGGGCACCTGTAATCCCAGCTATTCAGGAGGCTGAGGCAGGATAATTGCTTGAACCCAGGAGGCGGAAGTTGCAGTGAGCTGAGATCATGCCAGTGCACTCCAGCCTGGGTGACGGAGCAAGATTGTCTCAAAATATAAAAATAAACACAAAGTTCTTGAAGCTGGGTGTGATGGTTTTCACCTGTAATCCTAGCACTTCAGGAGGCTGTGGTGGGAGGAGTACTTGAGCTTAGGGGTTCAAGAACAGCCTGGGCAACATAGTGAGACCTCATCTCTAATTTTTTTTTTTTTTTTTAAAGACTGGGTTTCACCATGTTGGTCAGGCTGGTCTTGAACTCCCGACCTCAGGTGATCCACCCGCCTTGGCCTCCAAAGTGCTTGGATTACAGGCATGAGCCACCGTGCCCGGCTCATCTTTAATTTTTAAAAAACAAAACAGAACAAACAAAAAATAGCCAGGATCAATGGAGGTTGCAGTGACCCTTCAAGAATGCTTTAAAAAATGCCATAAACGCCGGGCGCAGTGGCTCACACCTGTAATCCCAGCACTCTGGGAGGCCGAGGCAGGTGGATCACGAGGTCAAGCGATTGAGACCATCCTGGTCAACATGGTGAAACCCTGTCTCTACTAAAAATACAAAAATTAGCTGGGCATGGTGGCACACACCTGTAGTCCCAGCTACTCAGGAGGCTGAGGCAGGAGAATTGCCTGAACCCAGGAGGCATAGGTTGCGGTGAACTAAGATTGCGCCACTGCACTCCAGCCTCAGTAACAAGAGTGAAATTCCGTCTCAAAAAAAGAAAAATGCCATAAACTGTTTAAAAAAATTAAAAATGCCATGAACTCTTCTCCCAGTCTTTGATCTGGACAATTCACATTTTCTGTCTTACATAAACTCAACTCTTCTTTGAGACAGAGCCTCACTCTGTTGTCCAGGCTGGAGTGCAGTGGCACAATCTTGACTCACCACAGTGTCAATCTTCCAGGCTCAATTGATCCTCCAGCCTCAGCCTCCTGAGTAGCTGAGACTATAGGCCCATAATTTTTGTAGTTTTGGTAGAGACAGGATTTCACCATGTTGGCCAGGCTGGTTTGAACTCCTGACCTCAAGTGACTGCCTGCCTCAGCCCCCCAAAGTGCTGAGATTAAGGTATGAGTCACTGTGCTCTGCCATACAAACTCAACTTTAAGATAAGACCTAAACTACCTTCCCAACCAAATAGCCATCTCTAAATTTTTTTATATAGGATGCTAGAGCTTTTGTGGCCAATATACATGAAAAAGATGCTCTACTTCACAAGCGATGAGGCAAGTGCAAATTAAAACAACACTGAGATACCATTTTTCACTTATCAGATTGGCACAAATTTTTTAAATGATTGGCCAGGCACGGTGGCTCACACCTGTAATCCCAGCAATTTGGGAGGCTGAGGCAGGCAGATCTCTTGAGTCCAAGACCAGCCTGGGAAAGAGCAAAACCCTGTCTCTACTAAAAATACAAAAGTTAGCTAGGCATAGTGGCAAGGTACCTGTATGGCACTACTTGGGAGGCTGAGGTGGGAGGACCGACTGAGCTTGGAAGGTCGAGATTGCGGAGAGTCCAGATTGAGCCAGCCTGGGCGACAGAGCAGAGACTCTTGTCTCAAAGAAAAAAAAATACCCAGGCTGGGTGTGGTGGCTCAAGCCTGTAATCCCAGCACTTTGGGAGGCCAAGGCGGGTGGATCATGAGGTCAGGAGTTCAAGACCAGCCTGGCCAACATAGTGAAACCCCATCTCTACTAAAAATACAAAAATTAGCTGGGCATGGTGATGGGTGCCTATAGTCCCAGCTACTTGGGAGGCTGAGGCAGGAGAATGGCTTGAACCTGGGAGGGAGATGGAGGTTTCAGTAAGCTGAGATCAGGCCACTGGTGCACTCCAGCCTGGGTGACACAGTGAGACTCTGCCTCAAAAAAAAACAAAAAAGAAAAAGAAAAAAAAACCCTAAATAAAAGTTAAAAAGTAAAAGTGATTATATCCACCACTGGGGAGGAAGGTAGGGAAACTCACCCACTGTTGGTGACAAATAGGATAGGATCAGCCTTGCTGGGAGGGCAACTTAGCAGGGTCTGTAACAATTTAAAAGTATATGCCCTCTGACCTTGCAATTTCACTTCTAGAATTACATTCTACAGAGATGCTCTCAAGCTCTTGTGCATCCACAAAGGATGTTTTGTACAAGGATGTTTGTTCTTTTATTTTTATTTTTCTTATATTTTTATTTTTTATTTTTGTACAAGGATGTTTTGAACAAGGATGTTTATTGTAGCATTGTTTATATTGCCCCACAAAAGTGGAACAATAAATAAGCATGTTAAATGAATCATGGCTGAGTCATAAAATACCATGCAGATATTGAAAAAGATGAGCTAAGGCTGGGTGTGGTGCCTCATGCCTGTAACCCCAGCACTTTGGGAGTCCAAGGTGGGTAAATCATGAAGTCAGGAGTTTGAGAACAGCCTAGCCAACATGGTGAAACCCTGTCTCTACCAAAAATAAAAATAAAAATAAAAAATTAGCCAGGCATGGTGGCACGTGCCTGTAATCCCAGGTACTCAGGAGGCTGAAGCAGGAGAATCCATTGAACCCAAGAGGTGGAGGTTGCATTGAGCTGAGATTGTTCCTCTGTACTCCAGCCTGGGCAACAAGAGTGAAACTCCGTCTCAAATGAAAAAAAAAAAAAAAGGAAATAAGGAAAAAGATGAGCTAAATCAATATCTACTACTTAGAAAAGATATCTATAATATATTAAGTTAAAAGAAAGTCACAGGTGAGTTTATTTGCTATGATACCAAATACAAAATGACTGTTGGGAGCGGTTGGTTTTGGAAGTAGGGGGGAGAGAAGGATCAGAGGAGGATTATAACAGCATGTTTGCATTTTAGACAGTAACAACCACCACCTTGGCTGTCACTTTTGGATGGTTTACCATATGCCTGCCACTGTGTCGAGAAGCAGGGATTGTCTCATTTGATCTGCACACCACCCTACCAGTTAGGTGCTTTTATTAACCCACTTCACAGATGAAAGAAATTAAGGTCAAAGTGGGTTTGTTATAAGCTCAGGCTGCTGGCTGGTAACTTGTAGAACCAGAGTTAGACCACCTCCCATGTATATTTCTAGTGTTGCTTGGATTATTTCACAATAATTTTTTTTTTTTTTTTTAAGAAACGAGGTATCACTATGTTGTCCAGACTGGCCTCAAACTCCTTAGCTCAAGCAACCCTACCCCATTAGCCTCCCAAAGTGCTGGGATTACAGTCCTGAGGCACCACGCCCAGCCTATGTGTTGGTTTTCTAGTTAAAATACAAAATCACAAAACAACAAGAAAAGTTAGAAAACTTGCATTGTGAAAACAATTTCAATGGCTGGGCGCGGTGGCTCACACCTATAACCCCAGCACTTTGGGAGGTTGAGGCAGGCGGATCACAAGGTCAGGAGTTTGAGATCAGCCTGGCTGATATGGTGAAACCCTGTCTCTACTAAAAATACAAAAATTAGCTGGGCATGATGATGTGCGCCTGTAGTCCCAGCTACTCGGGAGACTGAGGCAGGAGAATTGCTTGAACCCAGAAGGCGAAGGTTGCGGTGAGCCGAGATCGTGCCATTGCACTCCAGTCTGGGTAACAACAGTGAAACTCGGTCTCAAAAAAAAGAAAGAAAGAAGTAACTGATACTTACCATTTGTTTTCATTGCCTCACAATCCAACACAGCTTTTTCACCTGGAAGAGAAAAGGAACACAATAAAGCTCACTTTCCCCGTGACTTGTTGGCTTAGAGGTTCAAGCCTCAAAGTGCTAAGTGGGGCTTACATGTGACAGAAGAAAGCATGGCCCAGAAGAGGAGCTTGTTCAAATGGCTCCACATTCTCCCAGATGAAGTCCAAGACAGGGTTAAAAAGGCATAGTAGCACCACAGTGGTGAGTCACTCAGAGAACTTCCTCTTTTTCTTAGAGAAGTTAAGGAAATCAGAGGGTTTGGACGATCTTTGCGTATTGTGATTGGTTTGCTGGACCAATCTGTCTTCCTCTATGAGTTCCTGTAAGAAGAGAGAGATTTTGTAGATTACCCCTCCCTCACACTGGCTAGGAAAAAGAAAAGGAGATAAATCTGACTGTTGGCCGGGCCAGTGGCTCACACCTGTAATCCCGGCACTTTGGGAGGCCAAGGCAGGTGAATGACCTGAGGTCAGGAGTTTGAGACCAGCCTGACTAACATGGAGAAACCCTGTCTCTACTAAAAATATAAAATTAGCCAGCATGGTGGTACATGCCTGTAATCCCAGCTGCTCGGGAGGCTGAGACAGGAGAATCGCTTGAACCTGGGCGGTGGAGGTTGCAGTGAGCCGAGATCGTGCCACTGCACTCCAGCCTGGGCAACAAGAACAAAACTCCATCTAAAAAAAAAAACCTGACTGTTACATTGTCTGTGTAAACCCATCTGATCTCCTCACTCTGAACGCAGTCTATGCCAAAAGGAGTTTGGTGGAAGTTTGGTTTTGTCTTTGGAAGCAAACTGTGTTAAGCAGATACATACAAATATTATACCAAAAATGCTTGCTTTTTTAAGACTTGCCTCACTCTGTCACCCAGGTTGGAGTAGAGTGCTGCAATCCTAGCTCATTGCAGCCTCAAACTCCCGGGCTCAAGTGATCCTCCCACCTCAATCTCCTGAGTAGCTGGAACCACAGGTGTGCACCACCACACCTGGCTAATTATTTTCATCTGTAGAGACAGGGGTCTCATTATGTACCCAGGCTGGTGTTAAACTCTTGAACTCAAGTGGTCCTCCTGCCTCAGCCTCCCAAAGTGCTGGGATTACAAGTGTAAGCAAATATGCCTGGCCAAAAATGCCTGCTTTTGTTAAATGCTGATTCCTAGACCCCACTCCAGACTTACTGGATTTAAAGTCTGGGACTCTGATTTTTAATTTTTTAACAAGAATTGCCCCGAGCACAGTAAGTCTGAGAAAGGTTAGTACCAGGTGCTGCTGCCTCAGTGATTTCTGAATCAAGGGAGACTTCAAGACTTGTTATTGCAGGGAGCCCTCCACTGCCAGGAGAACTGAGGTAGGAGTTAACTTAGATCAGCCTTTAAAATAGAACATGATTTCTGGTGACCTCAGCAGTAAATTTTAAAAAGTAAAAAAGAAACGAAAATAAGTAAATGAAATAGAACATGCAGGCCAGGTGTGGTGGCTCGTGCCTGTAATCCTAGCACTTAGGGAGGCCGAGGCGGGCAGATCACCTGAGGTCAGGAGTTCGAGACCAGCCTGGCCAACATGGCGAAATGCTGTCTCTAGTAAAAATACAAAAAATTAGCTGGGTGTGGTGGCACGTGCCTGTAGTCCCAGCTGCTTTGTTGGGGGTAAGGCAGGAGAATCACTTGAACCTCGGAGGTGGTTGCAGTGAGCTGAGATTGCTCCACTGCACTCCAACCTGGGTGATAGAGTGAGATTCCATTCCAAAAAAAAAAAGTCAATTGAAGTAGAATGTACAGAGCCACTTCTTGATGGAGTGGAGATCACCAAAAGGATAGAAAGTCTGACTGTAGGGCCAGTGGGCAAGACAGCTGGTTGACACGTGCAAGAGTTGACAGGTCTACGAAGAGAGGAAGCAAGGAGTGGAATGGCAGGGGGCAGCTTTGAGCTGGGACATTCATCTCTGTGCCTTAGGTCCCAACAAATCCCTCCTTATTGACTCGGGGTCACCCAGCTAGCATCCTCTTCCACCCAAACATGGGAGAGGCCCATTCTTAACCATCTCCAAGAACCCTGAGAAAGTTCTGCCCTTAGCTGGGCATGGTGGCTCACACCTGTAATCCCAGCATTTTGGAAGGTCGAGGTGGGCAGATCACCTGAGGTCAGGAGTTCAAGACCACCCTGACCAATATGGTGAAACCTCCTCTCTACTAAAAATACAAAAATTATCCAAGTGTGGTGGCATGCTCCTGTAATCCCAGCTACTCAGGAGGCTGAGTCAAGAGAATCGCTCAAACCCGGGAGGTGGAGGTTGCAGTGAACTGAGATCATGCCACTGCACTCCAGCCTGGGTGACAAAGTGAGACTCAGTCTCAAAAAAGAAAAGAAAGTTCTGCTGCCTAAGCAGGCCCACTGCCCAGTAAGGGTTTGTGGAAATCGCTAACATACCAGCAGTTCTACTTTTAAAATCCTCTTAATCCATTATGGGTAGCTGCAAAAGTGTGGTTGCATGAATGTTCATTGAAGTTTATTCAAAATATTAACAATAGGCTGAGCATGGTGGCTCATGCCTATAATCCCATCACTTTGGGAGGCCGAAGCAGGTGGATTGCCTCAGGTCAGGAGTTTGAGACCAGTCTGGCCAACATGGTGAGACCCCGTTTCTACTGAAAATACAAAAGTTAGCCAGGTGTGGTGGTGGGCATTATAATCCCAGCTACTTGGGAGGCTGAGGCAGGAGAATCACTTGAATCTGGGAGGTGGAGGTTTCAGTGAGCCATGACCACACCACTGCACTCCAGCCTTTTTTGAGACAGTCTCAGGGTGACAAAGTGAGACTCTGTCTCAAAAAAAAAAAAAATTAGCAATAGAAAACAATGCTAAGTGTTCAATAATAAGTGATGTGACAACTTTCACAGCTCCCACTTCCTCCCCCAAAGAGTTCTACTATCTAATTCTGAAAATGAACATTAGGGAAAGGAATTCAGCAACGAAAGACAATAAGAAATTCTGAGAAGAGCAGCAAGGACTTTCTTATCGACCCCTCTGTTTCACAGCAGATAGTGTAAAAGATGTCGGTTGATTAAACCTGATCATGCCAATGATAGTGCAGCACATAATTGATGAATAACTGTGTGGAACTCACTTTCTTTCTTTCTCTCTCTCTCTCTCTCCTCCTCCCTCCCTCCCTCCCTCTCTCTCTTTCTTTCTTCTTTCTTTCTTTCTGTTTTTGAAATGGAGTCTTGCTCTGTTGCCCAGGCTGGAGTGCAATGGCACAATCTCAGCTCACTGCAACCTCTGTCTCCTGGGTTCAAGCTATTCTCCTGCCTCAGCCTCCTGAGTAGTGGGGATTACAGGCACATACCACCCCATCTGGCTCATTTTTTGGTATTTTTAGTAGAGACAGGGTTTCACTATGTTGGTCAGGCTGGTCTCAAACTCTTGACCTTGTGATCCGCCCACCTCAGCCTCCAAATGCTGGGATTACAAGCGTAAGCCACCATGCCTGGCCCTGTGTGGAACTTTCTAATTATAAATCCTTCCTGCTATATTAATGGTATTTCCTTCCATATTGCCTTTTTGTGGCTACAGCATGTGTGTATATACATCTGTGTGTGTGTACGTGTGTGTCTTGGGGGTGGTGAGTGGGTGGGTTTGACATTGGGTCTCTCTCTATCTCCCAAACTGGAGTGCAGTGGCACCATCTTGGCTCACTGCCCAGAATCAACCTATCCTTCCACTTCAGCCTCTCTAGTAGTGGGACTACAGGCACCATCCACCACACGCTGCTAGTTTTTTGATGTTTATGTAGAGATGAAGTCTCACTATGTTGCCCAGGCTGGTTTTGAACTCCTGGGCTCAAGCAATCCTCCTGCTTGGCCTTCCAAAGTGCTGGGATTACAGGCATGAGCCACCACACCCGGCCCAGTTTTACAGCATTTTATAAAAGTTTGGATGGGTGAACTCTCAGGTACACACACAAAACTCAATCATCAACTTTTTCTTTTCTTCACATCTGCAATGTTTTTCATCGGCATCCTGTCACTTTTCAGCTAACACTGCTGGCCAGCTGGAAAAGAGCAGACAACCATAGGATCATTTCCCCACACCCATATTTTCTCTTTTTATTTATTTATTTATTTTGAGACAGAGTTTCGCTCTTGTTACCCAGGCTGGAGTACAATGGCACGATCTCAGCTCACCGCAACCTCCGCCTCCTGGGTTCAGGCAATTCTCCTGTCTCAGCCTCCTGAGTAGCTGGGATTACAGGCACGCGCCACCATGCCCAGCTAATTTTTTGTATTTTTAGTAGAGACGGGGTTTCACTATGTTGACCAGGATGGTCTCGAGCTCTTGACCTCGTGATCCACCCGCCTCGGCCTCCCAAAGTGTTGGATTACAGGCTTGAGCCACTGCGCCCGGCCTTTTTTTTTTTTTTTTTTTTTTTTTTGAGACAGAGTTTTACTCTGTCGCCCAGGTTGGAGTGGAGTGGCACTATCTCGGCTCAGTGCCACTTCTGCTTCCTGGGTTCAAGCAATTTTCCTGTCTCAGCCTTCAGAGTAGCTGGGATTACAGGTGCGTGCCACCACGCCTGGCTAAATTTTGTATTTTTAGTAGAGGCGGGGTTTCACCATATTGGCCAGGCTAGTCTCAAACTCTGACCTCAGGCGATCTGCCCTCCTCAGCCTCCCAAGGTGCTAGGATTATGGGTGTGAGCCACCGTGCCTGGCCCCACATTTTCATATAGACCTGTGGAAATGGTTTTTCTTTTCTTTTTTTTTTCAAGACAGGGTTTCACCATATTGGTCAGGCTGGTCTCAAACTCCTAACCTCAGGTGATCTGCCCACCTCAGCCTCCCAAAGTGCTGGGGTTATAGGCCTGAGCCACTGCGCCCAGCGGAAATGGTTTTTCTATCAGATCCAGTACAAATAGCAGACAAGTCTTTGGCAATGAAAAATAATATTGGCAACTTCTACTATTTTTAAGCTTGAGTAATAGTTGCAGTGGCGAGATCTTGGCTAACTGCAACCTTCGCTTCCCAGGTTCCCAAGTAGCTGGGATTACAGGCACGTGCCACCATGCCCAACTAATTTTTAAAATTTGTACTAGAAATGGGATTTCATGGTTTTGGCCAGGCTGGTCTCAAACTCCTGATCTCAAGTGATCCACCCACCTCAGGCATGAGCCACTGCGCCCAGCCTCAAACATTCTATTTCAAAGGCTGATCTAAGTTTACTCCTACCTCTGTTCTCCTGGCACTGGAGGGCTCGCCATCATAGCAAG